CCCGCAGCTCTGGCCGGCCGGATCCTTGGGGGGTGGAGGTGGGGGTAATGTGACGATCCTGTCCGTAAGGCCGGAACTAATCCACCCGGCAGGGGGCTAGTCACATCAAACCTACCCGGAGGCGCGGAATTACGGTATAAAGTAATTCGGCCGCAAAAGGAAGTACCGTTTCGCGAACCTTTTGGCGGCCCTAGCCTAGTGGCTAGCGCGTTCGTCACATAGGCCATGCCAGAGCCGGAGTTCCCGCGACGTTGCGCGACTTTCCGCGAATTTGCGCGACTTCACTTTTCAATTAATGTACATATAAGAAACAAAAAGCTTTAAATAATTAAGTTTCAAATAGCTAATTCGAATTCCCGGGACGCAACTCCGTGCCCAGGATACTAAGGCCTATGCATAGTTCACCATGGTGAACTATACTATTAAATATACTGATCGATCATGTATTTGCATGATTGCATACCAGGCATGCGTGATTGACTCACCGTCGGACGCGGTCATCATATAAGTACATCATGAGACCTGGCATTCAATTTCGTACGGTAGATCTACACCATAATGATATATATACAAGTTTCTTTAAGTTAGTACTGGGCTAGTATACCCGACTAATTTTGGTATATCATATGCATATTATTGAAAATAAATCCACACAGGGCTCACTATGCAAAGCTTGAAGGCGAAATATGGTCATATCCACTCTGTCTATGCGTCAAGGGTCCAAATCAAAACACGTCAACCACGTATACGAATTAAGGAAGGCGGATCAATGTGTCCTATCATATGTCGTCCTACTTAATGGTCGATGCTCTGTAACGGTTGTCTAGCTAGCTATATATTGCATGCGCATTCAAATGACAATGATGGAAGCCCGGCGGCCGCGCGCGGCATTGATCGGAATTACTATTAGAATCTATGCAAATTTTCGCAAAATCTGCATGATCGGGGGATTGCATCATGAAACTCAAGAAAAATAATAGTAAGCCCAGATAATAGTAAGGTAATTGCACTGTGACGGGTACGCGGTAGGGTTAGTATGGTGGTTAGGGTGGGTACGGGTGCGGAGCGGGTGTTTTATTTAAAGTTAGGGTTTTTAGTGTTAGTCGAAGCTTACTATTATCTTAGCTTATCATTATCTTTCTTGAGAGTTATGATTGCATCACCCACACAAATTGCATAATTGCGCAAAGCACATGACCGGGCGCGGCGGCGGCGGGTCGATGACTTTGACAAGCGACATGCATGATCAGCTAGTCACATACATTACTTGTGCAACTTGCACATAAGTTCCTAAGCTACCCGGTCGATAGAACTGATCCATTCGACCGGCGGGCCAGCTCGACAGATGAATCCTGCATGTCGACTGAGATACCAAGTAGCGGATGTACGCGACTTTTGCAAAGCCAGTGAATTACACCATTGTGCCACTTTTTTGTGCCAGGTCAATACGATGTATGCTCTTCCAACCATTTTCTCAAAGACCCAACCTCTGTGTGCTAACAGAGACGGCGAAATCTACCCAAAGGTTCCGTTAATAAAGGTAGATGCCTACTCAACTGTCCTGGTCCTGTTGCTCAACTCAGAGCCCTATCCTCCTGGGGGTCGCTGCTGGCGTCCCTGGCTCCTTCCTGCGACCCGGGGTGGCGATGGCCTGCCTCTCTGCCCGCTTGCGGCTGGCGTCTGCTGCTTGCGCCTCCTGCGCGGCCCTCTCCTTGCGCGCGAGCGCCTCCTCCATCTCCTTCTCCATGGCGCTCTTCTCGGCCTTCTGCCGCTTGCGCGCCTCCAGCCGGCTGGTATGGCTGTCCTTGACGCTGAAGAACATGGGCCCCAGCTCGGCTAGCCACTGCGGCTCCACGGCCGTCACGCACTGCATGTACTCCTTGCTGGTCATCACCAGCTCGTGGTAGCAGATGTACTCCGGAGTGTAGCCCAGGCCGTAGAGCGCGCTGCTGGGGTGCAGGTGGCACGGCATGCCCGTGCGGCAGTTGACGTACTCGCCCACGCCCTTGAGCTTGGCCGCATTGTTGAAGTAGCTCGCGCACACCGCCTGGCGCACCGCGTCCCAGTCGCTGCCCGCGCTGGTCAGCGCCAGCCGCTGCTGCTGCAGGATGTCCAGCAGCTGCTGCCGCACCTCGCGCGCCTTCTTCATGCCCTTGCTGTGCAAATAGTGCTGCGCGCACCAGTCCGCGCGGTACCCGTTGCTCTTCCACTGCTGGTACACGTTGAGCAGCGTCAGGTGGTCGCTCTCGGGCACGAAGAACTTCTCGCGCGCCGCGTCGCTCTCCTCCGCGCGGTCCTTGGGCCGGAAGAAGACGCTGGGCACGCTGAGCATGCTCACGATGGTCAGCACCTCCGCGGTGCAGCCCAGCGCGTCGCCCGCCAGCAGCATGCGCGCCAGCGGCGGGTCCAGCGGGAACTCCACCATCTTGCGCCCGATGCCCGTGAGCCCGCCCGTGTTGTCCAGCGCGCCCAGGATCCACAGCTGGTACATGCTGTTCAGAATGTTGGCCGCGGGGGGCGGGTCCATGAAGTCGAAGTCGAGCAGGTTGTCGATGTTAAGGCTCTTGAGCAGCAGCACCACGTTGCCCAGGTTGGTGCGCTGGATCTCGGGCACCGGCTGCGCCAGCATCTCGCCCTTGTACGCCTGCTCCGTGTACAGCCGGAAGCACGTGCCGGGCCCCGTGCGGCCGGCCCGCCCCGAGCGCTGGTTGGCGGCGGCCTGGGAGACGGGGAAGACGGTGAGCGCGTCCATGCCCATCTTGGGGTTGTACACCTTGATCTTGACGTACCCGGTGTCGATGACGTACAGGATGCCGTCCACCGTCAGGCTCGTCTCCGCGATGTTGGTCGCCACGATGCACTTGCGCGCGCCGCCCTCCGCCGGGTTGAAGATCTTGGCCTGCAGGTCCGCCGGCAGCTGCACGCACGGCCAAGAACCACGTCAGCGCACGGTGTCGGCTGAGCTTCACGAGGCAGAGGCAAGCCGCGAGATCAGAACGCCAAGCCAAGCCAGTCCACAGAACGCAGAGGGGCGCTGAGGGCCTCCGCAAGTGCACGCAAACGAGCAGTGCTTGGGCCATGTCGCCAACAGTTCCTTGGCAGCAGCCGGCGCTGCCTGGCTGGGGCGCTGACCTGGGAGTAGATGGGCAGGATGAGCAGGTCGCCCTTCTTCTTGAGCACCTCGGCGTCGAGGCGGTCGACGCGCTCCTGCAGCGCGAAGCACGTGGTCTCGATCTCCTCCTGGCCGGTCATGAAGATGAGGATGTCGCCCGGCGGGTGGCTCATGTAGATGGCCAGCGCCTGCTTCACCGCCGCGTCCACGTAGTCCTCGCACGGGCTCTTGCTCCACATCGTCTGCACCGGGAACGTGCGCCCAGGGATGGTGAAGCACGGCACGCTGCACAACAGCAATGCCAGGGTCAGCAATGCTCACAAGCGACACGCTCAGCGCGGGCGTAATCAAGACATCGGAGGAGGAAGAGAGGCACGTTGCACTAGCCCGATCAAAGAATCAGGGAACATGGTCCGTCGTAGCAGCAGTAGATTGTCCAGAATAGATCCTCAAGCATTCCGGATGGGGTCGCTCACCCGCCAAAGAAGTTGGAGAACTTTTCTGCGTTAAGCGTGGCGGAGGTGACGATGAGCTTGAAGTCGCGGCGGCGCGCGACGACCTTTTTGAGGACGCCGAAGAGGACGTCCGTGTTGAGGCTGCGCTCGTGCGCCTCGTCCATGATGATGACGCTGTAGTTGTCCAGGTCCGGCTCGCGCAGCGACTCGCGCAGCAGCACGCCGTCCGTCATGTACTGCGGCACCAGGAGGGAGGGGGGGGGGGTGAAAAGGGAGGGGGCGTCAGCCAGGGTGAAACTCGGCTAGCGGTCCTTAGAATGCAAAGAAGCAGCATACGAACCAGCAGAGAACGCGTTTCGGTTGGACGAAGGCTGCTCGAAGCAGATGGAACTGCCCCTTTCGATGACAGCCCACCTCATGTCTATGTTGATAAGCGCACCTGCTGTCAACGCAAGCAGGACTGATCAATTAAGCACTGTCGAAAGCCACTGCTGAGCGGGGGACTCAGACACGCACAAATTCAGTGTGTCAGCACGGTGCCCTGAGCCCACTTTGGGGCCAGGTCAGCATCGAGAAATCTGGGTCATCACCGCCCCCCACTCAGCAGAAGATTCCACTCTGTTCCGCTTAGCCTTGCTGGTGCTGTGATGATGGGCCGGGCCGGGCCGCGCACCTTGATGATGGTGTTGCTGGAGGTGCAGTCCTCGAAGCGGATGGCGTACCCGACCTGGTCGCCCAGCGGCGTGGCCATCTCCTCGGAGACGCGCTTGGCGACGCTCATGGCGGCCACGCGGCGCGGCTGCGTGCAGCCGACCATGCCGTAGGTGGTGTAACCGGCCTCGTGCAGGTATTGCGTCAGCTGCGTCGTCTTGCCGCTGCCCGTCTCGCCCACGACCACCACCACGCGGTTCTCGCGGACCACGGCCAGCAGCTCCTCGCGGCAGCTGAAGATGGGCAGGAACGCGCGCTGCTCCGCCATGCTCTTGCTCTTGGCGAAGTCGCTCACCGCCTGGCTCGGCGCCGCCATGTGCCCCGCGAACTTGCCCGCTTGCTTATAGTCCCCGCCCTCTCCATCGTCATCGTCATCGGCGGGGGGGTGGCCGCCGCGCGAGAGGCCGTCCGGGTCGCCCTTGGGCTGCTCCACGCCCAGGATGTTGCCCAGCTTGCTGCCCGCCAGCTCCCAGAAGCGCGCGCGCGACTTGCTCGCCTCACGCTTCTCGCGCACCTGCACGCAGCCCGTCAAAAAGTATGACCAACACGAAGCAAGGCATCAGTCGCACCTTTGTGACTTCTCAAGGAGAACCATTCAGACGACTAACGAAAAATTCTGGATCAGCGGAACGGACTGGAATGTAACTGGTATTGATAAAAAGAATCCATCAACGCATAGGAAAAGTGCAGGTGGCTTTGCATCAATTCTAGCTTCTCGATACACGAGCCCCGGCCAGCACGCCGTCTGGTGCGTATGCCTCATGTCCTGGGAAGGTGGGCAGGGCGGGGGGCGCTGACCTCGCGCATGAGCGCGGAGCCCTTCCTGGCGATGATGGCCATGTCGGAGGTGGGGTCCTTGAGCGGCATCACCGGCTCCGCCTGCTTGGTGAACACGACGCGCCCGTCCAGGAACGGCGGCTTGGTGTCGTGCACCAGCAGGATGGCCTTGTTCTCCTCCTCGTCGTCGATGTCCAGGTCCTGCTCGCCGCGCCGCACCACGCCCGACGCCATCAGCTGCCGGTCCTCCCACTGCTGGTTGTCTGCGTGCAGCGCGCTGTACTTCTTGCTCGCCGCCAGGCTCATCTTGCTCCCGTCCGCGCGCACCAGCCGCGCCTGCGCCGCCCCCCCGCTGCGCTGCACCAGCGCGGCCTCGCGCGCCGCAAACAGCTTGTCGTCGCCCACAAACACGTCGGCGGCGTCCTCGCCGTCCACCACCGTGCCGCTCTCCTCCGCATCATACCTGCGGCACGCACTCAAGTAAGTCAGAGAACAACGGTCGATTCAACAAACGAAGAGGGTGAGGAGCCGTCGAGCTGAAGTGCTGGTGGAGGTCTGCAACAAACCCAGCAGGATATTGTCGCACCATCCCCATCTGACGGACATTGGGTAATTGCTCTAACCGAAGTGTCCACGTTCATGGACAAGGACCCCTCCTTCCCAAAGAACTGAAACAGCATCATAACTCTCAAGGCAGCCCTGAGTGCAGCAATGGTATATTCCTCCACAGCCTGCTTCCAGTGGTCAGCGCTGCGCAATGCCCTCACCAGCTCCTGTCGACCCTCCTCTCCTCCTCCTCGTACTCTGCCCGGTCCCCTTCGTCGCCCTCCCCCTCCCCTTCCCGCCCGCCTGCCTGCCCGCTCCGCTGGAAGCGCAAGCGGTGATTGCCAGGCTCCCCCGGGCGCGCCGGCGTGGCGCCCCCCGCCCGGATGGGGGACGGGGACGGGACAAAGCTGGAGCCCGGGGTCCAGTTGGCTGCAGACAGAAGAGCCGCACAAAGTCAGAAGCAGAAGAAACAAACGCCACACTTGAGTGATGCAGGAATCAGGCAGGGGGCCAGCCCCACGCGTTGGGGAGGGGATCCTCAAAAAAATCAACAACGCTACAACCATTACATGGCTGCCCAGCAGAAACCAGAGAGGTGGCGCTTGCTCACCATCCCGAGCGGGTGTGTCCCCGCCTTCCCAGGGAGATGCCAGGCCCGCCGACGGCGACGGCGGCACAAACGAGCGCGCCGGGGTGGCTGAGGCTCGGACAGGCGTCCCTTCTGGCCGGGAGGGTGTGTCGTCCCACTCCCACCGCCCGTCGTCCCAAGCCGAGCGCCCACCCCGCCGAGGAGAGGGGTCCTCCCACCGCCGCCCGCCGCCACGCCTGTCCCTGTCCCTACCCCTGTCCCTGTCCCTGTCACTGCCCCTCTCCCGGTGTCTGTCGCTGCCCCTATCCCCGTCCCTGTTGTGGGGTGTGTACTCCTCACGCCGCCGCCCTGACGATGACGACGGCCGCTCTCCGCTGTCCCGCTCCCTCCTCCCCTGGCCGTCGTCGCGCCTGTGCCTGTCAGCCTGCTGTCCTGCCCGCCTGTCGCGGCCCTCCTCGCGGTCCCGGGCATGGTCGCCCCTCCTGGCGTCCCTTTGCCTGTCAGGGGCATGCGCGGTGCTGGCGTACACCACGGCAGGCACAGCGGGGCGCTGCCGCTCAGCTATGGCAGCAGCCACCTCCGCATTGACACCGCCTGCAGGACAGCGCAGACCGCAGGCCATCAGCATCCGCACACATGGTTACTTTCTGCATCCGGTGCCTCCAGGAAAGCAAGAACGTTGGACTTCATGCAAGCACGGAAGCTCATACGACGGCGCCGTGCCTGCTTGTGGCGCGCTCACCTGGGTGGGAGGGCGTGTCCTGCGCCCTCGCCCAGCGGTAGTTCTTGACCTTGCCCCCGCTGGAGGAGGCGCCCTGCCCACTCTCCCTGCGGTCCTGCAGTGCATCCTCCGCCTCCCCGTCTCCGGCTTCCCCGTCCCCGCCCCAAGCCACTGCAGCCCCGTTGCTACTGCGCGCACGCTTGACCCCCTCCCCATTTAAAGCATCGGACGCTCGCTTAGCACGGGCCAAAGCGTCAAGGCCTGGGCGGAAATATTGGGACATCAAGTTAGAGACACACCGGGCCCTTCTTGTGGGCATCAAAACTGAACTTGAAGAGTCGTGATGCAGAACCTATTTTCATAGAGGTAAGTAACTACTTCCCGAGAGCAGGTATGAGCTTCCCGAGGCGCCAGCCCACCATCGTTGCACAGCAGGGGAAGCCTGTCTTGCTTAGTACAAGAAAGCAAGAGCAAAGCTGCCGGCAACAAAATCTGCGGCGAGCTTGCAATTGCTTAAACCTCACCTAGCACAGACTTTCTTTCTGCTGGCTGCTTGAAGAGCACGCGCTCGCTCGCCCCTTTGCCAGGCTGCAGGCCCCCCACTGCAGCAGCACCCTCGGACAAGCCTTCCAAGCGCTCCGAGGAGGCGGCGAAGCCGGCCATGGCCGCCTGAACAATGGGCGCAACAGCGACAGTCAGCATGCAGCAGCAAGGGACACACCACCCTCAAAAGACCAAAGCTGCGCTGGTAAGGAAGCATGCCGCGCGACGTTTCCGCCAAGCGCAATATTCTGCAGGTGTACTGCCACCAACGAACCGATCAAAACAAAGCCAATTGATGGCAATTGCGATGTGTCAGACCTCCAACCTTTTTTTTGTCAATCCTGATTCACTTCAAGCAACGATGACTGCTAGGCGCTGGGCATCTATCTATCTGCAAGTTGCACTTACCTCGTCACTGACACGGTGCTGCCTTCAATCTACCCCAGGTTGTCTAAGGATAGGAAGCGCCACAACTGTTCCACTTCAACCAGCTTGTCTCATTTGAGAGCGCTCAGGAAAAGCTGGATGATGAACATTCTCCAGCGATGGCCAGATTATACGCGCAGTGACTTTCGAATGGTCGTATATTGCTACGCTTTTGAAGTTCCCTTCTTATGAGCCTTCTTATGAGTAGCGTTTCATCGACTTTACTATCATTCTTTGCGTGTGTGCAGCCGGATGAAAGATTGTCATCGAACAGTCCTGCAGTAACGGCCGGGTCCTAAACGACCAGGTTTATGCATTTGGGGCAGCGCAATATGTTTAAACAGCCCCAATTTGGCACATTTTTATGCTTTACCCTTGGCCTGTGCTGACATTTAATAGCTTGAAGCTTGAATTAATGCCATCGCCAATGCGAAGGAGCAAGGACGTCTTTTGGAAGAACGTAGTGTTCAGCTTCTTGAGGCATCACATTCTAAACGAAACTGGTGAGGTTCCTGAAGTAGATAGCACTGCCCTTTGCACCACCCTCCCATCTTGGGGTGGTGACGTCTAGTGCCCCCGCTGCGGCCCCTGTTTAGCGGTGGTGGTGGCGCCATGCCGCTGCGGGTGGGCGCCTTACCTGGCCTGCTGGGCCTGCCCGGCCTGCATGCCGGCCCCCCCGCCGTGCTGGCGCCTCAGCCGGGCTTCATGCCGGTGGTGCCTCCGGAGACCAGGGCAGCGCTGCTGGCCAAGCTGGCCGCAATGCCAGCGGCGGGGCAGGAAGACGAAAAGAAGTGAGCGGTCAATTTTGTATGTTCAACAGCTATTGCAGGGCGCTGATGTGCAGGGTGGTGGAACATGGCAGCTGCTGGCAGAGGGGATCTGATGGGTGGCCGCCATAGATGGCCCAATGCGGTGCATCAGTGAAGTGCATTGCGTCGCTCACGACTGATTGTTGGCTGTGTGTGGCAGGCAGCTGACGGCACTGTTTGAGGACGGCGTGCGCACCGTGGAGGTTGCGGCGCAGCTGCTGGTCAAGGCCCTGCGCAAGACGGACAAGTACCTGCGCTTCTGGAGACAGCGCGCACAGGTCAGGCGCGCCTCATTGCAGTTGATTGCAATTCAGTCTCTGACGCTTGTCTCAGGTACAGCGATCGCTGATCAGTCGTCCCATGAAGCTACCGTTGGAGGTCACCCTGAGTTTCCCCCCCTTGTTGCCGCGCAGGGTGAGGGCTCGTCCAAGCTGCGCTTCATGCTGCTGGAGCGTGGCCCCTGGGCGTTTGGCGTGGGCGTGGTGGAGTACGTGCGGCGCGCTGTGCGGCGGGGCGGGGGCGGGGCCGCCGAGGAGCTGAGCCTGGAGCAGCAGGCGCTGCAGGGCATCGTGCAGCGCTGCGAGCGCCTGACCGCCATCCGGGACAGACTGGCCGCGCAGCTCGCGCAGGTCAGCCACTGGCCCAGCACAAGGCAGAGCCATCAAGGGTACAAGCTGTGTCGAGGGCAGCCTGGCTATCCCAGAGGAGATTGCAACATTGATTCACGTGACATGTCCAGTCTAGTTCTGTTTGTCGCCTGCTTTATTGTTCGCACTCTCCAGCTGTTGCCACTGCGCAGGTGCACGCGATTGGCGCCCGGCTGGTGGCCCAGGCGTCGGCGGGGGAGCTGCGGCGCGCACTCTCAGGGGCGCTAGCGGACCTCCTGGATGCCTTGGAGCGCCTGCAGGGGGAATACCCACAGCCGCAGGTGAGACCATCATTGCTGTTTTTGCTGCCACCAGAATCTTTAGAGCTGTGTGTTTCTTTCGTGGACATGGCTTGATTAACAACCTGGCTGCAAATTGCGTCCTCGGCTATCTTGGACGCTTCTTCAGTTTAAAGCTCCGTGAAACCAGTGCAATCTCGGGCTGTGTATACTTTTCACCCCTGACAAGTCGGAAGTCGCTCTTCCCCTGTACTTTCCTTTCCTCACAAGAGCCAAAACCACTCTCTTTGTTCCTGCAGGACTCCGTCCTCGGGCGGCCCCCTGCCTCCTCCTCCCCCTCCCCCTCGTTCCAGGTCAGTTTGCGGCCGCGCTCCGCGTCGTTGAAGGGCGGCCAGGTCACGGGTCGCGTGATGGAGTGGCGCAGCGCGGTGCTGCAGAAGGCGCTGGCGTGCGCGCGCCAGGACCTGCTCGACCTGCACGCCTGCATGGGCCACCTGCTGCGCCCGTATCGGCCCCCCGGCCACCGCGAGCGGCTCTGGCTGCGCTACGGCGCGGGCGCCCTGGCCGCATCCGCCGCGGGGGTGTGGCTGGTGCGGCACAGCGCGCTGGCGGGCAGCGACGACCTGGAGCGGTGGGGGCGCCAGCTGGCGGACAGCGTGGCCACCTTCTACAAGGAGCACGTCAGGGACCCCGTGAGTAGGGCATGCCCGCAGTGAAGTGAAGTCTTGGTGGACTCCGTATTCTTGGAATTTGATGGAAGCATCTTGAACCTTCGTCCGAGGTTACTTTGCTGTTGATGAAAGAAGCCAGTCGTAGGCAGCGTGGGGCACATCAATTTATGTATTCACGAGGTTCGAAGGGGAGGGGCCGAGGCTGTGCCGCCCAGGTGTTGTTTCATTTTGCAGGCCACCTCGACAGACCCAACGATACGAGACCTCTGAGTCGCCCGCTTCCTCGAGGCAGATCTTGCATATTTTGTCTTCTGAGTAGAAATCTTCGACGAAGATGAATGTGTGTATGCTGCTCCCGTCTTCTCGAGGCGCTTTTCCGTTCGTGATTGCGGCTTGTGTGTACGATGCAGGTGACATCCATCGGCGGCGAGATCTTCTCGACGTTCCACGAGCGGCCACGCTCTATCGTGGAGCCTGCCGAGATCAAGGCCAACGAGGACTCCCTCCGCAGGTACGCCCTGGAAAAAGACCCCGACAGGCACAGTCAGTCGTCAGTGACGGATCACCAAAAGGAGGATCAGTGCTTTCCAGATCGTGATCGCTATTCGGCTCGGCCGTTCTTCGTCTTTGACGTGTTGGCAGCGTCCCCTGCCCGCGGCGCTGCCCTGGACGGTGCCTGACGCGGGTGTCCTCCGGCGTGGTGCAGGATGCTGGAGGCCTTCTCGCAGGACAGCAAGGCGGAGCTGCCCACACCGCCGCCGCAGGCCAAGACGCAGGACCTCATGGACGTGCTCATGAAGAAGTGAGCAGCCAAGCGCGCCGAAACGCTCGACTTTTAAAACCAGATTGCAAAGGCTCCTCATGCTTCGGTGCATTGTCTCGCCTCCGTTCATATTTCCGCTAACTCGACTTCCAAGAAGACTACCGATGCTCAGTAACCACCCCGCTGCCCGGTTTTGACAGTTCCGTGATCCCGTGCAGGTACGAGGCGGAGCTGCTCCACCCGATGCGCTCCATCCTGAGTGGCGAGCTCGCGCGCGCCCTGCTTATCCAGGTGCGCTGTCACCGCCGCCAATGAACACGGCAGCCCGCATGTGCGCCTCCCCGGGCTGCGTGCGGCCTTGTATCAAAGCAGGCCACGACTTGTTGCGCATTGCGATTATCAAGTGTTCGCAGCCTGGATGCGCTGCCGCTCCTTCTGTGCGCTGCACCGCATGATACAGCGGGTCGTTGCTCCTCGTCTGACGCAGCGCGCTTGCCCGTGCGCGGTGGTGCGTGCAGATCCAGAAGCTGAAGCTGGACGTCCAGGTGGCCATGCTGGAGCTGGACCAGGTGCTGCGCAGCAACGAGATCAACTTCGGCGTCATGGCCGCCCTCCCCGCGCTGCTGCTCGCCGCCGCCGTCCTCTACGCGCTGCGCCAGGCCACGCGGCCCAAGGTCCGCCCCGCCTCCTTGATGCGACTCCTTGTCGTTGTCAAGCTTGGGTGGGGTCTACGCTCTCTGCAATGCTCGGTAACAGGGTGCAGTATTGCTTGTTGAAGCTCCTTGCTGCCCCGTGTGGCAGGACGAGTTGGGCACGGGGCGGGTGGCGCAGACGCGGCGGCGGCAGCTGTTGGCGGAAGCGGAGGGGGTCCTGCTAGAGGCGCTGCGAGACGAGGGCCGGGACGCGCAGGTAGGGTCGGGAGTGCACGCAGCGTACGCCTTCCTTGCAGATGGCCAGGGCTGATGACTGCAGATGGTTGGCCTCAGTCGATGACGTGCAGCACCTCGTGACCTCGTATCGTTGCTACGAGGAGCTCGTCCTCGACCTTCCCTTTTTCGGTTGCAGGGCGGGAGCGGGGTGCGGCAAGGGCTGCTGCTGTTCGTGGTCCACCGGCTGTACCAGGCGGTGCAGCCGCACGCTGTCAAGAACGACGAGTGGAACAAGTGAGCAGGCCATGGCAACGGCTCAACAACGGGCGCCTCTGATTTGTCGCTCTGCATTTTTTGCCGCACACTGTAGCTTGATATCGACAATATATACAACTGCAACTAGTGCACTTATGTCATGCTCTTGCCTGTTTCTCGAATGCAGCCTACGAGGGGATCTTCTGGCACTGGCCCAAGTAGATGTGGGCTTCCGGCACAAGCTTAGAATAACAAAACGGATGTATGTAGCATACGATTGTCTGACAACAATACCATTGCCGTTATAGCCTAAGCTTAACTCAAGAACAACCGTCCAAGTGACGTCGCATGCAATTTGTCAGCTTGTTAGCCGAGATAAGGATAAATTATGGTCAAAATAGAATGACGAACGCTTCTTGTAATCAAGGTGATTGAAGCCGCAGACTGATGTTTGGATTTGTATCATCATATCACCTCAGCCTGCAAGCATGATTGGAAGCCTGAAGAGAAGGCTTCAAGGTTGGAATACGGCCGATCCTCGGAATCTGTTGTATCAAGCCTGCTAAGTTCCTGGCTCACCAGCCAATCTATCGGTTTAATTACCTACGGGCAGCTAGCTTGGCGATAATTTCGATCGGGTGACTTAGGGATGGTCCTTCCGAGCTTCCGAACGTGAGCTTATACTGACCACATTCATGACACTAGCTAGTAGATTGCCAGCCTATGGACACCAGATTGGCCGCGCGGAGCAATATAGATTGCGCGCGGCATGCTAGTTCCGTGGTGTATATAATGCGTCATGATTCGAGTGGCATTAAAAGGAACTCAAACGTATGCATAACACCTATGTATCATTGGTTCATACGTAGCTATGCAATTAACTTGTGATCCAATCTTTCCGGCCGCGAGTCCAATATTGAAGCTTCAATATTGTGTCCTTAAACACAAGTATTCTGGCGTTTTGCACTGATCTGGAATCCAATTTGAAGCATGGCAGGCTGAGTCAATGCATGATGCAGGTTAAATATCAACGTATGCAGTCCCCGGCCGCTGACTAGTTATTGTTATTGTTATTGTTTGATTAGCGTCGGTTCGGAGCCGTGATCGGCTAAGTCGACGATTGTCCTATTACGCTAGCTCGCTTATCTAAAGCAAGATGCACGAATTTACCTACCACATATGTGTCCTGCAAGTTAAGAAAAGCTTTCAAGTCTCTATGTCGTCTGTCCTCGAATAGAAACTGAAAGGTCGTTCGAATGTCACTATAACCCGAGCAATCATATACAAAATGACTCTCCGTCTCTATTGCTCCCGACTTACAGACCTGGCAATGTCGCTCATCGCGAGCAATCCCTTGCCAACTCCCTGATTCAATAGCGAGCTTGTGTGCTCCCACTCTGAATTTGGCTAGGGTTGCAAAGTGCGCGGAGACGCCTATTTGATCTATGAAAGGCTCAAAGGAGTAGCCGATCTTGACTTCACCAAAGTACGTGCAGAACTTTCGGCCATAACCCTCCCTCGGGTCCTGCATATATGCCATCTCAGACCTCTCTTGAAGCAAAGCTAAGTCCAGAACACCTGTACTTTCGTTTGCTGACACGAGTTCGCAAGCTTTTTCTACGATCCTCGCGTACCACCCGCCCTTGTTTGCTGCCCACATTTCCCTCGACTCTTCAAAGGCCAAACGGGCCAGCCGATCCTGGGGAAGGCTCGCTGTGCGGTTCACGAACTTGAAGACCTGCGCCCAGCGATCAAGGAGCAAGGAAAACCGACCAAACTCTCCCAGAACCGCCTTTGATAGCGTCGATTTCCGAACTCGCAGAAGACCCCGCAAGAATGCTCGACCAACCTTCTCCGGACCGTCCCCATCGCCATTCCATCCCCACTCCGGACCGTACCCGGGACCCCAGACTTCCGCGCCATACCCCAGGATCGGTCTGACCAGTACGTCAAACAGACCCACCCTCGTGCTCGCTTTATGCAACCCAAGCTCGGCACACCTCCGTTCCATGGCAAAGTTGGCCTTCCGCCCCGCTTCTACCAAATGCTGAACGGCCTCTTTAAAGCTTCCAATACAACTGAACTGGACCCCTAAGTAACGGTAGCTTTTGACTATCTCGACTTGCTCACCACCATACCTGAAGTCGTGCTTCCTCTTTTGACTGCCGAATTGACCCCCAAAGACCACAGCCTGCGTCTTTTGAAGGTTAACAGAAAGACCACTCTTTTCCGAGAACCTTTCCAGCACTTCTAGCTTTCGCTGCAAGCCCTCTGGATCCGTCGAAAGAAGAAGGACGTCGTCCGCAAACGCCAAGAGCGGAACCCCAACTCCCATTAGCGTTGGATCTCCCCTCCCCCGCATCGAATCCTCCAAACCGTCTGTGTACAGCCCGAACAACAATGGACTAAGAGGACAACCCTGTTTGACTCCCGAGTTGCTTTGGAAGCTCTCTTCTGAGATCCAACCATCTCCCCTGACCCGGCAACGCACGTCGGTGTACATGCTCCGCACGCTCTGCAGCATTTTCACCCCCACTCCTAGTTCTTTCAGCCGTTGCCACAACTTTTCTCTGGGCACCAGATCAAACGCTTTTCTGAAGTCGACAAAGCAAGCAAAGAGGTGCCGATCCCTACCTCGACCCCATTTTTCGATCAGGACACGCAGCGTAAGAAGATGATCTGTTGCTCGGAAACCTTTTCGAAACCCGGCCTGCCCTTTTGCCCGAATTGACCCTTTCTCGGCCCACTCCGTCAGCCTTCGGTTGATGACAGTTGCAAACAGTTTGCCCAACACCGGCCCCACTGTCACCGTCCTGTAATTGCCATAATCTGACGGGTCTCCTAGTGGGTGGCGCACTGAATGCCAGTGCTGATGCGACTCGCTAGCTCAACATGCACTACTGCATATAGTATAGGCGCGGCACTGAGGCGCGGGTCCGAGGCCGCCGCGCCCCAGTTCAAGGCACCGATGCATCATGATTCTCGAAACTATTGAATATTGATTATAGCTAGCTGATCGAGTCCCAACGCAATCAAAACATGCCTACTAATGATAAGCTGCCACTGGCCGCGTGCGGATGCGCATCCAATCAAATGTCAATCATGTGTACTAGACCGTCATGTGTATCTGCACTTCGATCTGACTTAGGACGGTAGTATAGCAGTTCAATTACATGAGCCATGGCGGTGGCAGTCGAACAGCAATTGGCGAACGTTGTTGTCCATATGCCATGATTGTGCGGCACGATTAATTCCAGTACTACTGGAATTAATCGTGCCGCTGGCATGTAAACGGGCCCCATGTAGTACATGGGGCCTGCGTTTCAATGCATGCAATATCCCCGCAATGGACTTCAGCAAAGAAGCTCCGGGTGAGCGGAGATCGACGGTGCATATTGACACACTGATCATGACAAAGTTTGTCCGTATTACGATGCGGGCCTCGTAGTGACGAGGCCTGGGGCCAATCGGATAGGGCCAGGCCGGGCCCCTGAGGTTGAAACGGGGATTGGGTGGCCGCCACCATGTTGAGTCTCACCGTCGATCACTTACCCTGACATGTGGCCCGGATCGTCCAAAAAGATGGATACGTATATTCCTTACTTGCTTTTGTATTAGCCGGGTTATTGAACGTGGTCCAAGTTGGCGTTGTATCGCACGGTTGCTAGGCTGAATCATCCGAGTCCTAATTCATAAACGCTAAGTTGTATCATATATCAATGTTATGATTAGAACAAGCGAGGCGGGTTCAACTTGCATAATGGATGTTCACCTTTGAATATGCATATTATAGGGAGCGGTGCCGTGACAGTCCTAAACGGAGACAGAGTCCATGGTTTCATGCAAATACTTTGACTTTATATTGTCCATGTCCTTCAGGAAAAGTCTGATCAGATGTTGCCATAAATCAAAACTATACAAAAGAAAGGGAAAAGAGGGGAGCACCAATATTGCAGAAGCGATTGAGATTCCCAGCCGGCTCAAGTCTTCAAAGTGGTCACGAACTTTAGTAGCATATCAACAACCTGCAAAAGAGAGATTCGTATCATTCAATCCAAAGAGTAAGTATCTCATCTCAGATTATACAGAAAGAGTTCTTCCAGGAGATTTGCAGTATCTGAAGCTCGAACAATTGCATAAGCACCCACTATGAATAATTCAATGATAGAAGGATAAATCCGTCAATCAACGTTGGGGATTCAATCACTGCTAACAAGGAGTCCCCTCAAAGTATGGAGAAAAGAACAGCATAAACAAAAGCGAACTGTAGAAACAAAAAAAGAGTTCAGAAGGAATCTCAAATGGAGGAGAGAAGGCCACATAGAGCTCACCTCAGGTCCCTTCGACTGTGCTTCCTTTTGCAATGTCGCTATCTTCTCCTTAGTTTCAACATCAAGACGCTTTACATTTGCTCCCGAGTCTCCAGAGGTCTGTTGAAGAAAAAGAAATGTGTTTATACTTAGGAGAACAGTTGTGGGTTCGCAAATCAGCACTTACAATCTGGTGCAAAAAAGCTGCGGTTCTGCCGCTGAAAAGTGCAAGGAAGAAGTAGTGAGTGGCAGCAATGGTTCCCAAGTTCCCATCTTCAATGAATTGGTTTGAGCTGGAAAAGCATGACATCATCACAAGTTTGCAGAAGAGTAAGCCTCACATCAGCCAACTTCTTGCGGAACTCCTCTTCTCTTTGCGCCCGGTACCGGCCAACTTCTCGTTCAGCTTCCTCCTTTGCTTGCCTCAGTCTTGCAGTTTTTGCTGCACAAAATAAGATCTGGTTCTGTTCAGCGCGGGATCCATTGAAGCAGGGAATCCTGTCAGCTTTGTCTTAGCGCCCTATCTTTGAAATCAAAGAGAAATTGATTGATTGAAGTGTCGGCACAATACTTTGCAGGGCAAGAGAGCAATTTATATCGAGGTTCTAGCAAGATCACAACAAAAAACATAAAGTAGCCCCTTACGGCAAGACGTCAGAATTCAGGACGGTCACGAAAGACAGTCACCTAATGCATCAGCCAATACAGGGATTCAATCATAGGAAAGTCTTCGACGTATAATGCCTGTTTGATGTGCCTGGATAATGGCATCAAACAATTTGACCTTGCCAGCCGATAACCGGCAATCCTTGCACATGAGATTATCCACAAAGTGGTTTGGGACTTATGTCTGCACTAAACGTGAAAGTATCTCATGTTCTGGAACTTTGAAGGATCATATCTTTTCCAGACTGAGGGCTCATCTGACAGTGATCAATCTCTTGACAGCCGCCTGAAAAGCTGAGAATTGTGCTTCTGATAATCCAGAATAACTTTTAGTGAGCTTACCTCCTGGAATCTAGACGAAGCAAAAACAGTGATCCGCACAAATATCACTGCTCTCATCAAATCTCAAAATCACATAGGACAATCTATGATTGCAGCTGTGCATAACAAACAATGAGCATGTACACAGAAATTTCTAGATAGCGGAGTACATTGATTGATTTCAATGAGATGGTCCAGGAGATTGGATCCTTCCAGGAATTGCAAGAAGAGCAAGGTCATCTGAAGGCCATGAAGTTCACAGCTAAGGCAATTCAATGCACCCAGCCCGGCAACAATGATGCCACAGCAAGCCAATTGACCCTTGGTTGTTGGTTTCCTTGAGGATCTTACCTGCCCTTGCAGCAGCGACAATCTTTTGAGCTTCCTGCTCTGCTGCCAAAAGCTGCTGAATTCCTCCCTTACTTCCTTCTGCCATCCTGCAAGACTAGTGTGCAAAATTGCCTTTCCAGATTGCCCACTTGCACGTTGCAGAAGCATAAACCTCGGGAGCACTGGCCGCTGGTATCCTGTCCTTTGGGGCTACGACTTATCCGCCAGCACAGCGCCTATCCAGGATCCTCACACGCCTATCAATCTAGCTACGTATCAATGCTAGATCATACCAAGGGAGTCGTCTGAAGGAGGAGCCCTGGAGCCTGAGGAGCCGCCCAAGCTGCGCTGCAAGCACCTGTAGTGAACCCTGATCTGATCTTGCAGCGGGTTGCAGATTGCATGGTTTCCGGACTAAGCTGAAGCGGTTCCGGTATCCTAGAATCCGGTTTACCGGTATCATTTATGCCAGTCTGCAATGTGCATGAGGCTGAGCCTTGACTCTTGAGAGGACAATATTTAATAATACCCGTGACCTTAGTTCGAAGAGAAACAACTCTAGATGGATGACATCCGCTCAGATTGCATACATTGGGAATCGACGGTTTCAATACCATCGTACTTATCACCTCTGTCAAGGTCACCTTGAAGGTGGGTTAAGGCCCTCTATTCGCCAACGCTCACGTTTGGTTACACAAACTCGCGTCGTGAAAACCTTTCTGCCGGGGAGTGCGAGACAGCACAGTTCTACAGTCTACAGTACCGGTACTAGTATCTTGGCTATACCGGTATACTGGTACTGCTGCACCATGTATACGGTTTACTCGAGATGAATGGCGGAAGTGCAGGCCGCATAAGTCCGCATTTGAAGCAAGAGCAATTTCTGTGAATAGCCTGAGTTGGTTCATTGCGCCTCAGCAGGCTAAGGGGTGCTTTTTGTGTTGGGGCTAAGGCATCGAAGGCCACCCTGACCTATCAGGTGTGAAGGAAGGCGCACACGGATATAAGTGACTAGGTAGCTGTTGTGAGTGGTGCCAATCCAATTATCATTGTTTAGATCACAAACAAACCGCTAAAAGTGCCGACACGCACTGTACAAATATTCGATAGATCAAAGCTCGTGCGCAGGTTCATTTACAAGGATGAGCTCCTCATGATGAAGTTTTGTGCCCTATGTGACCTGGAAAGTGCTAGTAAGGAGTAGCGACTGCACAAGTCCACAAGGTGAGAGAATACCATCACACACCCCAGAGCATCATGGAGACAAAATGTTGCGAATATCTGCTTCTTCCGTATGTCTATCTTGTGTACCAGGTCTGGACTGCTGCGCAAGAACGTTCTAAGTCCCGCTTTTGCAATTCGAGCTTGATTCTAAACGCGCGTCCTCACCTAGAGTACCCTTGAGGCAAAGCCCATGGTACGCTCGTCTCAGGCTGTTAGAAGGTAACCTTCCAGGTGCCAGGATGCGACGAGTTTGGACGTGGCTTGGCTGGGGCTCGGCGATAGCTGCGCTGTGGGTGGCGGCGCTGCAGGCCGACCTGAGTGAAGCGCAGCGCGGGGTGATCCAAGCAGTGAGCAAAAGCAGCCACGCATTTTCCACGGACAGAAGTCCTGTAGAAAGCAGTCCTTTAAGTGCTTGTCTACTTTGTGGGGCAAGCTGGGGAAGAAGAGTTTGCCTGTTTGTTGTCAATGAACAATATGCGCACTCCTTCTGAGACCCAAGTAACTGCGTAGTGTGGTGGCTTGCCCCCTGCCTCACATCTCATATCCTTGATGAAGACAGCCACAGTGGTTTGAAATGTTGGTTGAAGTGATGGTGTCTCGTCCAATCCTTGTAGCTCCCCATCTGGGCACTGGTGGTGTTCGGTTGCTACTCCCTCAGCGTCGTTGGCTACGAGATCATGTTCTTCCCTGCCTGTCCTGATGAGGCAGAGAAGCTTCAAAAGGTGAGTCCCTTTGGCTCTCAACAGTTCTTCCGGGCATATCAAACGCCACATGAAAAGAAAAGTGAAACGTGGCATACTGGCACCCTCAAGCACTAAATTTGTGGGAAACGGTTCTTTTGAGGCCGACCTTCTTTGTGGTCTTCCTTGTTTTGGCCTCCAACATCCCGGACGCTCTACGCACCGAAGGAAGCCTTGAACGCAACAACGAGGCGAGCAACTAATGATACCATTATCCAGGGGTTCTAGCAGTATTTTTCCGGGTGTGCTTTCTGCACGGCGGGCTCCGCTCGAATGGGCAGCAGCCTTGCCCGGGCGTGCAGCTGGGAGCCCTGAGCCAAAGACTTCGCCTGAGCCACTGAAGTTTCGTTTCCGCCAATTCAGATTGCCAAGAGCCTGCCACCGTAAACTGCTTCCGGCATTTGTCTGGGCGGGTTCAGTCATTTGAGAACTCCGGCGTCCCTATACGAAGCTGGCACTCTGCAATTCTGGGATCTGCTACCAAGATTCCCCTTGAGAAGCTTGCGAACGGTCGAAATTGAAGCACCATGGTTTCCGGTTGGACAATCTGAACTGTTGAATACTTCCATCGGCTAGTGGAATCAAGCTACGTCCTGTTCAAGGGCTGCAGGAGTTGGCCGACTGACGAGCCCTGAGCTCCCATGCTTTATACATCGAGAAGGACTGTTGGAAAACGATCTTTCGAGTGAGTTTGAGACGAAGCTAAAAGTGCCCAGCCACTGCCAGCGGGACAATGGGCCGGAAGCTTTAGTCACCGGGGCTGTCCAACCTGCACGGCGTGGAGAACTATCCCCAGCCGTGCTGTGCACGGCGATCTGTACGGCCTGAGAACCCCTGCCGTTCAAAAAGCAGAAAGCTAACGTCGCTGAGCCCACGTCTTGCAGGATATTCGGGTTGCTACGGCCTACCTGAACAAACACGGAATCAGTGTTAGCAAGTAATCAAGCGGAATAAAGTTGGAATGCTTTATGATCCACTTCTACGGCGCGCACCTCAATTTTGGTCTTGGTTTTCCCCAAGGATTCTCCCTGGGGACACAAGGATTGGTCATGTACAGTTAGATAGTGAATACGATTGTGTAGGAAGGTGAAGCTCGCAACAGCCAGGATTATGGAGGTGAGTCCCTTCAAAGTTGATGGTCGAGTAAGTACTCCTCAATTAAACCGCCTTTGATTCATACTGAAAGGCCAGCCAGGGTCAAAGGGTGCACTAGGCTACACATGCTTGGATTGCATCTACGCCGTGGCTTGGTCTTGCCGTAGACGATTTTGGTCCTTGGGGCAGGCCACCTCCTGGCGCCTAGCCCGAACTAGTGACGGTAAATGGCACTTAGTAGATTGTTGGTCGTTTGCAGTGATGTCCAATGCGCTATCGTTGGTCCTGCAGATCAATCTCCGGCTATCACATCCTGGACCCTTGACTGCATCTCAATGTCGAATGTTCAACCCGACTGAGTCTTGCATATTGCATAATGGTCGGATGCGGCCTGTATAATTCTTATACATTAGGCACCCATTCCGACCATACTATGCATATTCCAAGTTGACTTTTGACGATCGGATCCCGCAATGCGCGCATTATGCTTGCACGTCGTTGGACACAAGACTCGGATCATGCAGCATAACTGCCTGATAGAAGATCTCGCCTGCGCTACTGGAAAGCTCGGATATCTTGCATACAAATATTATAAAGCGCTACAGCCTGCAATTCAATCCGACGATCTCCAATAATATTCACGATTCGAGCTCGCGCGAGCATGCTGGCATCATTGCCAGATCATGCAAAGTTGAAGATGACAATTATCATGTTAATATATCCGGGGACTCCCGATCTGTGCGCATGCAGGGATCAGGCCGATATATATCAACGTATGCAACGTTCATGAGCATATGCATATTAGTATACGTCTCCGAGTCCGGTGTGTAAAATAGATTGTGCGCATACAATTTAAGATATGAGTCGGTGTGAGTCCGGTTGACTGAGACATCCAAATATATGCACTATAAAGCTGTCGGAAGTTTGAGGTGGTTCTGTATAACTCGAGTCCATCAAATATCGTTTCAAGTCGATCAATGATTGATTGAAATGGCCCTGTAAATCTTTAAAGAGGTATAAGTGAACAGTACAAAGTAAACTTGCAAGGGAAAGAGTCTTCAAGGAACCAAAATTGAAGTTTGTGGACTCTGTGTGCAGCCACTCTCCAGCCTGCTCGGAACCACCCTGCACCTTGCTGAATAATGCTCCTAATAAAGAGCATCGCGCTGCAAAATTGTCCTACAGCTACCCCTCTACGGTACGGTCTAGCTCACATGAGCCGGACAGCCAATTTTTGGGAACTACCAATGAGGCTGCACCCTTGGGCAACTGCCACATTCTAGTGCTGTCCAAGTCTAAGGCTAAAGAATTCTTCGACTGAACTTGAGGAACGAGGGGGACCCGAAAATCAAGAGCAGATCTAGAGCTCTGGCTCTGTTCAGCTCCTGCTAGCAGTCCTACCTCCCAAGCTTGTAGTATACACTAAGCACTTCCTCGAACTGGGCTCGCTGCTATGGTACTTTTTAGGGCATAGAGGCACGACGTTGTGCATACGCGAACGGAGCCCAGTCCTTCAGGCTTGCCAAGGACAGCACTTCCACTTTGACCGAGTGGGCAACGGAATAAGGGGGCACTTGGTTCCCCAGAGTCTTCCCTTTCTATCTATCATCCGTTCTCTTTTTTTTAAGGTTTTCATTTACGACGTCTCCTATGCAACACAAACACAGCTAAGAGGGCAACGCGCGCGTTCAGCTCCCCCCCCCAAAGACCGCCCCCAAAATCTTCAACACCAACATCAGCAACGTGCACTGCTGTAGTGTTCCACGCGGGGTTTCAGCTGCCGCCCAAATGCGGGACAACTCTTGCCGGCGCCGGCGGAAGGCCTCCCCTCCACCGGCCCGGCGGTCGAGTGGTCCCTACCAATGGATGTCCATGCCGTCTCCGTTCTTTTGGAGCTCGGCCAGCACTCCCTCCATGGAGGGGGGGTTCAGCCCCAAGGGCAGAGAGCTGTACGGGTTGGCCAGGGCCTCGCTGATGGCCGCGTCCAGAATCTCCTTCGGCTGCACCAGCGAAACAGCGCACCGGTCAGGGCGGGGACGCGCGAGGGGGCAGCAGAGCAGCAGGAACGGCTCCACAATCCTTCTCGATATCATCCACCAGCCTTTTTGAGTCCTGATTCATGCACATGCGACATACGTAAAGAGGCCCGGCATAGCTGCTGCTGAAGTCGCTCTGCTTTTCTCACCGGGTTCAGCTCTGGCGGCCCCTGCATGGCGGCCGCGGTGGCGGCGGCTGCCACGTTGGAGTGCTGCATGGGGTGCAGGGGGTACATGGGCAGGGCCAGGCCGTCCTCGGGGCCGCCCCCTGCAAACAAACAGCACAGCCGCGTCAGGACGCCTTCGCAGGAATGTCAAGGGACGGACAAACCGTTGCAAGGGAACGTGGGAAGCCCTTAGCATGAAAACGGCGTTCTCCGTCGCGGAGGACCATCAAACGCCTAGCAAGAGCACCTTTTGGGAGCCAGCATCGAGTGAGAGGAAGAATAAGAAGATTTCAAACAAGGCTCGCACAGTAGGCCATTCCGGACAACCATCCCACGCACCTTGCCCTGGCCCCATCTTGATCATGAGCGGCGGGGGGTGCACCCAAGGGCTCCCTGGGGCTGGGTGCATACCCCCCTTCATCATCAGTGGTGGCCCGTGCGGCCACCCTCCCGCCAGGTGCGGCGCCGTTGGGTGGCCCCACGTCTCCCCATGCTGCCACGGCATGCCGTCCGCCCCCATCCAGGGGGGGGAGGGCATGCCCATGTGCGGCGCATGCCACATGTGTCCCCCATTGTGGTCCATTGTCGGGTGGCCCCACACGTGCAGGGGGGGACCCATAGGGGGCCCAGAGTGGAGGGGGGGGAGCGCAATCTGCGCGGGGCGTGGTTGGATGGGGGGCTGGTGGGAGGAGACGCCGAGCCAGGCAGTGCCGTCACGGCGCGCGCGCGTCCACTGGGCAGACTCGGCGGGGCGCCGCGCCCAGTTGGTGGCCTCGCCCTCCTTGGACTGCAGCATGTGCTTGCGATGAGTGCGGTACTTCTGCAGATACACACACTGCGCATCAACACGCGGTGCAAGCACACGCCAAAGCACGCAATGGACCAGCAACCCAGTGAATTAGCAACGCTTTAAGCTTCATTACAATCGTTTACCCACAATTGCAACCAAAAAGGATAAACTCAACCCACCAATACAGAGAAGCGATTCTGCAGTAGCTCAGGGGGTAGAAAGGCAGGCCTGGCAACAGATTGCCAATAGAGGTAAGAGGGGAGTAGATCAACATAAGCTGAACGCGGGTGTTCTAATTGCAAGGGGTCCCGCGGTGTGCTCACCTGGAGGTGGCTGGCCACGTTGTGGCGCGTCAGGTTGGTGACCCCCATGTGGTCCAGGATCTTGGACGGGATGGCCTTGTCCACCCCAATCTTCTCCACTGCGTCCACAAACCGCCGGTGCATCTCCGGCGACCAGTCCATCTTTTTGCTGCGCTTGCTGCACCGCTCGCTCTTGCCCCCCGTCCCGTCGCTCTCGTGCCCCGTCTCGCCGTCGCTCTGCCCCGACCCGTCAAAGCTGATCAGGCTGTCGTGCCGCATCAAGCTCCCATCTCCCGAGTGCTCCGAGTACGGCCCCGGCCCTGCGCAGCTGTCGGGGCTGTCCTCTGCGATGCACGCCATCTCTGCCAGCATGCGCGCGTCCTCTTCCTCCAGCTCCCGATTGTGGATCTCGCCCCCCCCCATGGGGTCCAGGTTCAGCTCCAGCGTGTCTAGTGGCAGGAAGCTGTCAGCGAGACACAGGTCGCCGTCGACATGCCCGTCCGCGTCCACGACCGCCCCTCCCAGGCAGTCCGCGCCGTCCAACTCCAGCTTGACATCGATCAGCCCGTTCTGGTCGTAGATTCCAAATCCATCAAAGCCGTCCCCCCCTTCCCGGAAACTGAACTCGCCATTGCCCCCTGGCGAGCGCTGGGTATCCGAATCCTCGGCCTCGCTCTTCACTGCCGCAACATTAGTGATGTCCGAGTTCTGAGGGGAACTAGAGATGGGGGACGCCTCATGCTCAGTTTTGACCTTGGTCGGGGCAGGGGTGCCTGCACAGCGGTCGCAGCTGCTGGTGCCTTCAAGGGCCCCCTCGTGGGGCTCGCCTGACGCGGGAGCCCGGCTGGCAGAGTGGTTGTCCCCGGAGCTAGTGGCAACATCCTCGGCCCCGTGCGGCTCCTCCTTCACTTTAATGAGCGGAGCCGCCTTTAGGGGAGGGCTGGACCCCTCCCGCCCCGGCTTGACCAACTTCACACCATCTTGATGGGCCTGGCAACAGCAAGGAAACAGCACAGTCAAGCAGCAGGACACCAGGGAGGGCCAGGGATGGAGGCAGTAACATTGTCATTGCTATTTGCACAACTGCACTCAACCCTTTCAGGTGAAGAGTGGAGATATTGCTCCAAGAATTCCTCTCCACAGCTACTAGTAGTCACATTCTGAGCATTGGTTTGCAAAAGCTGGCACCGCTGTCTGCCTTGCACATTTGCCGCTCTTGACAATTGTGAAGGCGATAGACGAGGTCAGGAATTAGGCAGTCAAGAGCAGACCAGTCTCTCCTCAAACTCAAAAATGTCATCTGTTGGTAGAGCTGTAAGGCTGCACGTGCTGCGGCTCACCTTTCTAACTACGTGCATCCAGATGTTTCTATCTTTTATCTTGTCAACAGTCAGGGGCTTTTGTACAAAGTCAACTGCTCCCATCTGCAGGAATCCATGACGCAATGTCAGAATGCTACATTGTGCACGATAAGTGTGCACATCCATGTCGGTCTTGCGAACAGGAACACGGTTGATGCTGGCACGTGTTCCTAGCTGCTCTTGCTCAGGGGAAACAATCATTCTCAAGGGGATGGGTTGAGAGCAGGGCAACAATGCCGCGCCTTTTGCACATAATGTGACATCAAGACTGGCTTAGGAGCTGCGGCATTGCATCTCACCGTAACAGACTGTGTCATGAGCAGCATGTTCTCAGCTCCGGACATCACTGCAGGGACACGACTGGTCAGAGCTCGCAGGTCTGTCTGGACTCAGTTGAGATGCGCCCTGCAACCTTTGCTGTAAGAATGATTACTGTACACCGCTCTTGTGCCAACAGGCGCAGGAGAGCACAAGTAGCAGGAAGCGAGGCTCTGCAGTTATTGAGGAGAATTTACAGGCATGCTCAGCTGCTGAAGCAAAGTGGGCCTTGTGACCATTTCCTAAGGGAGCAGGACAGTGACCCTTGCTCAAAGAATGCAGTGAGGCGGAGCACTCACAGATGACGGGCAATTCAGTAGACGCCTTTTTCAGGTCAAACGCGTCTGCCCCTTCTTGCGCCATGGTCGCCTGCAGACACCAAACATAGAAACTTGCAGCTCTGCAGTCACGTCAAGCAGAGTGCTTGACAAATGGCCCCATTTCTTGCAATTTCATGGCCTTGTGACTCTGATTTGAAACACAAGTTTTAGGCAAATACTGCGCCAGGCAAGTACTGCACCTGACTTGTTGGATTTCAGGTACACGTACGAAGCTTGTGAAGAGCAGCATTCCCATTGCAGGACGATTGGAGGACTGCAAGCAGCAGCCGCAAAACTCTGCTCTATCCGTTCCACTTGCAGCACCGCAAACCAGCGACCCCAATACCTGGCAGCAAACCTCCTGCCCCGATGCTGGAGTTGACATTCGGACCTGCCTCTTTAAGTGCATATACGACAAGATGAACAGCGCAACTAAGGAGGTTGTGGCCACGGCACTCGGCATGTGCTTACCTCGACCAGCGCAACATGGAACTGTTTTTGCCCCGCCTGCAGTGTAGACAGAGCCTGAGCTCCACTGGAGGCGGTGGTGGCTGCGCACACAACCCCAAATACAGAACAGTCAGCAGAGCCAAAAAGAAGTCGCATCTTGCCACCCCATTGCGGGTACACGTCATCACTTCTTAGACCAATAATTGAACTGACGAGCAGCTCCTGTAACTGGGACAGCGCTCGCTTCGCTGTAATGAGCTTTCCTCTTTGCTGCTCCATTATCAGAAACAGTACTCTGAAAGGAACTGATCGAGAGGGTCCACCAAGAGGAGTTGGCTTTCATGGCAATGCTCAATGGTGCGCTGAGATACTACGGACGTGAGACGCCAACCGTGCCGTCAACTTGGGGAACCCATGAATCTGCGCAAGCTTTTCTGCATTGATTGTGCCGCCAAGCAGACGGTCAGCCAAAATGACCAAATTGTCATATTGTCGTTATGTGCTCTCTTTCATCTACCCCTGCCCATCGAGGGCACTCAAAGGGCAAAAAACGTGGTCCTCTGGAGAGAATGCATGCAGCGGGAGCATTTGAAATCGAATTATGTGAGATGAGTCACAAGATCCTGACCATCAGCCAAGGAACCGGCCAAAGTCAGCTGTGCCAATGTAGCCCCACAAGCGAATGGTTCACACAGTCAGCTCGAAAAACACGATGCTGCCAACCATGACATCAACGTTTTCAAGCTTCTTGTTAGTGGGTGGAAGCTTCAGGCAACTTGACTTCCAACAACAACTGGCAGGCAGCACCACTGTTGAGCATAGAGGCAGATTACCCATTCTTGCTGAGGTACACGTATGTTTGGTGGCGTAATTGCCAACGCTCCTAGCTGTCAATCTTGAATAAAAGTTGTAAATGGAAAGCTTCCGGTTGTCCGAAGGAGAGCAGGTGTGAGAAGTGGTTAAAAGTCAAGATGCTTACTTGAACAACATGTGACTTGCCATTGCACTTCAAAAAGAAAACATCACGGTCTGACACCGAAGCATAACCCTGCAAAATTCGGCAGAGAACTTTGCAACAAAGAAACCCTGGATCCCTGCAGCAAACCTCAAGCCAGTAGCGACTCGATTAGCTCACCATGGAAGTCACACTCTTCGAGGAGCCGACCAACGCTTGCTGCAGCTTCTTCCCCATTTTCAACAACCAAAACCCGTAGACCGCAAGGGAAATCCTCCCAGTCCGGAAACTGGTCTTTGAAAGACATTGCTCCAATAAGCTACCCTTCCCCGCCTGCTCTGCTACAGTGTTGATGTACAACGCACTCCACCAACCCACCAACTCCCTGTGAAGAATAGACCTCACATTGCCATGGGTGGCTACACAACGCGCCGCTTGAGCTGGCTTACAAACTTACGACACTATTGACCGGAGGATACCTAAGACAACTTACAAAGCAACACCGCAACACGTCCTTCTGGTCCTCGAGCGTCTCTTAGCCTACCTTAGTACCTTAGACCTAGCTGCTCTTCGTTGAAAGATCAGCGGAGAGGTCGCTCCTCCAGAGACGCAGCCACTGAGCCACCTGCGCTCCAAGAATCTCGGAGGAACACCATGAGCTGTCAACCCGCAAAAAATTCTGGTCAGGTAGACTTTGAACTTCGAGACGACCGTGTACACTGTAGAGTACCAAGGTACCTACGGTACATGGTCAGTGCGTACTGCTGTAAACAGGACGGAGTAGGTACCTACCGTGACGGGGCCACGGTGTAGAACCGTACCTGGACCGCTAGGTACCGGTATACCTAGGTACCGTACATCATGGTACATCCCTGCAGCTGCGGAACGAGGTCTTTTTGTCCAACCTCCTCTAATACATATTGCTCAGCCTGAGGCTAATGGTATCTTGCTCGTTTAATGGCATGTAACATGTAACTCTGGTGGATACATGGTTTCAAGGTTGCACGGCGTTACTTTCCATAAGCTGCCAAGGTCGCATCATAAGCGAGCCCCGTACTAAGGCACCTTTCTGCCAATCCGCTAGCTGTTATGTTTAATGGCTCCGCTGGGGTCCGCTCCCAAAAGTTCGAAGTTTCTATCGAATGGTGGCTTCCACATCTCCCCTCGAATCGGAATATCTCGATACATGTGCCAAACAACATCGGAGTCCGTTCCAGAAGATTTCAACTTTGAGTCCTTGGATGCGCAATTTGTGACCGAGAATTATCACACGTGCCAATCGACAGGTTCCAAGTTCCGTCACCCGTGAGGGTAGGTAGGTACCTTTTGGGGACGTACCAAAAGCATTGTAGGTAGGTACCTACCGTATTGCATGACGATTGAAGGTACGGTACCTACCTGCCGCACTCAGTCGAAGGTAGAGGGAAGTACCGTACTGCACCCCCTGCACCACGACACGAAAACGCATATGAGCTTATTTCCCTACCCCGGACAGTTCTTGTTGCCGTTGGATACTTGTATCGGCGGCCATCGACGAACTAAGTTGCATCTCGGGAGGGATCGGGCCGGGAGCTTCGAGTTTGAGTTCGATCTGCATCACAAGCCATGCCAGACATATAACAATGGCATGTAATACCTACATGTACACTTTTTGTACCGGTAGGCTTGAACTTATCCATATCTGACCGACAATCATGCTACGGAAGCCTACGGTACCTACCAGAATAAAACATGCGCGAGCGCCACGAGAATCATACCGTTAACAGCCTATCCTCGTCGATACTACCTATGATGGACGCAACCTTAGGGAAGTCTAGCTAGCTGCCAGCAGATACTGTCATCCTGCTTCTTCAAGCAATGGCATTCTTCGATCTACCTAGTTCGCACCGAATCGTTTTGGAAATCGGATCATTGACGGTTGCAGCCTGAGTAAGTCGTGGCTCTTTCATGATGTCTCGTTGATTCTGCACTCAGTAGTCGCCGGCATTTTGACAGTTCATGTCAGGATCTTATTATATTTCGAGATCGCCGTGCTAGCTCTACCGTACCTTTGGCCCCTTCATGCTGCCGGGCATTTGCCGGACAGCTTGTTTCGTCGACCTAGCTTCAATATATTGCGCATGTGCCAACTAGAATAATTAGCTAGCGCAATGAGGCGGCAGGCTCCGGCCGCCGGCGGCTGCTGCAGCAGGGCATGCATGAGCACGTCACCGTCGTTCATGTTAAGCATGCCGAAGGCACCGTCGATCGAATGTGCCATGAATTGCCATATGATGACAATTCACATGGCCGCCAGTGACTAGCTTATACAGCTAGCTGTACATATGATACATGATGAGAATGAAGAAGTTATGTGACACAGCATTTAATGATGCTTGTACGTATGCCATGGGAACTTCGGAAGCCTGCAGCCGCACTGCCTGCGGCGTTACGATCGAAATTACACCAGCGGGCCTCAAACAAACAATGACGGAAGCCATGGCAGAAGGCCGGGCAGCCTAACACGAAAATTAGTCACCCGACATTGTCAATTGTGTTGGCCCATGGCCGCGTTTCTGATCGATCATGCGCAGTTGGCGTAAGTTGCTCGTCTTCTTCACAGTTCCGAGGATGAGGGCCCTTCTATACAGATTGGCATGTTATCATTGGTTGGCTGACTCCTGGGAGCTTGCATCATTGCCCGCATTAACACCAATGCTCAGCATTAAAGCTCAACTTGCCGGGCAACCCAGCTAGCTCTCCACGCATACCATCGAAACAGTTGCATGACTACATCTAACGAGCGTGCTTCCGCTGATGTTACTGCGTCTGGTTACTATCACAGGACTTGCCAAAAATATGACTCCAATCGTAATTTGATCCTAGCAACTTGCGACATAGAGACTCATAGCAAGACCTGAACAAGTTATACTCTTCGAAGCTACCTAAAGCACTACTGAGACTGACATCATCTGGTACATATCAGCACACACTGTCTACTACTTAAGCGTCGGGCTCGTTTCCATGCAATCGGGCCAGACGGTCCTTGATGTGGTCTATCGTCACTGTTCCACCCGGGGAGGTTTGCGCCTCAGTGGCAGGAAAGCCCTGCCCTCTATCAAACTCGAACGACTTGGACACAATCCCGTTTTGCAACGGTTCTGTTGGGGAGCTGGCCGCCTGGGCTTGGATTGCACGCATCCTCAGCTTCAATGCATCCAACGTTCCCACTGACGGCTGTCCCCCCGCCCCATTCTCCGCAGCTCTCGGAGTTCCCCCGGTGGGCTCACCCGCCTGCTCCAAGTCACCGGCAGGTCTCCTTACAGCCTGCGGCATCCGCAGTTTGGACCCCCCTGCTGCGACCGGTTCCTGGCCGCCCGTCCGGCTCTCTGCATCCCCCGTCGACTGCACTCGCGCTTGCTCTCGCTCACCCGTCACAGTTGGCATCTGCGCCTCCAACTCTTTGAACTGGGCTTCGAGATCGGGCGCGGCCTGGCCTTCAGGAGTGCGCGGCAGCGTCAGGGTCTTTGGCGGCGACGCCTCACTTCCGGCATCGGTGGCATCGGCGACGCGAAGCTGTCCGTCTGCAGCTTTTGCCGCCATGCGCGACAGCCCCTCCCGGATGTGCAATCTGAAGTGGTCGCTGCAGTTGCCCATGTGCGCAAACACGTCGAGGCGCGGGTACTGCTGGTGCAGCGCGTACAGTTCCGCCATGCCCTCGTCGCTGTGGGCTCCGCGCCCAATCTGCAGCACGACACGCTTGTCAGCAACCGTGTGTGGAAAATACCACACCGCTCAGATGATGTCTGTGCTAGTGATCCCGCCGAGCAACCATGCAGCAAAAAGGAAACTCGTGGTAGGGTCGCCTTGCTGAGACGCAAACGGTAGAAAGTGTGTGCATGTCATCAAAGGAGGCGGACATCATGACAAAGCAGTCAACGGATGATGCTCGAAAGGCAGCCGGTGTTCCGACTTTCGCTATATTGCCCCTCGCTTTCCTTGTACCCCTTCAAAAGCTCGCCCTCCGTCCCTCTTCTCCGCCCTCCCCCTCGCTCACCTTGTTGAAGATGGCCGCCAGCTGTGGCTTCACAATTTGTTCCAGCGTCACCGGTTGCGGGGTGGCGGGCGGGGCGCTCTCGCGCAACGGGGGGCTGGCGTCCTGGCGTGGCGGCGGCGCGGCGGGCATGGTCTGCAGGTTGAGGTCGATGTAGGCCATGATGATGGGCTGGTCGCGCCCCGGGTGGCCGCCCAGGTCCACCCCGGGGACCAGGCTCAGGTGCGCCTTGATCTCGATGCCCTTCAGCTTCACCAGCTCGTGCAGCACCGTCTTCACCATGCGCAGCGGCTTGTCGTCCGCGCCCGCCCTGGAACACGGAACCAGGGCAGCGGCGGGTCAGCGGTCTGCGCTTGGATGGCCGTTGGGAGACGGGAAAGGTGTCAGAGCAAATAAACCGCCCTTGGAGGAAGAAAGCGTAGGGCGAGTGAGGTTCTCCGCTGCCAGATCGAGTTTCACAGAGGATGCGCTGCGGACGAAGACTGTGCTTCTCCAAGGAAGATCCCTACTTCGGACTGTCAAGGTTAGTAACCAAAACGAAGAATGTTCGCTCTTCCAAGTTCACCATTCGATTAGGAGATGCGAAAGCCAGCAATTTCGCGCGTCACCTCTTGCGGATCTCGTCGATGCCGAGGTCCTCGAGGTAGTCGTGGATGCTCCGCAGCAGCTTGTCCAGGTCCACGTCGTGGATGGTGAGCGACAGCGCCTTGGTCAGCTTGATCAGGCACTTGACCACCAGGTCCGTAAAGCGCGGGCCGCGGTCGGCGATCACGTCCTGCTGCCGCGCCGACGGCAGGTCCGCCACGCCGCTCGGGCGCAGCAGCGAGATCAAAATCACGAACGACGACGTGCGCTCCGTGTTCTCCTGCACAACGACGAAAACGGCGCTGTCAAACCTGCCTTTTCGGCTCCTCGAAAGAACAGAGCCGCGGGGGAAGCGTCACAAACTCAGAGTTCAAGCTCGGGTGATCTTATCGCGACCAGAAGTGTTGCAGGTCTCCGTAATCTTGGCAACTTGCACACTCGGAAACCGAGCGTCGCAGGGTCGAATCAAGGTTTACACAATTACCAAATGACTTCATGGCCAATTCGAGTCGTCGGCTCCAGAACGAGAGACACGTGGTGCACCCAGAGTCACTGCCGCGCGAATGCACTCACCAGGATCTTGAGCATGAGCACGTTGAGCGCCTTGAGCAGCTGGTTGCCGGCCTCGATGCGCGGCACGCGGTCGTCCAGCAGCCACAGCAGCAGCTCCACCACCAGCGTCTTCAGCCGGCCCGCGCTGATGCTCGTAGCGGCGGACTTGATCTGGAAGATCTGCAAGCGGAACGGAAGCTCGGATCAGCTATGCAAAGTCAAAGCCGTAACTGGTCCCCGCACTCACGCACAGCCCATCCGTCCGCTGCGATTTAACGGATTGCGGGGCGGTTTGGTTTCGAAGGTGGTGGCGTCGGCAGATACAAAGAGGGACGGCTCAAAGACACAGAAAGTGAAATGGATGACCATGCTCTGCCATCGCAATAAGCCAGGACCACCCTGACTACCTAGGTAAACCAGGACCGGTCCCTCTCGGAGGATTAAAGTAACGTAGTACTGAATCCGGACTAAGCGGAGACCATTGCAGTATTCTGCAAGAGGAAGGCGCCTCAAGCTGCAACAAAAAAACGGAGCGATGCAAATAACGGCCCAGCAGCCCACCTGCATGAGCGTGTTGAGGACGTATTTGCAGAGGCGCGTGGAGATGTGCTCCTGCGTGAAGGTGTGCTGGACCTTGTCCGTCAGCACCTGCACCAGCTGCTCCGCGTCGCGCGTGTACTCCGCCAGCAGCGCGCCGTTGCCGCCCTGCACCGCCGATGTCAGCTCGTAGCACAGCCACTTGAGGCCCTCGATCACCTGCGGGCGCAACGAAGTGGAGCTCTGGGGAAGTACGGGGCTGGAAAGAACCAACGGCCTGGCTGCTCGGTGCTTCGTCAGCTGCCGACGGTCCTTCAATAATCTTCTGTTGCGGCCAGAGTTGCAGCATCTTCGGATTAAGCACAGTCAAAACCAGTAAGAAAACACAACCAACGAGCTGACAATGAAAGTTACCTTCCGCTCAGCGACAACGGATGCACATATTCATAATCAAGAAAGTACTTGGAAGGAATGCAGAGCTATCTCTTCCAGATTGTGACAAAGCAGATGACTCGGCTCAATAGCGTCATCATAGCAGACCCCAATGGACGATCGTCTGTAGAGATGGCCCCACCCCCCAAGGTTTTACAACAGTCAACCCCTCACCTGGTCCTGGTCGGGGCTGCCGATGACTCTGTCGAGCGCTTCCTGCCACGACAGCGCAGCTGCATCGCCCGACCCATTGCTCTCCTGCTCGAAGTAGACCGTGGGCGTGCTGGCCGTCTCCGTCGGAGTGCTAGCCCGGGACGAGTGCGCGGAGGAGGGGAGGCCGTTCTCACGGCGGGCGAATCCGGAGTCAGAGCTGACGCGCAGACTGCACAAGGAACGGAGAACGAAGGTGGTCGTGGACTTGCGGCAACGAGGAAGAAGACAAGATAAGGCAAAGCTTCGGGACAACGCCCACTCCATTGATAGACACGGAGTTAAGGGTGCATGCAGTTTCTTGAGCAACTTTGATGACGGGATGGGGATAAAGTATTCGGTGAAGAAGCTAGTCGAGAGTACTCCATCAAAATCGGGGCAGTCAACCCTTTCCTGAAACTTACTTTGAGGGCATGCCGACGTCGCCGCTACTCCGCACTTCCGGCAGCTCAACGTAAGGTGCTTGCGGAGCTGGCCCCGGCCTGCGATACACCAAGGCACACGCGTTCACGACAATTTGAAGAAACGGAAGTACGAGGAGAGGATAGGGCAAATGTCTCGGTTGTAGGATAGCAAATGTGAGCAGCCCCTCGAATGTTCTCATTTATAAATGGGATTAAGAGAGCTGGGGACGATTCCTGGGCCTCGTCTAAAAGAAAACAAACCTCGCATGATAGCGATATCTTCTGCTTGAGTGGCAGGAAGGGGGAAGGAATGCGGGGGGTCGGCTCACTCGGTGTCAGCGGCGGACGACACCGCAGTGGTTCTGCTCCGTCGAACCTCTGCTCGCGCCTCCCCTGGCCGGCCCTCCTTCTTCTTCTCCATCTCCTTGGCCTGACACAAGCATTTGCTTCTCTCAACATTCATATTTGTCAGCTTGCAGGCACTCAAAGTAAAGTCTATGTGCAATGCGTCAAGAACATGGACTCCAGCTTCCAGAGCCTCTGAACGGAACAGCTATTAGCGGAAGCAGCAACGCGCACCACGTGTTCAAACTAATGGTTGGAGTCTGAACACTGCTCATTGGGACAAAAGGGCCTTTACGGTTGTTAGTCTCGGCGCTCACCTTCCATCTGAATTTGTCCTCTATAAGCCCTTTCTGCGCATCGGTCAACTTCCCTAGCTGCTTCCAGACGTCATCCCCTGACACACAACCGAGCGCAAAGTTCAGTCAAGTCTGCACTAAGGGCCGTCACGAACTTGCGCTACAAAGATGTTCCAATGTTTCTCGCCAGCTACAAAGGACGCAAGGTTTTACCATCCAAAAACCAAAACTTTTCTGTACGACTTTCTAGCCGTGTCCTTGGGAAACTCTACTTGAAGATCGGTGCACCAAAAAACCATCACGAATCTCAACTATATTACGAGTAACAGACACTGTCCTGAGGCCCGGGTGCCGCAAGATTGCCCAGCACCTCACCGCCGGCCGTTGCTCCTCACCTAGTATCTTATACGCGGTTGTGAGGGTCAGCAGAGAGACGTTCCGCAAAGTAACGTCCCGCTCCGCAGTGATGGCAGCAATCACCTGCAGCGCCTTCGTAGAGCCCACGATCTGCAGCAAACGGGTGGCGAGACACTAAGCTTGAGGTAAAACAGGAACAATGGCGCGCGGGCCAGCGTCCACAACTCTGCCAACCACGTGCTTGGTGCTCTGAAGGAACTGCGCTCCGACATGTGGGTCAAGCTGGTCAACGAAGATAGTATCGGTCAGACACGACGTGCAAAGTAGTCGGCTCCGCGAATGCCCTCACAATCCTCAACAGGCTCGTGTGGGACACACGCATGACAAGTTCAAAAAGCGCTCTTGCGGAGATTTGCAGCAGATCCTTGGAATTTCATGTCTTTTTCTGGCCGCTGGAGCAGCCGCCACGGCCTTAGAAACAGGCAGGCAACCAGAACGACGCAATTAAAGGACGTGTGCGCTATGGAGTGCCCCACCTCCACCCCGTGGCGGTCCATGAGGTTGCCCACTTCGTCGACGCATTCGATGCGCGTGCGGTTGTTCTTGGAGCGCACGCCCTCGACGAGGAACGCGAAGAACTTGGATGCGGGGTACACCATCGTGATCTGGCGCATCAGCTTGCGGATGCTCTGCTGCACCGGCTTCATCTGGTGGCCGCTCTGCACGCGAGGTTCGACGAATGAGCAGAAATCAAGCACGGGGTGGCGCGTTCAGGGCTTGCCAGTTGTATGCACCAGAGGTGCGAAAGTTGGTCATAGTAGGGAGGCAGCCCCAGTGCACACAAGAAAAATGTTATCAAGACTGGAACGACCAGGATATTGAGCCTGCATTCGTCTGGAGTCAGTAAGGAAGACGAGCACAAGATATGAGACACATTCGAGGAGAATTGAGAGGCCGACTTTGACAAGGCGTTCGTTGGTCCCTGCTAAGTGCCGTTTGGGGAACTTCATTCAGACGGGTTATCATAACAAACTGTAAGGCCCAACAAGCCTGAGGGCCTCAAACCTCGAATACAGCTCGTAGATGGATAGCAAGGCTTGGAGGTTGAGTAAGAGCAAGTGAAGGCGAAGCACCTAACGCCGTCGTCCAGGCGACACAATGAAGAAGACGGACCTACCTTCTCCACCAAGCAGGGGATGAACAGGCCTGCCTCATAGTCCGAGAGGTGGTAGTTTTGGCCCTTGAGCGCGTCGAGGAGGGCTTCAAGAAACTCTACCGTCTGCAGAGCGGAAATAAACAAGATTTAGACTTCGACACCTAGGTTTGCACGGTCAGAATCAGCATCTGTCGGCAAGCACGGCTTTCGACTTGTCAGCAACTACTTGCTCATTCGCCATGCAAATGTGGTTAGGAATCTTGCATGATTGCAGCGGAAGAATGACTTCAAAGAACAGACTTCGTCATTTTAAAGACGCAGTTACGAATCTTCTGCACGCAAGAAGGAGCCAACAGATCCACGAACGAGGAGCCACTGCACTCGACGTGCCCGCCCACCTTGAGCATAGACGACGTGTTGGCCTCGCAGATGCGCACGACGCTCCAGCGCAGCAGCACGTCCAGGTTGTCCGTCATCGCCTTGATGTACTGCGGCACGCCCTTGGTCAGCAAATCCAGCGCCGCCACGTGGTCCTTGAACTCGGCGCTGGTGAGGCGCTTGTAGAGGTCCTCCCGGAAGATGGGCTGCATGCACGCCTCCAGGTCTGCCAGCTCCTCGTCGCGCTGGTCGTCGAACTTGATGCGCCGCGGGGCACGCCGGGCACGCTCCTCCTGGAAACACAACCAAAAGAAGGCTCTGACGAAGGGCTTCCTTTGAGGGTGTGGCCAAGCACACCAAACGAGACTATTCGAAACCAGCAGTGCCAAGAAGCCGACCAAGCTGAGACATGAGGCGAAGCATCACAGTCATCTTGGTGCGTCACAGGGCCCGCTGCGCACGCGCCTCCTGGTAACGTGAGAGAGAGGGTGCCGAAGGGCGTGGGAGTCACAGCAAACAATAGCTGGTGACTGCTGAGGAGTCGGCCAAGGTGAGATCTGAAGGGGAGCACTACAGAACAAGTTTCGCCAGTGCTCGAAACTGAAAATAGACGTCGTCAACTGTCACTTCGGCTCAGTAAGAAGAAAAGAAAAGACCCTGAATTTGTCATCCAATGTCGGGAAAGCAGTGCCATGCTGGCTTTCAGATTCTGTTGAGGCTTTGCCGACTCGTACACTGTCCTGAGCTTCAACGAGCTAACTTGCGCAGCTAACTTCTGTGATTTAAACACACAAGGAAAGAAGGCCGGGCAAACACTACACGAGGGCGGGCTGTTGGGCAGGCTGCAAGGCGTTACCTTGAGATCGTTCTCCTGAATGAGCGGGACGCTCGATTGCGCAGCCGCGTCGTCTGCGTCCTGCTTCTTGAGCCTGCTCGGCAAAGCTTGGGACGTCCGTACGCCGCCAGCTTTCGCAGCAGCGGTGCGGGGACGGCCGGAGGGGTCGGCGGCCTCGGACTCGTTCTTCCGTTGAGGAGCGGATTGAGGGCGGGCGGACGTGCTGGGCTTGGAATCGCCAGGCGAGGCGGGGGCTGCAACAATCCAGTCATGCGTAAGCCCGCCGCTTGACGGACTTGGACCTCCTTGCAAAGTAAGTGGAGCAAATGCCTTGACCAGCAGAGGGACGAGCAAAAAACGCGCAAAGTCGAAACTAAACTTTGTGCGTAAACAGCAGACCTTGTTCCTAGCTTTTCGGTGAAGCAAATCCAAGCTGTCTGCTAGCAGCGCCTTGTGCCGATCTTGCATTCACTACGAAAATGCTCACCACTTGAGACACCTTTGAGCTTGTCCAGGATTGGTTGAAGGACCGCCAGGTTCTTGCTTTGCAGGTCTCGAGCAGCCTTGCTAACCTGCAATGCACCTTGGCTGTCAGCTTAGACATTCACCGAGATGAGCGACAAACTTACACACCGATCAGGGCAGGCTTCGCCCATGAAACCTTGAAAGAAAAGAATAACGCCGCTGTTTCCGAAAAGATGTCTTTAGCTCAGGCTTCGAAGAGCTCAAGACAACTTTGGAAATGAATCTGTATAAGTGCAACTCACGACACAGATCAGTTCATGCCCTACGCTCACCGGTCCGTAGCCGCAGGCCTGGACGAGCTCCCCGGTCAGAGCTTCCGCCGCTTTTCGAACATCCGCGGATTTGTCCTGCACGAACACATCAACTCCTTAGCACCATGACCGTACAACTGTGGCAGCAGGCCCCAATTTTCAACGGCGATCTCAACAGTCAATCAAACATTCTGCGGCCGTTCTTTTTCCTGAACAGAACGCAAGCTTTCAACCGCGTTCTCTGGCTCACCTGCAGCGCCGAGGCACACGGTTTAACCAGCGCTGCCGCTTCCGCTGCTCCCGCGCCCGCCACCGGCACCTGCTTGGCCGTCCACTCGTACAGCTCTTTACGCCCGTCTGCGGAGATCTTGGGCTCTGCCAGCCCAACAACCAGGTAGGGGACCTGCCAAATAACACGCCCGTCAACTGCCGCCTCTCACCACTCATGCCGCCCATCTGTGTGCGGCAATTCGCCTAGCACACGCGTGCATCTCGTGATGAGAAGTGGACATGCTTCAGAGTCCAGTGGCTACGACCCTTTGCATGCCCTCGACGGGTGCAAGCAGAATCCTGATCTTTTCTTCGCTTTTTCGAGTCCAGAAGTTTTTCTACGAGCTAAGAAAGCAAAAAGCGGCGGCCAGAAAACTCACCAGCTTATCCAGAGAGAGCGCCTCCAGCCAGGCGTCCATCGTCTTGAGCGCAGCATCCCTGACGAGCTTCTTGTTGTCGCTCATGCACTTCAGGACCTCCGTCAGGATACTCTGCAAAGAAGCGCGCAGTGGAGCGTTCAAAAAGCGCGACAATTTGCCAGGACCATGTCCCCAATCACGTGTCAAAACACAGATCCAAGCAGCTGCAAGCCAATCAGTAGGGATCGACGAAGCTGCAAAAGTCTTGAACAGGAGTCACACTGCATGAATCTACAACTTGCCTTGCAGTACAAGGAGGCTGACCTTGTTGGTTTTGTCTGCTCCAGGGCCCAGTGCGGCTGCCAGGCTGGCCAGCACAGCGAGGGCGCTGACCACCAGGTTCTTGTTGGAGTCGTTCAAGCGGCCCTTGAGGGCCGCAAACAGGTCGCCCAGCCCCGCCGGCTGGATCCGCTTGCGGGCGTCCTCAATTACCTGGTTGACCGACTCGATGGCAGCTTGTCGGACCTGCAAGACAAGACACGTTGCTCGTGATGGGTAACAGCATTTCGACTAGCGCACTGCAAAGCGGCTGGTGCGCTGGCAGCGCCAGTGACAATGACTCTTCCCAACCAGGGGACGTTAAGAGGAGGCACCCAAAGCGAGCATGAATCAGGATTCAGGATAAAGGAACTGCCGTCTTGAAACAGCAGTAGCACTGCAATACAGTCTGGTCGCTGGAATCAAGGATGACAAAATGGGAACAAGTTCCCCAACCCGTAAAGGACTACGCTGGAGATCTTTGGAATGAGCAATTGCAGAGTCGAAGCCGCTGTCACCTTCCAGTCGGTACTGGCCATCTCTGTCAGCATGGCTTCCGTGATCTTCCCACTAATGTCTTCTCTTGGTAGCTCTCCATTGCCGGCAACAACTGCCTCAGCGACCTTGACTTGCCGTTTGGGCGCAGCAGCAGGGCCCTGCAGCAGATGGAAGCCGTCAGCAGACACGTCAATTCATCCCTGCGAATCTCGTTCCGCAACACGAAGCGTTCAGAGGGATGGCTCAGAGCCAGACCTCTCTAGTCTTGCAAATACCATGTCAAAGCGAAGTGCTTTTTACACAACACGTATGCACAGCGCAGCGCGAACCGACCACAAGGGCTCACCTTTTGAAGCAAGAAAGCCCAAAGCTGGAAAAGAAGACCTGATGGTGGCCACCGCATTCATGGGGTTGCACATAGGCTTACCGCGTATGATGACGAAAGATGAAGGAAATCAGTCATAAAGGCAACTTGATTACCTCATAAGGGTTCCTCGTGAATTCGGCCTCCACAGCGGACATGAGAGCCGGCTTCACATCGCCCAGAGCGCTCTTGATGTCTGCAACAAACCAGAGTCACATCACACAAAGCTCTTTCTGATCTCGAACATCCTGCAAAAGCTTCGATCCGCCAGTTCTGCGAAACGGAAACATAAAGAAAGACAAATGCAGCATCAAGCGCAGCGGCCACATACAGCGTCCTCGAAGCTTGGAATTTTGCTGAAGCTATTCATTCCTTGACATTCTTTTCGGCGTGGCAGAAGCAGCCAGCGGATGACTTACCAGGGCCTTTGTATTTGTGTATGGTTCCGAGTAGCTTGGTTGCGGACGTCCTCACAGCGTTGTTTGGCGAATCCAGCCCCGCTTTGCAGAAGTCCAAAAGATCCTGCAACGAGCGCGAGACTGGTCGTCAGTTCCATCATTAATGAACGTCCAGTGAGGCTTCCGTGTCAAAAGCAGCATAGTGACCTGCACCAACAGGAAGAGGAAGGCCATAGCTTCCAACCACGAAAGCTTGCAAGGTCAGAAAGTCTAGAGAGGGCTCGAAGAGAAACTCTTACAAAACTTGCTTATCTTACCTTGAGGTTGAGCATCCCCACGCCAAAGTCTTCGATGGCGGTGCCCATCCACTCAAGGGCCTGCCCGAAGTTCTTTTGGTTCGTGTGGCCAGCGATGGGCTTGTACAGCTGCGAAAGGTAAAATCAACAGTCCTGAACAAGAAGTCCTCCCAGTACCGAGAATGAACATGACACGGACAAAGCAGAGAGCTCGCAGGCTCCCAAGCCTCCATGAGACCACGAGTGACGATGAAGACCTGGGACATCAGCCTGTGTTAAGGAGCGAGCAGGTGAGCTTACCCTCGAAAAGACGAACTGCGGCCCGACCGCCTCACAGAAGGCTGTGAGGCAGCCCTTCACCTGCCCTCCCATCTTCGCATCCCCGATCTTGTCAACGAGACCTGGACGACGGGACTTGTGATTGGGATACAAGCAACGGTGGGTGACAATCTTTCGAAGACGTCATCTAGACAGCGGGAGCAACGAGCGGCACCTTGGAGACTTACTCGCAAATTTCTCATCAGAAGAGGACCTCGAGCTCGGAACCTACTCGACCTGCGCTCGTATCTAATCAATAAACGTCCGTTTTGCTCTCGATTCTTCTGAACACGAGCACGGACGTTGATGCAGCCACGAACGTATAGGTAAGACGGCAGAGCGAATCGCCGCAAGCTCTACACGGCAAGGATGTGGTGAAGGCGACAAAAGGATGTCGTGAAAAACAGCACACCTGGCATGCAAATGACGACGCCTCTCTTAGGAAACTGAGGCGAGGCGCTGGCAATGCTGGCGGCCACGTCGAAGGTCTTTTGCAGAGCCTGCAATGTTGACAGAAGCTGTGAGGACATCGGACAACCTTGCAGACTCGTACATGAGAGTCCACGATACGAACGACCACAATCCCAGCATGCAGACCCTGACAATCCGAGACTTGCAGAGATCAGCTAAAGGGTGACGTTGTCCTTGAGCACCTATAACGGTACGCAGAGGCCATGCAAAACGGAGCAAAAGAAAGTACCTGGGCGTTGGACTCCTTCCAGCCGGGTGTCAGAGCGAGCAGCCGAAGAAGCAGCTCGGCGTGTTCTTGCACGCCCTCTTTCAGGTTCGCCACTACCGCTGCGACCTCCTCCACACCTGCGGTTGCACAACCCGACAGTTTTAACCACCCACTTTTCTAAGCACTCAACAGGCGAATCTTACAAAATAGATTTATTGGCAGACTGCTTTCTGCAACACGTCAAGAAGCGAGCAACCCGAAGGGTCGCTGTCTGGTGCTGCGCAACAAAGTGGGACCACCTGCAACGCTGGTTGAAATGCAAGACGAGAAACAACGGCCGTGCCGGGAGGCTTACCTTGCACGCGCTCCTTCCAGACGGAGCTCTTAAGTTTGGCGACCGTCTCTGGCTGGAGGATAGCCGCCACCTTGGCCTCAATCTCCTCCTTGCTCATCTCCGAAAGCTGCAGCGTTTGACGCTCCAGTCAGACACGTGGACGAGATAATCCTGCTTGCAAGTATCAGTCATCATGCCGCGCAGAGCATTGTCAAGGCCGGAGACCCGGAGTATTCGCTGAGTGCCTCACCGAAACTTCTTCCTCAGCCGCTGCGGACGGTGCTGCGCTCTTGGCAGGCCCAGCGCCCTCGCCTTTCTTGGTCGCAGGGCCGCCCGTGTTGACCTTCTTGGCAACCTGCATTGGAAGCACAAAGACGGGTGTCAACGCCCTTGTCCATTTCAGTTGCTCAGTCTTGGACGAATCGATGTTTAAGCCCAATGAAGCTCGTGGTCAAGCAAGACGCGATCTTCTGAGGTGGGACGTCTGCTCAATGGCAGTGTGAGAGGAAGCACATGAATTCGTTTTTGAACGTAATCGTTCCAAGAAAGCTGGTTGTTAGGCAAATACACACAACGTGCAAAACACCAACGGGCATTGTGAGACCGGGGAGGGGTCTCTTTGATCCGAGATGAACGCGTGGACTGAAAGAGAGTGCAAAGAGCATCCAGCCATACCAGATGGAAGGCCGTTCAAAGGCGAATTACTCACAGGCTTCAGAGCTGGCCGCTTGCCGCTCAAAGCTCCTGCCGCTGTCATCCGTGCTGTGGGTGCCTGTCACCACGGGAGACAACAAGAGCATCACAACGCGAAAAAGCTAAGCTTTTGCACCACTGCTACACGCATATCCCTAACGAAAATTTCGCTCTGGAATGCACTTTCACATGCCAGATGTCTTGTGAATTTCAGCTTCCACTGAAGACTGAGCAGAACAACACTACTGCGGATGGCAAACGTTTGCTGTAGAGCCTACCGCTGCGCTTCCGGAGGTCTGCCCGTACCCACTGCTCGTGGGCGCCGCGGGGCCAGCTGGAAAATGCACGTCTCCTTGTCAGTACCTGTTTTAAGAATGTCAAAGACGAACGCTGGCGACTTCTCCACCGCCCGCAACTCCTAGCTCAAGCCAATGTACGCCCGTCATCACGAGAACACAATTTTCTGAGGTATAGAGACCGGGAAGCAGATTGGCTTACTTGCGGCGGGCGCTGTTCCTGTGACAGCCGCCACAATGTCCATCAGCTTCTTCTTCTTGACCTCATCGAGCGTGTCCACAATCTTGTTGAGGGGGCCCATCCCCAGTTTCTATACAAGAATGACACGAAGTATTTCGAAGGCCGAACTCTCACAATCGTGTACAGTACTACACGAATAGGACAACAGGCTGCCCAGACGACTATCCTCCAATCATAGTTTGCAAGAGCGAGTAAAGAGAGGACCAAGAAGGCTGGGAATTCTGGATGGGCTCATCCGAGGAGTACTTCGACGAAAGAGGCGCAAAAATCAGGCGACCTACCTTGGCTATTGCTGCAAGGGCGAGGAACGCAGCCTCACGAACCTCGACCGTGCCGTCCACCAATGACTGCATACACAAAGGAAGGCAAAGTTAATCAGGTCCAGTAAGAGCTCTGTTATGGGATCAATAGAAGAATACAATCATGTACCTGTCACCTAGTAAGAGTTGAATTCAACCGTCAACACAGAAGCAAGCGATGGCAGAATCAGACCAGGGCTTTCGACCTCACGTTTGCGACCTTGGTCGTCATGTCAGCCTTGTGCAGGGCAATCACGACAGGCTTCGGACTCTGGTCGATGCAGAAAGTGATCCAAGCCAGCGTCTCCGACTTGACGGACGGCACTTTGTGCTTCAGCGCAGCTTCGACCTCTGCGCATGCATCACAAGTTTGTTATCTCTCTCAACAATGATAACAACAACGGCAGGCTACGGTTCAGATTGACAGCCTGCGGAACAGGAGCGCTTAGAATCGATATGACGATTTTCACACAGCCCGTCCTCATTTCCGGATTTGCAATTACCAGGAACAGTAGGGCTTATAGGAAACACATCAGAATACGACGCTAAGAAGTTTACCTGTCCGTATAGAAAGCCTTACATGTCACAGAGCTTTCACCTCGCACTTTCGATGAAGCAGCCAAGGACTCGGAACTTACCAGCCTGGATTTCCACCATGTCAAGACAGCCCGCTGTGTACATGATTTGCAGCGTGCTCTGGGCCTCTTTCACGACTTGCGCTTTCTTTTCCTTGAACTTCTCCTGCAGGCACGAGGGCAAATGTATGGGCGTTCGACGTCGGAACGGAGTCAAAACTCCTAAATCAACGTTTGAGCATCTTCTGCAAGAGCTATGTTTTTATAGCCAGGGCGTTGAGTTGGCCCGTGAACAATGTCCTCCGCTCAATATCCCCGCTGAGTCGGTTGGTCAGGGGACATCGCAATGAGGATGACAGTGCGAACGTTTTGAGCTTTTGCCATTGCCTCTTCTTAAATAACACCCCCCCAAACCTTGTGTCAGATGCACGAGGCTAAGAAGCGGGAGCCAGACACTTGTCCCGCAGACTGAAATCTTACCAGCAGCGTTGTCAGAAGATTCCTCGATCCAGCAGTATATCCCTTCCGCAGACCCTTGGCGAGATGACCGGCAGCAGTGATGGCCTCGGTAGTGACACTAACATTTGAGTCCGTCATGAGCTGCAAAGTACGACAGCGAAATCATCGTACATGGAAACTGGCAACAAAGACACCTCTTTTATGGCGCACGCGCCCTTTATGATGATGTCTCGCATCTCTTTTGAAAGACCATCGCCCTTGTTTTCCGGCTACTGCAAGCTGCATAAAGTGCCACATCCATGTCGTGAAGAGCATTGCAGGTTGACATCTGGCACATTTCGGCACTTCCGCAAAGGCTCGCAGTCGTTGTGAGTGAATGGGACCCTCACCTTCTTCAAAGTCCGAGTGAGCTCCGAGTAGTCCCCAGGGGCAAGCTTCTTTCCCTCCGCCTCCTTCGACAGCTTGACTATCACGTCCTTCTTGTCAGACCACTTCTTTGCCACCTGAAACAAGCCATCGGCAGGCTTTATGAGATTGTCTGTACGTCGTTGAGACTGGTGCAAACGCCCCTGCTCGAATCCCTGCATGGCAGTATGCACGATGGGAGAGTACAGCATACATTGAGATCCACAGCTCCCTTTTCGTTCAGCAAAGTTGTCTACCAAAACATCTCCGAAAGGATTGTAGTGCAGACCCAACTCAGACCTACGGCATCAACACGCAGACTTACCACTCCTTGCCAGAAGTCGTTCTTCAAAGTCGACAGAAGGTCAAACGGCTCCATGTATTCCCATTCGTCTGGCACCGCCGCTGCAGAAAGGAGACAGAATTGCATCTTTGTGCACCTTTCGACACATCATCTAGTTGCCTTCATTGACTGCTTATATAACTTCCATTGACCAACTTGCAGTGTTCTTCAGAAACGATTCACTTTGTAGGAGGCGCTACCAACTTCGTGTCATCAGAATTTGGGAATTCGTATGCCCATACCCTTGGTTTCTTCGGCGGCGCCATCTGCTGCTGCACCAGGTGCCGGCCCCTCAATTACTTCCTCGGGCTTGTCCTGCTCCGAACTGCATATACAAGCTCGCCGTCTAAGACATCCAGGATGATATTTTACCGGCCGAATTTGGTGCTTCGAGATGAGCGCTGAACAGGCCTTCTCTCATACAAGGGACCCAGGAGCCAATGATCTCATATCCTAGCAGCTTTCATTTCTGGCTATGGATCCATAGTGTGCTGGAGTAGTGGACAGCCAAAGCCAAAACAACTTGCCCGCCCGGTACAAAGAAGCCGAAGCCGCTGCTTATCCTTTTTGACAGCTTTTGACTGGTGAGTGGAACCTAGGGAACAGGAAGTATGATCTGACCGTATCCTTCTCGTTGGCGCCGCCGCTCCGGCTGGAAGCTCTGCCAGCTCTGCCTCCAACTCCTTTTTCTGCGATACACAGGCAGACACCGGTGTGGACGAGCTTTACACAAGGTCCAACATATCCCAGACACTTGCACCGAACAGATCTTTCAAACCGCAGTGAGTTGATTTTCCAGAGAGATTCACAGGAGCTTCTGATGCTAACTTTAGAAGCCAAAAAGTGCAGTAATGAGCGATGCAGGGATACAGGAATTGTGGGAGGTCAATCTGTTTGCCCCAGAGTGGACCTACCATGACATCGGGCATCTTGTCAACCAGGGCGTTGTTGACAGGGCCCACTCCAATCCACCTCGCCAGCTCCTTGGTGAGCCCCTTGGCAGCCGCTCGAACCTTCTGGTCCGAGTGGAAGTACAGCTTGTCCGTCTTGGCATCCTTGCTCAGTATCGGCCGCACGTTCACAACTTTCGTACCAAATTGGCTGCACAAGCATGTTGTCCAGTTTCAACACAGGCTGTACTTTGCAGTGCTGCATGAAATCGCGATGAGGCCAGCATCACAACTGCAATGATGGCTAAATAGCCATGATTTGCCAGACCCAGAACATACTTGCATGAAAGTCTATGCTTTGGTGAAAGTGGTTAGGCATCGAAAGGGGTGCAAACTGGGGTTACCTGATGATGCTGAAAAGTGCGTCAATCACTGGGATGATGACCTTCGCAAGCTTGTTGTCGAAGCCCTTGATAAGCACTTCCTGAAAGAGAGGGTTTCACGGCAGCTGTCAAACCCCCTTTCTATCTTCAGTGCACTGGTCAGGCGGCTTTCCAAAGAGTTGCAGGCCACGACAACTCTGCTCTTATCTATACTGGTTCCAGTATCTCAACGTAGTCAAATGGTAGGACACCCTGACAGCCAATGGCGTGAAAAAAGCAACCCTCACTCAGGGGAGATCAGAGTCTTGGGTGTGCATGCTGGCATTATAACCAGCTTTTCATCTGTGGAAGATCGAAGAGTTTGCTCACCACCACAGCTTCTGACGCCTCAAGTTCCACAAAAAGCTCAATAGCCTCCGTGGCTTTTGCTATGGTCTTCGGCCGACCAGTGAAGCACTTTGAGACCAGGACTGTGTTCACTTCTCTCGCATACCTGGACCACTTCAGCAGAGTGAGGAACATGATAGTTGTGATGGTGACTCTCTTGTTGGCAGATGCACAATTGTCGTGGCACGCCTGAGCTGCCACTATGGCTCAGCACTTCACATCGTGCTCCAAGGCAATCCAACTTATGCAAGGCAACCAATTAACAGGTTCGAATGGCATACTTGCCTTCCTGACTCTGTGTCTGTGCGCTTCAAAAAGGCGATGAGTGCATCAAGCGCCTTCTCCTGAGCCGCAGCGTTTGAGTCGGACAATGCCTTCTTGAAGAGAGGCCCTGAAAGAAGGAGGGTCCAAAAGAGACTGAATTCCCAAAATGCGCTCTGACAAAATAAGTTTAGTGTGCAGGGCTTATGTATGAGAGCAATGGAAGAAGTAAATGCTCGTTATTTTCAAGGGTTTTTGATAAATGAACGGCCTTTGATAACCTGGCAGTGATTGAGGATGCTCTGCACCACCTAATTGAATGCACCGCACAAAAGTGCAGCCTGCGGCCCATAGACATGGAAGCACGAGAATTAGGGTTGTCTTTAAACACATCGCTAAGCCTTGCTTAGAAGGCCAATGCTCTGGAGCTTATGAACGTTAAGCAGTGCAGAGAAGGTAAGTATGCTGGACACATGAACTACTCTGCTCGCCTGAAATATCTACCGATTGCCAACCACCATTCATGCTTTCACTGCCCACAACCTGTCCAAATGGATCAAAGCATGCTCACGACAACCTGCATTTGGCGGGCAGCTCAGTATGCTATGGGACCTCGGCGATAAGGTTATACAGCTTTCCTACATCTAATCCTCAACTTTAGCTGGGAAGGGAGTGCGAATGTCAATGGCCTTAGCCGAGTCGCTTGTTACTTCCGATCATTGGAAATCAGAGACCAGTGTCAAAGCTTCTTGTTGGCAACAGACTCTGGAAGCTTGTGTCAGAATTGACATACCATATTCCCGCAGCTTCGGATCCTTGGGATCTGTGGCCTTGTCACAGGTCACAGCTATGTCTTCAAGTGCTTGCACTCTCGCTTTCCAGTGCTTGTGCGCAAGTCGATCTTCAAGGGGAAGTTTCTTCGCATCCTTCAGAATTGCTTCCTCGTTCTCAGCCATGGCTTCCAATTGGCTGTCACTTTGTCTCGTGGACTGCTTCTAACGATGTCTAGCGACTGTATTACTTCAATGAACTCAATCTGGTGAAAGTTTCTTTCAACACACGAGGTGCCCCTTGCCCCTTCCCTATCAATCAATCCTGAAAGACATCATGTTGCTGCAAGCAGCTGCAAGGACAACTTCGGCAGCCATGATCACCTAGCCTCTGATCAGGACTCGGAAGGGCGCTTTCGCAAGCACCGAAAGGGCGAAAGCGCCAGCGATGAGCGAAGATTTGAGAGGGAGACATTTTGCGCAGCTCGCGGGCAGGGCTCACGCGGCATAAGCACTTGGACCCTTCCTTATAAGGGCCCTCAAAGTCGTGTATGCCAAAGCTAATATGGGCCACACTTTATCCATTCACAGTATGTTGGCAGTTCTTTTGCAGCTATTTAAAAGGAAGTCCAAGGAGGCTTATATGGATATAACCTGATATGGGCAATTTTTGCTAACCGACTTCGGAACCAGCAATGCTGCAAACCCAACCTTCAGAGGAACACAAGCAGGGTGTCCATATTCCACAAAGACCAAAATGATACTCTGTCAAATTCAAATTTCCTCTGGCGGGCAAGGGACTGGGCCAGGGTTTGCTAGAATCTCTCTGTTTGTGACATCTGGCACCATAGTCTGGGACGAAAACCTTGGTCGGACCCCGGATACTGCATGAAGCCTCTGCTGCAGGAACGCATCTCATCCGAGCAGGGGGTACTGATTTTAGTGCCGGAAGGCCCTGGACCAGGCATTTAGGCAGGGGGGGGGACCAATATTATATCTGAGGTCGATGTGTGTACCCCGGGTCCCCCAGGTTCTGTAACTTGACAGGGGAGACTCTTTGAGGCAGATTGTGAGGGAGTTCCTCTGCTGCTCCGATCAATATCTGTGAAGCGTGGTGCGCAAGTGGCACTTTCTTATGGCGGCGCTGTTTGGTACTCCTTGAGCACTAGAAAAAACCAGCCCTCGTTCAAATTGTAGGATAATACTCCCCTCCATGAAGATAAGATACTACGAATAGAAATTGCTCGAGGTATGGTTGCAGCTCGATGTGGGTGCGCGCTTGAGGACCAGAGAAGGGGAAGCTGCTGTTGATAGACGTTCAGTTTGTTACTTGATCAATTGAAAGGGTTCTGCCACAACTTGTAGAGGGACTGAACAAAATCAATGGAAGGCATTACATTTCCTTTTTCTAAGATGGAGGTCAATAACTCTCCTACTCCTGTACCCAGCCCTCTGTCCCCAATAGATCAGACGCATCAAGATCTGGTGGCAAAGTCGGCAAACCCGGAAATGTTTGCAAGTTTGTCAATCCTCCTGCAGTTAGTTCTCTTAGGATCAGCGTTTGTATGTGGCCACATTTTGCGGAGGAGAAAGATATACTGGATGCATGAAGCAGGATCAGCGCTCTTGATGGGTGAGTATGTGTTCATCCTATGAGGCACAATCTAAACATGAGCTTTCCTGGTAGCAATTACATTGTCACACTCCTCCAGTGACATCACGCATAATATGCTCAACGCTTAAAAATGCGAGGTCTACATGAGGGGTGTAATGCATGGCTAAGAACACACCTGTAGCAATTTGGAGCACCAAGCAAATGCCGGCTAAAGATCCAAAACTCCACCATTGATTTCGTTCAACTTCGTCCATCCTACAAACCACTGAATGGGACAAATACTATCCTTAGAGCTCTTGCTTTGGGATGCCCGTCTTCTTCCGTCTGCCCAAGTCGGTTTTCATAAACCTCAGTCTATCCACCCCGCTGTGAAAATCTGCATCAGATGGTTTAACATGCATGCATATATGAGGCTGGCCAGGGGCGTCAGAGCACAACGAGCATATTAGGGTTTTCTCACATCCCCCCCCTTCTGATTCAGTCCCGTTTGCACACACTAACAACAAGGCTACAGAATATGCTCAAGTGGCTAATCATGTTGTTGAAGGGCAGTTTACAGGGGCAGTGCTTACAGAACGGAGCTGCTGCTTGGTGAGGGGCGTGAAACTTCACATCGTTAGAGATCAGATCTTGCAGTGACCTCTGTACGGGCTGATGCATTATGGGCTCACTCTTGGCACTATGCAAGTGCAGGGGTGGTGGTTGGCCTTCTGTCAAGGATTTTCAACACAGAGGAAGCTTTCAGGTGATGTGACACTTCAACGATGTGCAGCTCTTCTTCATGCCTCCGAAGATTCGATGATTTTCTTATTGTTCAATGATATGCAACAGCCAGGCATTTAGTCTGGACCCAGTACTGCTCACCAATTCCAGCAAGGAGAGCTACTCCTGACTCGATCAGAGAGGTTTGTAATGAGGTTGTAGAAATGAGCTTCATTGCGTGGCGAATTCTGTGATCTGCAGGCGGTGGCTCAACTTCAGCAACGAGTTCTTTCTGCTCTTCCTGCTTCCTCCCATCATATTTGAGTCCGGGTTCAGTCTTCAAGTGGTGAGCTTGCCAAGACAATGAGCCGTCAGACTCACATGTTGGATGCAGGAATCGATCAATATGACTGGAAATTGTATGTGAATTGCAACTCCAAAGTGGCCATCTTTTCTCTGCCTGTGGGCAAGGATTCGTCTCAGGGAAATTTGCGGCCAATAGGGGGGTCCCCTATCACCAGAATTGTCGATGCATTTATGCTTGCTCATTCAGGTTCACTGATCGCCGATTTTGAGAGCACCCCGCAGAATGCAGACCTGAAAATTCCCGTTCTCTGCAGAAATCCTTCTTTGAAAACTTTGGGGCCATCGCCCTCTTCGCATTCGTGGGGACCTTCATAGCAGCCATTGTGACCGGCGTGATCATGTGAGTCCCCAAGCTACCCATTGAGCCCCATTCTGGCCATCTACTCTTCAAACGGTCACTTTTCGGCTGCCGTCATTGCTACGCAAGACAGTACTTGCTAGTTGTAATCCCCGCAAACCATGTCTTTAAGGTCTCCACCTGTTCGCCACGCCTGCGGGTCCAATCATTGGTCAATAAGGTGAACTCGGAAGGAGCTGAGGTTCGAGTGATGCCATTCCTATTTGATCAGATTTTTTTAAAAGGGCAGATTTTGTCCTTGGAAAATCTCCCACTTAAGCCTCACAACTATTGTGCAGGTATGTGGTGGGCTTCCTTTGGCTGAGTTATCAGCTGCCCTTTGTGGAGTGCCTTATCTTTGGGGCGCTCATTTCGGCGACAGACCCAGTGACGGTCCTGGCAATTTTCCAGGTGAGAAGCCGGGCGCCCGGAACTGCTCCGCAGCAGATCGAAGTCACGATTTTGTGTGTGTCGTTTCCCAAATTAGTCATATATGCAGCACTCATGTAGCACCCTTCACAGATCATGGAAAGTTGTTCAACCCAGACGTCGCCTCGGGGGGATTCTGCACAATTCCTTCCAGAAATCTGCGGGATGTGATCGTGGCACACACGGCATTGCAATTGACTGGAGTCTTTTAAGTCGGCCAGGTGGCTTTCACGTCCAGTGAATGTGGATTCAAATGACTCATTCCAGAACAACTCATCTTGAAAACTTTTCGATCAGTCCTTCTCTTCATCTTGAGGCTCAGGAAGTTTCGAAAGCCTGCATAACATTTGGCAGCGCCTGTCGCGCTGCGCAGTCCGTTTTCAAAGATTGCAGGTGGCATTCCAGCCTTGAAGATATCCATCGTTTTTGCAGGAGCTGGGAGGGGACGTCAACCTTTATGCCCTTGTGTTTGGAGAGTCCATCTTGAACGATGCTGTGGCCATCGTTCTGTACAGGTGAGCGCTCTTCTTTTCGAACTTTACACGTGTTTCAAACATGCCAGGAGAGTGGCCCTGGTCCCTTGTTGGACTGCTCCAAGCAAGTTGGCCCCACTGTCAAGCACTAACGAATCGAATTCAGCAGACGAACTGGAGCCGAACGATTTCTCTGGTCGCAGCTAAGAATTCCGGAACACTGAATCTTGGTCGAAGTTCAGCAACACCATTCGAGGCTCTTCATACGATGCTCAAATAGTCATACGTCTACGTCTGTCCTAACGTTTTGAAAACATTCAGGTGTTCTGGTGAACTATCAAGTACTCAACGCTTGCAAGTCACCGTCCCTTCGCTCAGCGGTGCGTTCACCGGAGCAGCCGTCGTCTGGGCGTGTGTGCAGGACGTTGCTCTCGTTTCAGGCCACCGGCTTTGACCAGCTTAATCTGAGGGACCCCATTGTTTTCTTCCTCATTATTCTGGTGGGCTCCCTAGCCATAGGTGAGTGGCGGCACTAACCCCCAAGACGCGTCGATGTCCAACCCGCCCGTCTCCGTATCCTTGTAGGACGCTTGTTTCGGTCGTAGCAAACCCCGAGCAGCATCGCAACATTTACGACCCCGCCGTGGTCTTCCTGACCATCCTCATGGGCTCGCTAGCGATTGGTGAGTCGAAGGAAGCGGGCAGGGGTTTACTAACGGCGCATTTGAAGCAGGCTAGACATCGTCCTCGGTTGGAAAGTTCTGAAATCCGTCTTGGCAGAAAGTCGTCATTAAAACCACCTCCCCTTCATCTCTTGGAAGTATTACTTGGAAGACGGTGGCTCTGTCCGTCGAATCAGTATCAAAGTTTCTAGGCAAGCTCGATCGTGCTGCGTCTTGGCTCAAACATCCCGTGATCGATCCAACCAAGATTTAGTTGTCTCCTCTCCGGCAGCTTCCTTGTGATTTCCGCTGGCATCTCTTTGGGTATGATTCCAAGCCGTTTCCTCCATTAACTGCTAAGAAGTCCCGTTCCGTCTGGTTGTACAGGTACCGTAGTTGCGTTGGCCTGCGCGCTGCTGTTCAAGTACGCTGGGTTGGCGGTGAACAAGTAGGTGCCCCCTGCCACAGCCGCTTATTTTCTCAAGCATGTGCATCTTCGCTCAAGATTAACCCCATTTACTCTTGACAGCACGTCCTCATTGTCTGGCCGTTTGAAGGTGATCGTAGTTGCTATCCTACGGAGAAGGGTTTCGTGGCAATCGATGAAACGGCACTGTAAGGGCGCACTCTAGCTACTGGCACAACCAAGAGACCGTTTTCAATAGGGCGTTGCGAACTGCTGCCATAAGAAGTCTGACTAAAGTTTGACTGGCCCTCCCCATTGTCGCAGCCTGCACAACTTGGAGTCGTGCCTGGTGATCCTGTTCCCGTACTGCGCCTACATGATGGCCGACGGCCTCAGCTTGTCCGGGATCGTCGCGATCCTCTTCAACGGAGTGGTGCGTACGATCAATCAGTCAGATTCGGCGCCCCGTTGTCAGCTGTTTCGAGACCCGTGCATGGCGACTGATTGATTGGGTCTGCATCTGGTCCACCCACTGGTGTCCTGTGCTCTCTGCGTGTAGCACCTAGAGTCGCAGTGGTTGATGAAGAAGCTGTCCCAATATGCCTATGAGCGTGCATTCGAGCGTAGTAGCGGGTCTAGAAGATACTTCACATCTGATGCGAGGGACGAACGTTGTCCTATCGAAAGAAACGTTCGTTGACTCGCCGGGGTGGCTTTCCTGTAGCGGCCGTGCTGACGTCAATCTCCTTTTGTTGCAGCTGATGAAGCACTACGCTCTTCCCAATCTTTCTGACAAGGCCCAGGAGAACGTCACACAGTTCTTCCGCCTGATTGCCACCCTCGCCGAGACCTTTGTGTGAGTCCCGCCCCTGCTAAAAGTGCAACAGCTTTCCTTTTTCCTTGCGTACTCTAGAGATTCCGCTCTATGATAGAAATTGTACGTCTGTCAGCGTGTGTGCGTTATGAATGCGTATCTTCGTACGGAAGAAGGAACTTCCTTCTATGAGGTTCGACTTGAAGACTTCTGGGAAGCTCTTCCATACCCGCATATGCCAGTGTCTTCAAATTCTCAGATTAACCTGAGTTCTGACAGTCTCTTCTCTCATATCATATCGGCTGCAAGTTTCGGCTGAGCTTTTTGCGCCTCCCTGTATCCAGCTTCATCTACATGGGCGTGGCCATCTTCAACACGGAGCAGAGCTGGACACACGTCAGCTTCACCTTCTTTGCCATCATTGCTATCCTGGCAGCCAGGTACGTACCTCCACTTCTTTCAGTTAGCTGCACAAGAGAGGCAATGAATCGGTTTTGTTGAACCTCCCTGGTGAGAGGCCGGCATGTCTGTGAGTGATGTGCATCTTATTCCGCTGACAAAGGGCTCACGTTTTCAATCAGCAATGGAGACATCAAGAATGATGCTATTTCTATCCGTAGTGTTGCAGAGGGCATGGTACTTCTGAGTTCTACTGATTGAAGTCGAGTATCTGCCGGATTCCTCAAGGAAGCCGCTCTCGAACTTTTCGCAACAACGTTTCAGCTTGGAGGACGACAGCAGTGCAGCACACAGCTTGCAAGCTTCCACGCTTCTCGATGTGCATCGTTATAAACAAGATGCCCTTCCGCTCAAGCAAGCGTTCCGGTCCTGCGCAGGGCCGCCAACGTGTTCCCGCTGTCATACATCATCAACACTATCCGGCCCCGCAGCAAGAACATCCCTATGGCCCATCAAAAAGCGCTCTGGTTCAGCGGTAAGCCATCAGGGCACGAACAGCATATGATCGATGTTTCTTTACACAGGCTCCGGCTCGTTAGGGGTCGAATCCTCTCTTCAGAACGGCCATCGCTGAGTCGTTCATTGGTTTGCGCTCCCCATTTAAATCATACGCTCATGGTTCCTTTGTGCAATTTTTTCTTCTCTCGTTGAGACGTCCGCTATGCATCGTTCCTGGGCCGATTCAGCGCACGAAACTAAACAAGAAAAGCAATATGGCCAAGTGTACCCAGATCTATTCCCCGGCCGAGGCCCACTGGTCAGCTGCTTTCGTGTCAATTCCGTGCAGGTCTCCGGGGCGCCATGGCGTTCGCACTTGCGCTGCAGTCGATTGAGGACCTACCAACGGGCCACGGGAAGGTCATGTTCACAACGACCACGGCCATCGTGGTGCTCACGGTAAGAGCCCGCACCACCTCAGAAGAGGAGCGATTATGGGCTTATGAAGCACTTTCGAGCTTATGAAGGCAGGACTTTGTCTAGAATGTGTCAGATCATAGAAGGCAAGGATAGTGCATCCTTGACCCTTACGTGCCTCTCTTTGACCCACGGAATCGCGCTCAACACAATCGGCTAAAGTGCTTTTCCTGCCTCTTTGAGTCATGGATCTCGAAAAAAAGGGCCCTGGTACACGCAGAATTGTTGACCACATTTAATTGGGTCGACCCGTGTGCTCAATTCTTCGCAGCACTCTGCTTGCAAATGGGCTGCCAACGGGTGGGTCGGGCTGTGACAAGACTCGTCGTGCCTCTAAGGTCACTCCGTGTCTTTCTTTTCCGCAGGTCTTGGGGGTCGGGGGTTCCACAGCGGAGGTCCTCAGGCGGCTCGACTTGCTGGGGGACGACTTCCAGCCACTGGCAGGGGAGGTGAGCCGTCGCGCACGCATAAAATTGCGTATCCCCCCTCAGTTCGCTGTTCATCAATTCAACCGAAATAAGGTTACAGTGGGCGCCAGTCCCGTCTAGCACAGTGTACCTCGAGACCGGCTAGTGTGATTGGGCGGGCAACAACTGTTTTTTGAGTGCTTAGTGGTGGAAATATCCTTTGCAGGCTCTAGATGGAGCGGGGGAGGAGGCGGGGCTGATGCGATCGGTGAGCGGTGTTTGCCGTTTTTCATCGTTTGTTCTAAATTTTGTCGCTCCCAGCTTAGAAGCCCGCCCGGTATCTTGATTCGTGGTCGCCGCTGGTCTAGCTTGCTGCCAGACTTCTAAGCAATAGATTGTGCAGGCTGAAATACCACGTTGAGTTTATCCCCCGCTTTTGGTTCTTCTTGAGATGTGTGCTGTTGGTTGCAGTGCAGTACTTTTGAGACCCAATCGTTGAAGTTTTTGTTGGCTTTTCCTCTCTAGTTGGTCAATTAGCTGCCACTCGGCTGGCCTACTCGTGTCGGGCCGGACTACGCCTTTTGCCCTTCTCCTGGACGATATCACAGTACCGCTAACTTGACGCGCGTTTCCTGTTGCAGGGGAACGGCGAGTCGGACTACACGCCCCCCTCGAGCCCCACAAGCCGGGGCTCCCTTCAGATGCGCCTCAAAAACTTCCAGCGAGCGGCCAAGCAGTACATGCCGGAGGCAAACGGCACGTGAGTCGCGCTCTTTCTGAGCTTTCGCCACAATCATAGCGCCTTCGGTGCTTCAAAAGCAGACCATGCTACAATTCCTTTTTTTGTGGACAAGACGATGATCTGTCGATCTTCACTTCGAAGCTCCACTTCGTTCTGTTAGTCAAACTTGTGTTCTCTAACACCCACGGTTTCAACCACTTATCTTCAGAAGTTCGACACGTGCACCTTTCCAAAATCCTTGTCCTCTTTTACCTTGTCGTTTGATGTTCCGCACGTCAAACACTATGGAATCCAGACGCTTGAGTCATAGACCTGCTGCGACGACCCGCTTTGGCTTTTCCCATCGCTTTTCGACGGTAGTTCACACAGCCGATCTCACTCCTTTCCCTGTCGCTGCTTCTCTCGTGGGCGCAGCTTTTTGGAGACGGTGGACAAGAAGTACATTCGGCCCTTCTTCACGACGGCCAGCGAGGAGGACCTCACGCGGGTGGAGAGCCAGGCCAACGGCCAAGGTGAGGGACAAGCTAGGGGGTCCTCGTTTCCACGTGCATCCAGGCTGACGGCCTTAGTATTCAGTCTCTTTGGTAGTACCGAGTAGCCGCTCGGTGTGATTGTGTGGTTGCGTGCTCGTGGGCAAACAGCTCGGCAGTCCTAATTCATACTAGGGTATGATGCCTAATAAGCTGAAAGACCCCGGTTCTACGTTGTTCATTTCTGCAAGAGGCGATCGTTCTGGGATCTTTTTCTTCCAGTCGGACCGAACTCATCTGAATGGGCCTGGTCCATCCGACGTCAGAAGCTTTTCATGTTAAGAAAAGCCGCACTGATCTGCCCGGTAACAAAATGACGGGGTTCCGAATGCTTCGCTGTTATATTGCCTGACTTCCTAAAGCGTTCTCCGAAATATTTGATCCTCTGAAGGACGGAAGAGTTTCGAGTGGTCTTGAATGTAATCATTTTGTCAGCAAACTTCGCCCACTGTCGCATCATTGTCCTCATCACCCGATACTCTCTTCTGCAGGGCCTCAAGCGGAGGTGGGGGAGGTGTCTTCTCCTCCGGAGGTGACGAGTCGACCGCCGCGGAGGTTAGCTAGCCGGGAAGGGATGCCAGGCTTCAACCCTCGACAAAAAGATGGTGAGCAAAGACGCTGACCCAGGCTAGCGGCTGTGGCACTCCCTCCCTCTCCGTTCAACATTGGTGCACTCAATTCTGTTGTTCAATCTCGTCTTGATGGACATCTTATACATACGTTGCTTGCAGAGTGTGCTCGCATGGTAGCTTGCACCTCGAAAGAAGCTTCTGCTTGATTCTCAAGACCCGTGCAGACGTAGACAATGGTTGGAGGCTTCATCAGATGCGCCTTAACGGGTTCGTCTGTGGTTCCTACAGAACTGCCCCCAGTGCGACCACCGACTTAGCCTCTCCGAATGTAGCATAGATGTGACATGCAAGCACTACGGGAGACTCAGCATAATCTGGCGTTCAGAAGCGGACTTCAGGTTAATTGCTATTGCATGTCAGCTTTGTTCGAATCATGTACATTATCTCGTACACTAATCACTGTACTGCATCTTACACCGATATCATTCTGTTCTGTCTTTTCCAAATAGGTCGGGCAGCCCTAGCTGGCCGCGCCCGGCCATACATGTGCATATTGACTGATGGGAACACCGGGTGCAAATTTCGACAATACTGTTGAAAATTCAGGACGGAAATGCAGTGAGCTTAAGCAGGTAGGTTTTGACAGCTTGAGACCATGCGGGATTGGCTACTTGCAAATGCAAGATTGTCAGCACATGTGCTAATGATGTGAGCTCCATTCAGTGGCACACTGAATTAAGCTCAGTTTGATGCATAAGTTGCAACGATTGCAATCAGTCGGAACACCGGATCGAGCTTATTCAAGTAAATAAGCTGGAGATCCGGGGCTGGTGCGGCGAGCTCGAAGAGCTATAGCTCAGTGTCAGTCATGCTCAGTCATGCAGCGCATTCTGCGATATACTGATAATGATCATATTCGGAAGTCGGACATGTGACCATGCCATGGCGGCCGCCACTGCAGATATATATATAGCCGTGCTCTAAATATATATATACCAGATTACTATAGTATATCTACTAGCCGGTAGGAGACTGCAAGAAGCTATGTAGTAATACTATAAGCTGATCGTGAGGAGTCGGCCATCATTGCATGCAGCAGGCTCCACCCAGGAGCTGTGAATATCTAATATAGAGTGATCGAGCTCGCATGCATCCGACCAAAGTATCATCGTATATTCCAATAGAGTGCGCGATTATTGATCTGTATCAGCTGCAATTAATGATGCCATTCCAGGCACTTCCACCACATTAGCGGATGCATGGCCCACCCGGTGGCGGCATGGCAAGGATCAGCGGAGCTCTAGCATGACAAACTCATGTAAGCAAGAGCTAGCGCGCCGTGTTCACAATATTACTGAGAGAATGCTTCAAGCATATACACCGTCAAAAGAAATCGAACATAAAACCACTGTAATGTGCTACCAGACTGAATCAGGGGCCAGCGGGCACGGCTGGGTCTCCATCGTTCCCTGCGCTACTATGCCAGGCCCTGACTCGACTTCATTGGCACTTGACCAAAAGACCGTCTAATTGAGTAAAGGTGTAGCAGATTGTGGGGGTGGCGCCACAGATTGTCATCCACCCTGAGCATCAGGTGGCATGCACTCGCTTGAGCCAAAGCTTCTGTCAAACCACCGACATCCCAGGTCATGCTCCGTTATCATTTGATCCGACATCAGAATCAGGGTGTACACTTGAAAGGATTCCTTAGCAAGTTAAGCTCAAGTTGATCCGGGTTTCAATAATCAATGGCGGTGCTGGACTCAGAATGCTCAATCAACAGAGAGAATGTGCATGAAGCCATCACTTTGAGATCCACAGATGGAAGACATGCATAACAATTGGGCCATCCTTACCCCTCGCCACAGGTGCCCTCCACTCTCCTCATGCTCAACTCCCCGCCCCTTCCCGGATCCCTCCCCTCCCCATCTCCCCTTTTGCAACCCTTGATCCAAGCACTTAATTTGAAGAATGTTGTGTGACACAAGTTTGATTTATCTAACCAGTTCTCTACAAATACAGCGTGCTTTCTGGAACAATCAAAGAAAGGGTTAGCAGTTCTGTCGCAGCTACTGCACGCTACACAGGCGCTGGAAGGGTCCACATCATCAGATAGGCTTCAGGAAAATATGTGCATCAGGCATCACATATCCCCAGTACTCAATCAGTTTGACTGAAAACTGGGGTATGCCGCTTCGGAATTAATTAGGAAAAGGCGTGCGCCGCCCTACTGCTGCCCGTTGACTTTCTTTGCAACCGCTGTCGCCCCCCCTTCCAGCGCCCACTCTGTAAGCCACCTGCTCTTATCCGCCAGCTCTTTTGACAGCCGCCGCGACTCCGCTGAATCGCTAACCAGCCCCAGATTCCCGCAGATCAGCGTTCCCTCCCCACTCAACTTTGTCCTCAGCGTGTCGATGATGTCCATACTCGGCGCATACCCGTCAAAGAAGGCAACGTCATACCCTGCCGCCGGTAGCTTGGGTAAAACCTGGTTGAAATCGCCCTCGATCACTTTGACGCGCTCCGTTAACCCGACGGACGCCACATTCTCGCGCGCCAGCCGCACGTGCTCTGGGTCGCGCTCGACGGTGTCAACTTTTGTGGTCGGCCTTCCTGTAGAAAAGATGCACGCGGTGTACCCAAGCGCCGTGCCTAGTTCCAGCACGCGGTTCGGGCGCAACTTCTGGACAAGCGCAACTAGATTGGGGCCGTCTTCGAATGTGTACGCGAGGCAGCCGTGCTGTGAGCGGTGCCGTTTGGTGGCGTTGTAGAGCGAGCGGAAGGGATCCGCGGCCGCCATTGGAATCCTGGGCATATACAGGGCAGCTAAAAGGAGTGCGCCTGCAATGCTGCAGAGGAACCAGAAGAACGAATGCTTGCTGGGTGCGCTCATCAGGTGTCAGTGTGGTCAGCAAAGATGCGGGTCAGTTGAGCCGCAGTCTGGACTGGGCTAACCCGGACCGACATCTTCCTACCTCCTACCTGACCTTCTGAAGCCTGAAGGTGGAGGGAGTCTCTCCGAGGGATACGCTATGCATGATCAATGACGGCCTACCGCTGCGGCATCCCCAGGCTAGGCTAGCTCCATGCAAGGACTCGGAGTCCGACTCGGTTTCGGAGTCTGTTGCGAGGGGATAGGTTATGCGGCAGACCGGCAGACTGGTCAAGCCGACACATCGATCGGACGCATTTACTCATGCACTGCCCCGGGCCCGTCCGCCGACTCCCAACCACCGCACTCCCGACTCCCGACTCTCGAGTCCCGACTCCTCTAGGTTGACTCCTTAGTTGAACGTACTGAGGACTAGCTGATCCCCCAACTATTATCCCGGTCTGTCCATCGAGTACTACTGGACACTGGACAGTGGTCGGCTGATCAATCGGCTCGGCGCCCGGGCTCGGCGAGGAATCGGGGTCATTGCCAGCTCAGCGCGGCCTCCAAGGCATGCGGATCTGCAGAGAAGCTTGCAAGCCTGAAGGTAAGAGGATCGAGCCTGATGTAGAGATAGACCCCTAGATCTGCATGAAGATGGTTGATTTGCGCACCTGAATGAAAAAAATGCGCATGCACGCCTGACTCACCATCGCGCCCAACGGCGCAATTACTTCAGTAGTATTTAACGTAAGTTACTTCAATGTCCATGAACGTGCAAAAAGCCAAGCTCGACCGACGACGACGATTTGCCAAATTATCAAACACACGTCCTACATTGAAGTTGGCATAAATCAAATTATATATAAAGTGCTGGCATGCACTGATCGAACGGGCCAGCTACATGGTCCTGTCATGCATGAACCATGTACGTTACCTCATGTGATTCATGCAACCGTCGTAGCTCGAGCGCACTGAGTTCGAAACCTTATGAATTAAGTGAAACCGACACTGTCAAAATGGTAAGTAGTTGACTGAAGTTTCTCATTGAGAAGTTTGACCGAGTCTGTGGATAGGCGGCCATTGGGGCGTTGATACATACGTTTCTCAAATCGACTATATTTGTTTAAACTTTACATTGCAAGTTACGTGACTGAGCATGATCATGTCCAGTAGCACAATTAGTAACATATCTCCGAGGCTCCGGACTTTGGAAGGGCCTAAACATGCAGACCACCAGCTTGATCGTTTTAAGTGACTCATGAAAATGCCAGAAACAGTCCGCACCAAGGGCCTTTCAACAAAGAGCGGGTGTTGTTGGATTCGAGCGAATGAAAGGCGGGGGTCGCGGCTGCGGCGCTGCCGTCGCCAAGAAAACACCGCGGGTAAACTTGCCAACTCGCCGGCTCGTACGGTCACACGTTAGCAAAAACACCGCGGTGTTCCAAAGTGCTACTACAAAAAAAGCTGGGTGACGGTAGTGAACGTTTTGGGACCGTCGCACGGACTACTTTTGCTGCGGAAGGTTACCCCCGAAGACAAACGGGGCATTTGTGCAGAACAACACCTTGAGATCTTGGCGAGTTGCGGAAATCAACACCTACTCAGTGTGTAAGACACCAAGTGGCTAAAAAGCAGCTTGCCACAAGGTACATGATGCAACGAAGCCCCATACACATTTGACGTGATCCGAACTCCTGCATTGTGATGAACTCGTTGCTGGCACGCTTTGGGACGACAAACAATGGAATGATGTATCAACGATATCCCCCCATATAGGTGCGACCTCTACGATATCCACAGCTCTCAGTGTACCTATTTTGAGCAAGGCCGTGCAAACTAATCCTTCTTTAGCGGAAGCACCTCCTTCCGAATACCTTTCCGGTTGATGATTATGATCTCAACGGCATCACCCTGCATTACAGGATGTTAACTGTAAGAAACAAACAAGATAGTGCACCAGCAATGATCCAGAGTACAATAACCATGCTGCCACTCGGGTCGAACGCAACCTGCCGTGAGAAAGACTGGACTTCCTGAATGCAGCTGGGCGAGCAACCCTGAAAACAAAAATTTCCCTATCCTCGTCAGCCACGCAACTTGTTAAGTGGCATCCGAAGCAGATACGGGTCGAAGCTTACGAAGCACACACAGGCCGAAGCTTACCGTGTAAATGTCTCTCTCCCCAGCTGACGCAAATGTATCTTTGATCAGATCCATTGCTTCCGCTTCAGATAGCGGAGTCGCCGAGCTCTGCAAACAGAAAGAGGTCTCGCCTAATTAAGATCGTCACAGTGACTACCCGCAACAGTGGTTTGTCGATGACAAGCACACGCGGAAGTACCATCAAAGTTGCCTGCCCTTTCCTCGAATGTAGACAGAAGATACAAAGCCTGAGTCAAGCATCTTCCTGTCCCGTGAAAGCAACGGCCCAACATTTTCCCTTTTTTAAGCTCCAACACGTATCAACATTCTCTCCTGATAGGCCCCTTCCTTTTAGATCTTTAGATGACCACCAGCTTCCTGTTCTTGCTATTACGTTCCTACAAGCCTTCCTTTTGCTTTATTATGCCCTTGCAGCAAAGAGACGGGCGAACTCCAGCCTCTTTAAGATATGGTTCGATCTTTCCCCGCTTTCAACTCAACCGAGTTGTATAACCCACGTGCATACGCCCTTCCGCAACACTCCTTTCACGCTTTGCTGTATCTGACGAACATCGCATGTCTTTCCGCCAGCTTCGGCGATGTCACTAACGACACACGAAAGCGCTACGAAGTCGCCACGACTCTTGTCTCCATATCTCAACAGTCGATTATAGTCCGCGGATTTCCATCCAGTAAGTCCGATTCCTGACACAAGGTGCGACATTGCAGTCGTAGTCTTGGAGTCGGAGGAAAAGACTAGTTCGCTCCCGCTTTGCGTCCATTTCTCCATAGGCGGGTCGGGAAATCTCTGTGATAGGAAGGTCGGAGAGTCACCGTGATCTAAAGCTGGCACCAATGGCACCGAAAATCATACTGCAAGCTTCTGAATATCTAAGTATCCGCTGGGGTGCTTTATCCGGCAGCACCTACCACCGCGGGCAGGACCAGGGGGCTCGCTGACTTGAGCTGGTTGTCGAGCACCGGCATCACCAGCTGCTGGCCGCTCCCCTGGCAGCTGTACCCCGTCCGCTCGTACGAACCGATCGCGTCGTACGTATATACACAGCCCTTCCCTGCAGTGAGAACGTGGCGAGAATGTTGATTGGCAGCACAACGACTTGCTCTCCAGCTTAACTACAATTAGCAGCACAGTTGACGGCCATACACGGTTCCGACATCTGGAATGCGGGATGATCTTCAAAGACTGGAAGATGGGCAAGAGTTGCCAGGTCGGCTGTTTGGATCGAAAGTATCAAAAAGCGGGCAGAAGGAAAGCTGGGCGACATTGTCTCCTAGCGACCTGCTGAGACGACGTTTGTGAATGCACAGAAACAAATAGATAGTGGAGTACAGACGAAGTCGATAGAAGCTTCTCAGGCAGAGTTCTCGTCTGCTTTCGTCCAGCAGAATGCAAACCGCGTCCTTGCGCCTTTGGTAGGTCACGGGGTCCTTCAAATCTTGTCATGTTGAAAACAAGCTGTCAAACCCATCAAAAAGTGTTTGCAAGAATGAAATAGACCCGCAGAAGTCAATCCTTGAAGCATGAAGAAAGACTTTGCTGCCAGGAAGATCAAGGAGGACCAGAGCACGAAAGAGAGGGGGGACAAGAGGTGTTTCAGGACTCTCGTCATCTGTTGCAGTCACTCAAAAGACGTCTTCAAGGCGCGTACCTTCGTTGTCAAGTCCGCCTAGAAGGTTGAAGGTGTAGTACGGGAAGAAGCGCTTGTAGTAAAGCGTGTTGGACAGGAGCTGGGCCATGGCCGGGCAGCTGATCTCCTTGTTGTGCTTGTGCTGGTATTGCTGCACGGCGAGCGGGACAAGACGTTGCTATGCAATCGTGCCAGCAACCAGTATCATCCTAAGCTTGCTTCGAGCAAACAGAAAGACCTCTGTGCTTTCACAGAATGCCTAGATTTGATATGATAAGTACTTGTGAGCAGTACCTATTGTGAGGAGTACCTGGTGAGTGGGGCCACAACCATGTAATATCTTCTGAAAGAAAGGTGGTGAAATTGGGCTTGCCCCATTAGTTCCTCTCAACAACTAGTGACAGGAGAATGCTTCCTGTGCTTGCCGTAATAAGCATCTTCCAACTGGATCAATAACTTCACAGAAGGGTCAACTCTTCTCAGCTCTTCCAACCCCTGCTGACTCACCTGGTGGCGTGCATCCAGAGTCTTCTGGAGTGTTTTGGCATCTGCCTGGAATCCTGCTGACGCCAGAACGCACTTGTCCGACCTGCAAGCAATCATGCAAAGTCAAGAAATCGACCGACCAGAGAGCGTCTTCGAGAAGATCCAAGATCATTCTGTATGTCCAGACATGATATGTCGGACCTAGCAAACCATCTTTGCCCCATTTCTGGATGCAAACCAAAGGAGCCAATCATGGGAGGTCGAACCAGCTAAGAGCGTGGGTGTGAGACTATCTTCGAACCCCTGCTCTCAGCCAGCAGAGCACACGAAGCGTACCCTGGCTCTATGGAATATGTAGAAATCAAGTTGAAATTTCCCGGAGCTTTCATACTTATCAACCACAACCAGAAAAGCAGGGCGCTTCCACTTACACTTTGAAGAGCTTGGTGTAACCGGAGTTTTGAAACTCATCACCCACAACCAGACAAGCAGGGCGCTTCTACTTACACTTTGAAGAGCTTAGTGTGATCCCGGGTCAGTATGCTGAATCCTGTTGACATGCGTGTGTCCGCCGCGATCACGCAGTAGTCCTCCCCAGCCACAGCCACAGCAGTCCTGAATAATAAGAACCGCTGTTGGTGACCCATGATCCCTCAGGTTCACAAAGACCAGGAGATTTTCTGCTGAGAACTTGCTGACACAAAAGCGCAAAGACAGGAGTTTTTGACCTAAGCCAGGAGCAAGCAGCGTGACCGGCTAGCTCCAGATTGAATGAAGGAAACTCTTACAATATAATCAAGCATTCAAACGAAAGGGAGTTTTTAAATCAGAATCTTCTGATCCAATCTCATAAATCAAGGTTATTTAAGAGGATGTACGCCTCTGTGTTGACGCTGCGGCGTTGATACAATGTTATCAGAACTTAACACAACAAGCTTCTTCAATTGCGCAACACCTAGACACTGCCACACTTTGGCAGCACCACAACTCTACGATGTTTCAGCACGTCGAGCGCTTCGGACTTCAAGGAGTTTTGTTGAATTGCGTGTCCCACACAGAATGCTAAGTGATCACACCCAATTCTGCACAAACTGGACCATTGGCCACTTTAGATAAAAGTGCGTTTTAATGAGCATCCACAAGAGGCGGGTCACTCGCTCTCACCCTCCGTTGTTGTCGTAGGGGCTCCACGATGGCCGTTCAACGTGACCATGGGGCCCTTTGTCCATTGGTGTGCTCAAAAGCAGCGCCATCGAAAGAAATTTGCCACAAGCCACAGAACAATCGAGGCAATCGCAAAACAACAATCCAAGCTCTTTGATAACCAATTGAGCTAGGTAAGAACCTCAAGAAGAGGCGTAACGTGAGAAGAACAGAATATAAGCTTTGGATCCTGCAAGAAGTAGAACCTACAGAAGGTGGTGCGCTACACTCTCTGCTCAAGACTGCATGACGATTTGGAAATGAAAGTTTGAACTGCTTGCACGAGTTCAACTTCCGAGACTCAATGAGAGACAGCAAGAGACAGCCCCCTGCGGCGGCGTTGTTACTTGGAAGAGCCCGGTAGACATGACACTTGGATTCCATTCTCTATTACAATAAGATTTTATGCTTAACTAAAGTGTCAACTTGACAAACCCAGTATCGAGTTAACGTTCCCGTTAGCGTGAACTCAAAAGGAAAAGAAGGAAAGAGGAGAACTATGCTGTCCCGGCTCTTCACGGGAAAATAAAAACCACCAAGAGGGTTCCTTGACACCAAGACGGACCAAGTCGGAACAGGGATTGTGTAAGAGGTCTCTGACGTCACTAACCATAGGGTCCGGAAAATTATAAAAGACGTCACTTTAGAATTGACTAGAATACTCGATAATTTTTCCGCTTATAACTTAGAACTTTCTGATTTAACCAGAAGGCTAAGGACGGTTGTAGACTAGAAGTGGACCTTCGTACCAGGCTCCGTGAGGCATTCAAGCACACCGAGTCACGACACCGGCCTAAGTTTTTCGGAGTATAAAAGCGAGCCGATCCAACTTTCTTTCCTCACTTCCAAATTTTCCTTTCGGGATTTCTAGTGGCAGAACTTAGAAGGCGGCGCCCAGGGTCGACGGGCACGGTCAAGGAGGTGACGTCAGCAGCTTGCTGACGTAATATTTGGAATTAGACATTGTGTTACTATGTACAATGTAACTGGTTGCTGCTTATTAATACAACTAAATTAAATACGAGTTACAATCTGCCGAGTCTATGCAGCTGCTGGCACCGCAAGCGAAAAGAAAGCATGGAGTCAGCGCCCATTGCAGAGGATGCGCAACACCACTATGCCAAGGGTCTTCCATTTGGAAAGAAGGTTCTGCTGAAGTCCGAAAACGGCACGATTAGGCAAAAGTTTGGGAATATCGCAAAAGCAATTGAGAGCTGGCGGCATGGCGAAACCGTGTTCATTCCGAGGGGTGTGTATAAGGAGAGCATTCAGATTATGGCACTCTTTCACGACGGCATATGTATTGTGGGTGAGAGCAAGGAGGATACTATTGTCGAAGGACAGAATGAGGATTTCAACGCCCTTACGTCCTTTGTGAAGAATGGGACGGTCTCAAATCTGACTTTCTGTCTCGCATCAAATGTGAAAGAAAAAGTATACGGTGACAATTCTGTTTGGAAGTGTCTCACTGGAAGACTGCATCATCTATGGGCGGGGGAAGCTCTCAGCAGTCGGTGTATATCTTGATGGGTCCGCTGAAGAAGTTGAGGGGACTGCAAACTTGAAGAGTACTGCAACCATCAAAGGAAACATCATATACGGGGCACACGGCGGTGGTGTCTTCGTACGAGAAGAGGGGCACGCCATTCTTGACTCCAATCGGATTCTCAGGGGTGGTAAGTGCTCCAACAACATTTCTTTTGGTGTATACTTGACGGTTGTGAAGCGCCATGAAGCTGCATTGAAAATAGAGGCCTTCCTCTCCTTGTGATCAGTTCTTTAACTGAGGGGGAATAGAGAATGGTTTATCACCAACGTGGAATTGGAAACTTCATCAGTAATCTGAAATTGGCAGCCCCAATGCCGTCCCCATGCCGTCAGGCCTGACTAACCATCATCCGTACCCACTTTTCTTTGCTCAAACAGGTGGCGATGGGGTCGAAGTGCGCACGCGGGGCATGTGTGTCTTGAAGAACAATGAGATCACCAACTGCAGCAGCGGTGTGTACATCAGCGAAGGAGGCACAGCCACGATGGTCTCTAACAACATACACCACAATCATCGTGATGGGGTAAGCCGAGAGAAGCAGTCTCCGGATCGTTTGACTCTGATTTGATGCTTTCTTATTATCTATGATTGTGCACTAGCCTGATCCATTCAATCGATCACAAGTGAATGGAAAATCAAGACCGCCAAGTGGATCTGGGGTTACTTGCTTCCTATCGACACTCATGTTGCTGGTCAGGACAACTTAAAATTCTCTCGGTTCCTCAGAAAAACTGGCACAGAAGATTGTGCTCAAGGTTTAGAGCTCCGCACGAGCACTGACTTTGACCGTCACAAGGATGAAAGCGCATCCTTTGAGTAAGAATGGTTTTGTTGCTCCTCTCTTATGAACGGGACACGACCTGCAGAGTTGGGCTGTCACTTGCAGGTGCGTCTTGCTGGGCCCTGTCGGGGCACCCTCAGCAAGAACCACATCCATCACAACAAAGAGCACGGAATTGCCATGCGCGCCTGGCTCCCACCGCCGGGACTTGGGGTGCGACACAAGAAAGGGCCTGTCTGTGCGCTTGTGCAGGCAAGTTTAGAGTCATGCCTTACAAAATCGATCATTTCGAGAAATAGCCAGAGAAGTTAAAAATTTGATGTTCGTCTATGTTTCAGTACTAAGCATCATTTTTGAGGGACGTATTGATTGTTGATGTTATTCCATACGAAGGCTTCTGGGGGCAGGCACTTCCAAGTGACGGGATGAAGATGACCGCTTTCTTGCCTTTTTGAGCTCGAAGCCTTGTAACTTCAAGCCATGTGTTTGACTCTTTCGGTGAAGCCGTCAGCAGGACCAATGAAGTGTCAAACAACTCTTGTAACTCGGCTTTGAGTTGATAGAACAGCTGGGATTGGATTCTGAATGCCAGAGCCGCTATGGGAGTCAGTCGGCGTCTCCTTTGCTTCAAAGACGCGAAATTGACTTGTGTCTTGTTTGCCTTTCTCCCTTTTACAGGAGAACACAGTCGAGGCCAATGACAACTTGGGGATCCGCGTCGCTGGCAGTGTGTGCAAAACAACTGTGGAAGTAAAGAAGAATAGACTTGTTGGCAATTCTCCGGTGAGAATTCTTGTCCAGGTCGGCCCTACATAATGAAGTATGTGTTTCGACTGCTCGGCTTTCGTTCTAGACGGACGCCTATGCTCTCTTCTCTAGGGCCACGAACCTCTCCTTCTAGCTCGGCGCCGTAAAATCCTCAAAGGTGCAATCTGCAGAACTCTGTGCTCCTGTCAAGTGACATGACGACAGAGTGTGCGTTCCAAAATCGTCAAACACAGTGCGAAGGGGCCATGAAATGAGCATGCCTTTTTTTGATCTGGATGGCTCGAACTACAATCTGCTTTTTGAAAAGCGAAGCCTTCAGTCAACGGTCCGAAGCTTCATCATATACGGTGCACTTCTTCATATTTTTCTTAGGCCCCTTTCTCACTGCTGTTGCTGATCGCAGGGAGGTATCTTGGTCGAGGACCGGGCCGAACCGCGTCTCACGCAAAACGAGCTCGAAGGCCACGAGAACGGGCTCCTGGTGGGTTTTGCCTATTCCATCAACCATCCACGCTGCAGTGCCTCTTGTTGGCGATGCGCAGCATGATAATTTCCCTCTTCTGCCAGCCAATTGAAGTGGCCTCCTCTCCGCAGGGTGAATGACGTAGCATCATCCATGAACGTCCGAAACAGGGGCTTCGGATAAAATGAGAGAAAAGCACGCTCATGGCTCTCGCAGGTGGCTCTCGAAAATACTTCCTGATTGATCCGGAAGCCTTTCTTCCTTTTGCTATGAAACGAAGCATCGAACTTTGAGAGGCGACAGCGGGGTAACGTGGCTGATCAATGAATCGTAACAAGATTACCTGCTTGCCACTTCCAGGTTGCCGGTTTGGCGAAACCGGTTGTCAAGGACAACACGTTTTCAGCTGTGGGTTTTACCGACGACAAGTGCCGGATTGCAGCGCGCTTCTACGAGGGAAGCGCTGGAGAGTTTACCGGGAACAAATTGACAACGTGCCACGTGGAGCTTGAGCAAGCGACCGACGTGTCGGGGCCCTGTCGGCCAGCGCTTGCAGATAACAAGTGAGTTGGAAGTCGCTGATTGGACATGATTTGATCTATTGTTGGGTCTTCCTTTCAAACGGGTTGTCTTCGTTACAAGTGACATGTCTCAATTGTAGAGAAGCCAAGTATGTATATATTATCGTGTCCAATGTTGGCTTGTTTATGTTCAGAAAAGACAAGCGAGAGGCTTGAGAGGATTGAACCTGACGGTTACGGAAAGCGGGGCGGATCTTTGTCTTGACTACTCACCCTGAAGGGGTGTCTCTTTCGTGTGCTCCAGCTGATCGAGATTTACATATGCAGGTATCTTCTTCCAAACCGTGTGCTTCTGCGCTACTCGGGAGTGGCGAAACGAACTTCGGCTGATGGTCTGTTCTTTGCAAGGAACCATGTCTTGATCGTTAGTTCCTCCGACGAAGAAACGTATGCGCAGAACCAAACTAGAAACATGGAAAGCAGCCAGTCGCCCAAAGGTGGACCAAACTCAAGGCCGGGAGAGGAGAATCCTCGTCGTCTGAAGGGGTGTTCAAACTGTAATCGGAGTTCGGCTGACTTCAAAATGCAGTGTTCGAAGTGTGCTCAGGTCTACTACTGTAGTAAAGAGTGCCAAATAGCTCATTGGCCAGAGCATAAGGCATATTGCAAGGCCGCGCAAGTGATTGGATTCTCGGAACGAGAAAAATATTTGATGTCCAGGAAGAAGTGAGCCAGCTGCTCCTCTATCATAGGTCTCTCCAGTTCTGAAGTTTGCTCAGCGGGAGCATGCCGCCCCCACGTACCATGCTCCATGTGCAAGCATCCAGAATTTCAGCGATATGATAGTGCGCATTTTCTGCGTTTTAACTGCATAGTGTGTTTCAACTTGGTCCAATCATTATAATTCAGATGCCAATGCTCTTAGGGCCATGTATACACGTATAGTGCCAGAGCGGAACGTACGGTATGGTTGTCCTGTCCCCCAGAATACATGACAGTAAGTTGGCAGATATTGAAAGGATTGGACGTAGATCCAATATATATGCAACTTCGACTGAAATGCTTCTTCAATCAGTGCACCGTACGTCATGCAGCTAAGTACGGTTACGTTCATTTGATTGGACCGTGCCTTCAAGGGAAGCCGCGTCCGGTCGCCTTCATTGCGATGCTGCGCCATCATGTAGCTAGGCGCTTGCGCTCTGCGAAGCGAACCGCGTCTGACGCATTCAAGCGGTGATATGACTAATCAGCTTTTTTGAAACCATGAGCTAGATCGATTTACTACGGTGTACCGTTGCACGCGCGCGTATATATACGGCGTCATATTGCGCCAGCATATCATGATCATTCGCCGGGTAAGATAGCTCTTTAGTAGTCGGCGAATTGATTCGAATCAAATTGATCAAAAGTCAAAGATCGATCTCCATGTATCATTGCCATGGAGGCTTATCTACATGCAGCCCGGCCATGCCAGTGGAGACCGTACGGCCGGCCGGACGTTTAAAAAGGGATCGATTTCAACATCATGCACGATCCGCGCAGTAACTGCATATGATGTTATTCTACCAAGCCTATAGCCTGCCGGGCCCGGCAAGGAATTCATATCCGAGCATCAATTGTTCATCGATCATTGTATTACGTCACGGTAATATGAGAGTGTACTCACTGGCACACGTAACTGCATTCGGTCCGATTCGCGATCAACGCAACGGTAAACGTTCTAGCGTTGCCAGGGTTGCGCAATTTGATGGACACATAATCTGCGTTCGAATCAGCCGCTGATGGTCGCCCGGACACACCATGATGGCGGCAGTGCGGCGGGAGCCTGGCTTGTCCCGTACACGTGCGCATGTTGTCGCCAGACTTGGTACGTGTGTCCGACTCATTCTTATGCAACTTCCACCGTTGGGAGTACAAAATCCTCGAGGTATACCCTTTAAGGCAAATTACAACTTTAGAATCGAAGCATTGTCGCTACTTCCATTTCATAGTTCCTTGGAAGTCTTCCTTTTGAGCTCCTCATCCGCAACCCCCTGTTGAACAATTGCCAACGCCCTCTCTACAAGCTCCTTCCTTTGCAACGCATATCTCTCCAAAACCTGCAAGTTCGTATATACAGCGCCCTTTCCCCTTCCAAACCGCTTAATCTGCCGTCTCAGCTTGACAACGCTTTCATCAAACCTCTCCAACGTGCTTTTGTACAGACGAATCAGAGCCCTTTGGGCCGCCAAACCCGCAATCACTTCGCATTCCGACCTCCTACGGAAGCTCCATAACGAGACCGACTGGGAGCAAGCGTAACCTAACTCGTTCTTTGAATCCAGATGCACCCACAGAGTCGCAAATATCGCCCACAAGCGTTTGTCCGCTTCCTTTTCTGAAAGGGCTAATCCTTCGTCCGTTTCATCGCTCAACGTTTCTTGCGCCGCCTTGACGGCGGCAGCAATAGCGGCAGTGACCTTCTTAGCAGACGGCGCGGTATGCGGTGGCGGTCGGGACTGGATGTACCAGGCTGCTGCGTCCTGCAGACAACAGCCCGTGACGTCATTACATTTCTGTACTGTCAGAGGTTCAATCGACAGCCTTGATCCACCTCGGAATTGTGGCACATCATACGCAGCTTGCAGACAAACTAAAAAGTCTCGAGGTTGATGCCAGAGCGCGAGGCACCCAGATTTTCGCGCAGCCGGATAATCGAGAGAATCCGAAAACAATTTTGACAGCAAGGACTGGAAGGCCTGAAAAATCTACCTAGCTTTTGCTGCTTCAACAGCCTCGGTGCTTTCGAGAGGTCCTGAGGTAGAAGCTAGAGACGTCAACTCAACGACGAGGGAAGCAAAAGGCGGGTTTGAGGGGCGAAAGCAGGCAAAAGAGCGTGACCGATCGGTTGGATGCACTTTGAGCGGGAAAGAAAGAGGCGGCCGTAGCTTACTTCATAGGTGTCGAAGAGAGGCATCCGGTCTGCGGGGTTGTCTTCGGGTACGTAGCCTGCGCGCAAATGAATGCATAAACGGCAACAACCATTGTGGGGCGAAATTGACCCCCAGATGCGGAATTTAGGTCTGGAGCGCAGCCTTGAGCCCCACGATGGGCCCTTGAAAAGATCGAACGGTCCACGGTCAGGACACATGCTTCGAAGATCTGGAAGCCCGGTTGCCATGTGAGCAGACAGCTGTCAATCCAAATAGAAAGCTTGTTTGGGCTGACAACAGGCCGTCAGTCCAATAATTTAACATTCTTGCGCAGCGCGCACGTTCACGAAGGGCAGAAGGCCATCTCTTCTGCACGCCCCAAGCTCAGGGCCGATACTCTGCAACAATTGTGCCCCACATGCATTCATGCGGCAGGTCCCCGGGTACGACGCGTGCCACGCGCGCCACGTGTCCGCGCGCGCCACGTGTCCTCACCGTAGTAGAGCAGCCACTGCTCGTTGGTCTTGCTCCCGTACGTCGTGAACACCTCCTCCCCTTTCGCGATGTCGCGCGTCGCGGTCATCTCAAAGCGCTGCCCGCCGTCGTCCAACTGCCACACCAGCTGCAATAAGAAAACGGGTTGGAGTGTTTTCCAGGGGTGATGAAGGACCGCTCGGTTCTGTTTCACGGTTTGGGGCAGTCTGGTTCGCCCACTGTTTCCTTCTAGAGGCGCGGGCTGAGGCATCGCCGATACTGCCAACCGGTGGGACAAGAGAAGCGGGGCTAGGACAGTGTCGGAGGGCCGTTCCCACTCTCTTAAAGATCCGGAGCTTGACGTGCGAAAAGCATGACATTCACAAAAGCTCCCAGCTAACGCACAATCTGGGACCGCATGCTGCCTAATTAGAGTGTTCCAACATGTCTAGAATACCGCGCTCAAAGTGCGAGTTTCCAGGAAACGAGGTTTGAAGGTTGTCTAACAGAACTCACACCCGCACAAAAAGGCGAAAGATATCACGAATGAACAGGTTTCCGATCTTTGTTCTGCATCAAAGCAGAAGTAATAAGACCCTGGCGCAGCCTCTCCAAAAAATCTGCTGACGTCACCTGGTTGTGGGGGCTGTGATTGATCATATCCGCAAAGGGCAGCATCATGATCATCGCGGACAAGGCGCCGTCTTCGGAGCCCCCGAGCAGAACCCGCGTCTCGAATGTCCGGCTTAGCACGATGGCGAACGCCCACTCTGCAGACCGGCAAAACCCGGGGTTGGAAGAAAGATGTGCCCGCTATATGTCTCGATCATGCGAAGCTTCCAAAATTCTGGTCGAACGGACGCGAACGCAAAGCAGAAAGCGTGACAAGGTAAGCGGACCTGGGAAAACTGCGGAGGTGCAATCAAGGAAACAGAATGGAGTTGAGAGCGAAAGTTTCTCCGGGTGCTAAAGATTGGTCTTCCGTGGATCATTAGTCGAGAAGCTCGGTATCTACCTTGGGTGAAGGAACCAGTGTCTGCGACGAGACGGTCGACGTCAGCAATTGCTGCTGGGAACACATGACGCAATAGAAACGGGGGTCTTGCTAGACTGAAGGTTCGCTGAGTTGCCTCTGCGAACCAAAGTTTCTGCACCGACCGATCAAACTCCTTGCACTGGCGGACGGGTCCTCGTACTAGACAACCGGCTTAAGAAAGCAAGTCAGATTTCTCAAACCAGATTGCCCTCAAGACCAGCGGAACCGTCTCCAAAGTTACTTCATCATTGTTTCCATTTTAGGGGTCCACTATAATCTAGAGTGGCAGAAACAAGCCAACAGGAACAGACAAAGGCTCCCCCTTACTGAAGGTCACGAAGGAAGCGCCCCCCAGCGCATCTGGGTTGCTCTTGTCGAACTCGTCCCGGGTCCAGTTCAGCAGCTCCTGCATGCCCGCATGGCACGGCAGGAGCGCGGCCGCTTCGGCCTCCTGCGAAAATGCGGTGGGTCGGTCCAGATTATGACGAGGTCCCCTTTCCATCTTCTTTAGGGAAACAAGAACCGACCCGATAAGAGGCGCTGAGAAGAAGGATCTAGATACGCGGGCTAGTTGACCCGATCTTGTTCAATCACCAACAACTGAAGGAAAGGGCCGCGCGGATGCTTTCGGTGGGACAAGCCGCAATCTGGGATGAAGACATGGCTTCTTTGAAAGCCGAAATACTTGAAAGGCCTTAACGCCTTACAGCCTCCCAACCGTGACAATCTGCATCAACTGCAAGCTTTCCTTAACAAATGAAAGTTCTTACCTTATTTTGGTAGAACAGCGGCATGGGGATGGCTTTGGGAAGCATGTCCAGATACGGGGCGAACCGAGAGGTCGAGCCCAGGGACCTGGACACAAGGGACCGACAGTCTGATCAGAAAAGGTCACACAACGTGATTTTTGAAGTTTCTCAAAATGATCGAGTGCAAAGAGACGCATGTCAAAACAATACAATCGTGCAAATCCCGCAAGAGCGGATTTATGACAAAGATGACTAAGAAACTCCTCAGAACGTTGGTCACATGTCAGTGACGGAGGTAGATAAAAGGAGCCTGCTTGATACCCGCTGCCACAGGATGTGAGCTGAAGAAAAAGAGAATCCGACTTGGCTTTCCACCAAAATTCTTGCAAGTTCTGGTTTTGTGGGAACTGTTTCTTGGTTCCCGTGGTTTCTAACCAGAGTCAAAAGGGAGCAGCTCTGCCAAATATCGATTCTGATGCTTTGAGCAGAAAATGCGCTCACCTCTGACGACACAGCCAGGCAGCCAGTCGAGTTTCGGGTATAGACTCTGCATAAGGTTCAGGCAAGCCAGCAGCGCCATCGAAGTCGTACACCCCCAGATTGAGCTGCAGACAGAAAAGATAACAGTGAACTACCGAGTTTCGGAATTATCCAACTTCGGACTCGCGCAACCCGAAACGGATATCTAACATACTGATCTGAGTATGTGATCTTATAGAGTTTCTGCTAAAGTCAGTGCCGTTATGGCACTAGCCCGATCAAGTTCCGGCTGGCATGCAAAAGAGACCGAAACCAATAGTCCAGAATTGGATAAACTCGAGATTCGGTGGTTTACCCTTACTGGAAACTTCTTTACTGAATTTCTAGCAGAAAAGTAGGTCCTGTAGATAGATTCTGGCGACTGGGCAATGTTGCTCTTGTTCGTGATGAAAGGCTGAAGTCTTGGCTTATGCAGACAAGTAAACAAACTCCAAACACATGTCTTCCTCCGATTTTAGCAAGTTCAGCTACAGCTCTGCCGGGACAGGGGGTCTCAGCAGACGACAAGATGCTGCGCGAATAAACGATGGCATATGGTCCTACTCCATTCGGACAGAAGAAAGGGAAAGGTTAGCTGTGCCAGCAATTCATAACAATCATGAAGCTCAAGGGTTGTAAAGTTCGGCCTGGGCCAACTTGATTCTCAAGCTTGGTCCAGATACCCTGGTATTCGACCTTCGACAATTTTGAGTTTTGGGCCGCAGAAACCTGTTTGGTGGAGACTCCATTCAATGCGTCCACACACATACACCACATCATCCTAGAGCCCATTCAGCTGTTTCCCACCTCATTTATCATTTGTATGGACAGTCCACAACCCTTGAAATAGATATCTTTAGAAAATTCAAGCCATTATCTGCCACGTATCGGCTACTTACAAAAGCGGCCCAGATGCTTATCCCACTGCCCCACTAGCTCAGGTCTTGGAGATCAGTATTTCAAGTCCGCAAAGTGAGGCCCAGAGTATCATCTGGTGATTGTGTCAACGGCTTACTGGAATGGACACAACGGTCGCTCCCGCGCTGATGTCTTGTGTCGCCACAACGCCTCGGTAGCAGCTGATGCCGTCCTGGGAACACGCGCCCAGGGAGGACACAGGACGGCCGTCGATGAAGTCACTCAGGGCCACCCCGCTGATGTCAGCGCCTCCCTCATGGAGCCAGTCCAGAAACTGCAGCAGGGGTGGAGACTGAGATTAGGAAGGGGGGTAGAAGGGCTTCCATGTTTATTCAGTGATTCTGAAGGCTTGTTGCGTATTGATGGGAGTCATCGTGGCCATGTCAGAGGTTGGCTCTCTGGAAGGCAAGAGGAGCACGAAGATTCTAAGCTCAAATCCAGTCTTCTGAATCTAAACGAATGAACGGAAGTTGGCCATTTGGTGCTTGCCCCAAAACGACCTGTCCTTTGAAGTTAAGAGGTACTTTTGAAGCAACCGGCAAAGTGATTCAGAACTGTACTGATCCCATCGTTGCAATGATATTGTGTTGTTTCTACATCCAGGATCTGTGCAGAAACACAATCTGCTAAGAGCATGCTGAGCTGGTCTATCTAGATCAGTGCAATGCTGTGAGCTGCATGCTGATCAAGGCAATAAGGGGCGATTTTCAGGATCTGAATGGGGAATGATGGCCTGATATGATGATTTCCCTGGGGTATGGATATTATGGAGTAAACGGGGAAATGTCCCCACATGCTCGATCAGTGACCACCTGACAGGACTTCATAAAGTATCCCCAAAAGTGATCAAGCTTCTTACTGATCAGCTCACCAAAGAAGCTTTTGCATCCGCCCCACTGGTCTCTGCCGCCTTCACAAGCGCCCCTCCCAGTAGTACACCCGACAATACCGTCAAAAGCTGCAGCCATACTAGGTTACTAGAACGTTTGTTTCCCATTCGGGATCCAGAGCTTCAACGCTTCTTGTCTGCCCACGCTCTTCACAGGGTATCAACCCTTTGCGAATCAGCATTGTGAAGTTCACCTGGCCCATTCGCTAGCTATGAACGTTGCACAAACTCCAACTTGCAAGGTTGAAGGAAGCCGACATTCTTCAATTTGCTGGCGAGAGGAAGGGCGCGACTGTTCCAAGCATGTGCCTGTGGAAAATACTTACTTTGCACGCTAGTGGGGAAGGGTCCGTGCAGGGAGAGTACCAATCCAGGCCCGCACAATCCAGGCCCGGAAAATCCAGGCCCGTCGATTCATCGGACGTTTTTGACCGGAGCCCTGTACCTAATCGAATTTTATTCGGATTCCCTGTGTCTGCTTGATCGACCCAATCTTCCGGCCCCGGGCCGGCACCCCGGCCCCGCAATAACGAACCGAGCTCGGCACAGTGCACATACGTACCTACCTACTTCCGATAACTCTCAAGAAAGATAATAGTAAGCCAAGATAATAGTAAGCTCCGACTAACACTAAAAACCCTAACCTTAAATGAAACACCCGCTCCGCACCCGTACCCACCCTAACCACCATACTAACCCTACCCGTCACAGTACGGTTACCTTACTATTATCTGGGCTTACTATTATTTTTCTTGAGTTTCATCTACTTCCGTACCGGGCGACTCCGAACGTCAACCAGGGTAGGGTTTGTTTGTAAGATTAGCGGTAACCTTATACTTGAATACGAGTAACTGTAGCTATGGATGTGTAACTGTGACTGTAACTTGAGTAAGTGTAAGTGTAAGTGTAAGTGTAACTGTAACAGTAACTGTAACTGTACCTGTAACTGTGACTGTTACTGTTCCTAACCATGGTTGTACGTTGGGAGTTGCAGCTATGGCGATTGACTGCATTTAACTGTGACTGTGACAGTAACCGACGGTTAAATCGGAAATGTAAGTGTGACTGTATTTGTAACTCTTATTGTTACGGTAGCTGTTTCACTATCCCCCCTTAACTGTTAGCCTATAATTGGTGTCCGTCTGATTCAGCGGCGCTGTACCCGGTACATATACGGTGGTCCAGGTTTTAGGACAGACCCCCGGGGGTTGCTCGCCTGTAGATGGGCTAGGCCGGGCACCGGCGCCGCGCGCGGGCGGAGTCGAAGCGGAAAGTTTAGAAAGGGTGTCAGAGTCTCGGACAGTACGAAGTATCAACGGCCTGGATTAGCCTAAAATTTCGGGCCTGGATTATCTAGGCCTGGATTGGTACTCTCCCGTCGGTGCAGATTGCGTCGCGGCGGCTAGCTTGCATATGCTTTCCGAGAAACTAGAGCAGTGCGTATCGATAACGATTGTCGCACAAGGTGGTAACGATAGGCTTGATGTAACTAGACTGCTGAATATCTGTGATCCTTCGTCTGTGATCATGATTGCGCTGGCAATGGTGGACGGCCACCGTCGCTTGAGCTGAACATATGACGGCTGAAGTCTTTCCAATGGCGCCCTCCCTTGCTGTGCAACTTGAGTCAGCAGTGGTGCTTCTGACTGCCGCCTTCAGTGGCGTCAAATGCCAATAACGCACCGCTGCAAGCATGATGCAGGCGGCCCGCTGCTCCGCTCTCCGTCAGATTGGGGGAGGGGCGGTGTGGCCGCCGATCTGGGAGAGTTTGCTCGGTGCTAGGCAGGTGCGCTTCGTGCAGAGCTCTCCGGGGGGGCCCGGGGTCTTTGATGGGAGAGAGCGCGTGACGGATCTGGTTGGGGCAGGGGAAGAGGCGATTGGTGACAGAAGGGGCTTTGCGTCCGCCGCTGCGGATGACGGCGGAGATGGGAAGTTGCAAAAAGGTAAGAGCGCTACAGCGGTTGTAAGAAGATGGTACTGATCCTGCTGAATTTCAGCTATTTGCGTCCGTAAGATGGTGGGCTTCGTCAAGTCTCAACATGCATCTCTACCCGCTAGGCATTAAATTTTTCGCAATGTGGTTTGATTGGTGACGCTGTCATGCTGCTCAATGTCTGGATCATAGGTGGTGTATAGGCAAGCATCGTCGGTTGGTTTATTAAGCAGAGTCCTGTGGATTTTAAAGAGCCCTGAATTACACCAGCGCCTCCGTCCAATCTCACCTTTGATGACACTGCCGCGCTTAGGTCCGACGTATTTGACAGGGCCAGGGGACCTCGTTTCGCCTCTTTCAATCCGTTCTTATGGTGCTTCGCACTTGCTGGTGGCGGCAGATGGTATTCTTGTGCATCTCCGTTTTGCGTTACATCTGTTTTTTCCACTAGGTCAAGGCTGGTGGAAAGAACATTGGGAATTCAAGGGCATTCACTTGATGGCTTGGTGGTGGCTTTTTTTTCGGTACAGTGGCTGTTCAGAGTGAGAGCATGGTAACTTCCAAGACGTCAATGAGCAGAAAATGGGTTAAAGGAGACAGAGAGAAGCAAGGTTCCTGGAGTCCCTTAAACAATCACGTGTTCCAGAACATGTTTGAGCTTCAGAAGATTGTATATTGGGGTTGAATGAGGTTTAATCAGGAGGCATAATGCCGCACCACTCCTGTCATTTCGAAATCTCCTTCAAATTTCACGGTGTGAAGAGGCTCAGTGCGTTTTCAGAAACCAGGAACCAGACATCAGTACATGACCGCCTTCATAGTAGGCACTTTGCTGGACCTTAAAATTGATGAATATCCTGTGATTTCAGGCTACTGGCGGAACTTGGTCAAGGAGCGGTTGGACGAGGAGCTTGAGTCTGGTACAGAGTCGAAGGCGGCCACTGAAGCCTCGGAAAAGGCAGGGACCAGCACCTCTGCAGGTAAGGGCCCAGGCCGTCTCCCGTCTATCTGCTCAGAAATTCCTTGAGCAGGCTTGAGAAGGAGAAGGATCGAGAAGGTGAAAAGTGGCCAGAACTCTGTGATGCCAATCAGGGATTCCCACGTCGCTGGTCAAGCACGGATTAGCAGGGGTGCCCCTTTTGCGCCCCGCTACTTATCACCTACTGATTAAGCAGCTGTCTTTGTGCTGGTCGAGTTAAAGCTTGTAGTTGCAGCTCATGCAAACTCGGAAAAATCAGGACTGCTTTGGGTGGGACTGTCGCTTTGCACAATAGGCACATATTTTTAGAAACTCAAATGTTGCATTCTACTTTCTCTAGATGCTGCTCTTGAGGACACTGCTCCTCCTGCGGACGCGTCGTCTTCTTCCACCACCTCTACGAAAGATGGGGCGCCTGCGCTTCCTAAGCCGGCGCAAGGCATCTTTGGCGACCCCCGACGGCCTCGTCCCCGAACCCCCTCCCGGGCGCCGACAGGCACGGGGTCTACAGCATGGCTGGAAAGGTTGATAGAGCGGCAGCGGCAACTTGTGGCTCAGAGGCAACAAGCAGAGCAGGCGATGCGGGACGGCGCTGCAGAGCTGGAGGCGGCAGAAGCGGGGCTTGCGGAAAGGAATGCTGCAGAAACGAGAGTGGCGGAAACGGAAGTCGCCGAGACGAAACTCGCGGAGGTTGGAATTGCTGGGGCGAATGGGAAGAGCTCGGAAGTTACGCTTGGGAAAGAGAGCACAGTCGGTCACGGCGACCAACGAGGGGCAACGTCAGTTGCAGAGTCGCCTGGGCTGGAGGCGGGGGAAAACGAGCAGCTTCAGTTAGCCAAGGGTTTTGCGGAAGTCGAGGGGTTAGGCGCAGAGAATGTCAGGGGGTTGGATCCGGAGGTCGGGCTACCCCCCCTGGAAAAGCCACCCATGGTTGAGAGCACGTCAAAGGTTACTCCAAGAGTTAGTCAGAAGGTAGACGGAAGCCGAATATCGGGTGGGGTGCCCAGAAGCGGAGACGACCGCCTTTCTGCAGCAGCAAAGATCCTGGGGACTATCAGACTTGAAGAAAAGGCTTCTCAGGATGAAGGAGTTTTTCCATCGAAGGCCGCAGAAACGACGCTGCCTGTGAGACCAGTTGAAAAAAGTAGAGCTGGGGAGAAGGCCTCCACGTCGGAACGAGCTCTGGCGGCGGCGGAGGTTTTCAAAACGATGCAGCAAGGAGGGCGGGAAGGGGCAGCTGCCGAGGGAGGAACAGCAGAACCGGCAGGCGTTCCCGCAAGTGACGAGTTGCCGGGAAGACCAGTGTCTGTTGGGGACACGGAAGCTGCTCCAGGGCTTTCAATACCCTCGAGTCGGGCGGGTAGAAGCATTCCAGTCAAAGCATCGGAAGCTGTTGCGCTGTCAGGCAGAGCCACAGAGCCTCTTCCGAAGACCGTTTCTCCCGAAGCTCTTGCGGAAGCCGATGGGGACGAACTAGAGTCGGAAGAACCTGAGGAGCTGTCGAGCGAGCAGGAAATCATCATGGAGTCGGCGGCGCTTGCGCACGTGCCAGCGGCGGTTCGGGTTCCGTTAGCGGTTGCGGCAGATTTGCAGAAGATCCCGGTGGGGTTGGGGGATGACGTCGCATTGCCACGACAAGACGAACTAGACATGGCGTACGTTTATCCCGAGGTGCTGACGGCGGCAGAGGAACTAGAGTGGGCTGCGGAAGCACTGGAGGAGGTGAGGAGACCATTCGTCGCTCGATGTCTGGCTTTGAAGGATCAGAGCGGAAGCCTGGTCGGTGCCATCATTGAAAAATGATAAGGTGGTCAAACGTGAATTTCGTAATCCTGCCAATGGTCTCCTAGAATTGCAAAAACTTCAAGTTGTCTCTTTCAAGACGCTTATGTCTACGAACACTCCTTCTTCTGCCGTTGCAAGACTTTCGTTTGCATTTTATGGACACTGGGTGCCTGCCGCACTTGCCACGTACTGGCCGCTGCGTTCCTTTGCTGCGATAGCGTAATCGCGTCCGATTTTCCAACATACGTGCTCACGCCCCGCAGCTGATGTATGCCGAGATTGCGCCACCGCGGTCGCCAGCGCCCGTCTCCTGAGAAGCGTTAGTTATATTCATCGATTGACATCGACAAATGACATTGACGTTGCGTCCTTTGCAGTTGATGTACGCAGAGACTGCGCCGCCGCTGCCGCCAGCGCCCCAGCCCGTGGAAGAGGAATGGGAGGAGGAAGAAGAAGAGGACTGGGCCACTCTGTCCCCGTACGAGAGGGAGAGGCGGCGGCGGGCGGTGGCACCGCAAGCAGCACCGGTGAGGACACGCCCCATTTGTTTGGCACGAACACACTTCATCTTCTTCCCTGCCCACATTGAAGTGTAGCTGTCGCCAGATTCACCTTGAAAGTTGTTTCTTCTGGCCCGGCAATTTTCATGTTGCCGAATTTCTTCATTGATTCGACGCGCGCCTCTTCCCTGCCTTGCCCGTCAAATGTAAATACGCTCAAAGACTGCAATTAGCCCCTCAGCCGATTGAGTCGATGCGAGATTAATGACCTCTTGAATGTACCTTCATCTGCAGGAACGGGAACCGGAAGATCGAGCAGACAGGGAGTACCCAAAGAGAAATTTCGAGTTTGTTGCAGAACGCGCCCATCCACTGGTGAGCCCGTAGAGCAATTCTGTAAGCTCTGCATGACCTCATACAGAGAGAGATGTCTCCTTCAGCACCGTTCGTCGTTGCCGCACGGATTGAAAGAGTTAAGGCAAACATTCTGACGGGGTCTTCGGACGAAGAACATGGTTCTTGACTGTTCAGCAGCTTCGCAATCACGTCAGGCTCCGTCCCCCATATGAGGCTTTCGTCCGTCTGTGTCAGCACAGTCCCTGCTCTGCGCAGTTCTTTAGAGCATTGGGTCACCTCTCTTGGCGAGCTTTCGAACTCAATCTCCTGCATCCACAGTCCGGGCACTACTCATCTTGCGCTTGAGGTTGGCAGCGTCACTGTTTGAATCGCTAGGCATTGCTCTGGGTTACTTGCAGGACTCGGAGGTGTCAGGTGTCGAGATGTTGAAGAAAACTGCTTTGGGATGGTCAAATTGGCCGTTGCTTTCGTTTGATTTACTTGCAGGCGTTTGACTAGCACGTCTTGGTTCTGCGTGTGTGCAGAATATTGGGTTCCTGGACAACTTCATCGACGAACGGGGCAACATTATTCCGCGGAAGAAAGTGAGCCGCTACGTGACTTTCCTCTTTTCTTCCTTCCTCTGCATCGAATTGTGCCGATGGTTTCCAACGAGGCGCGTCGAGGATTCCTCGTTGCACGCGGGCCGAAAACTTCACAGTCGGTTCCCCGCTGTTGGCTGGCTCTTAAGAAGAAAGCCGAGTGTGTCAAAGTCATCTAGCGCACCTAAACACTTGTTGCATCTCCCACGTTTTGATTCGCCTTTTGCATTGCATCTCGAGGACAGGTGGCAAAGGGGTGACGTATTTGACGAAGTGACAGGTATCCCACTTCAAGAAGTTCTTTGATTGATCAATGCAGCAGCTGGGAAAGCAAGCGACACATAGTGGCCTGGCGTTGGTTGCAGGCCAATGTATTCACCGTCGTTAGGGTGGCTTGGTCAAAAGTATGTGCTCAGGCGCTATGCTTTTCTGGGAATCAGAAACCTCATCTCATTCATGAGACAACAATGATCCGTAGAGAAGCGAGAATCCACGCTGGAAGCCGGTTGATAACCCCGTTTGGTTGAACGCCTTAACTCTTCTCTTTGTTCGACTGTTTCCGATCCTGGCCGGCCGTTTTGTTGCCGCAGACGGGACTCAGGAAAAAGGACCAGACCAAGGTGGAGCGGGCTATCAAGACTGCGCGGCAGATGGGGCTGCTGCCTGTCTTGTCCGACTTGGATTGGGAGCATCCCACCATGATGCGCTTATATCCTCCGGCTCCCGAAGACGAGCAAGAAGAGGAAGATACGGAAGAAGCGGCGACCCCGGAAGAAGAAGAGGAGATCGAAGAGCTCGTGGCAGAAAAGGGGGGGGATGAGTTTGTGGAGGAGTTTGAGGAGGACGACGAATTCGGCGACTTCTTTGAGTGGATGGAGGCGAAGGAGGTCGCCGAGCTTCCGGACCCGGAGAGCGAAGAGTTCAAGGGGCTGGGACGCGTACTTGACGCCGATGAGATCGGAGATCAAGAGTATGAGATCCGGGACGTGGAGGGGGTGACGTGGCCGTCGAAGGACGATGATACGCCGACGGAAGAAGGGGAGGGAGGGGAGTCGATACAAAGCTCGCAATAGCTTTGAGCTGGAGAGGAATCATCATTAGGGTTGGACCCTAGGTCGGATTACGTATCGAGGGGACAGGACACGACTGCGTCCGTTGACATGTCATTGGCTCGAAGGAAATTGACGGACCCGGCACCAGCTTTTTTGCGCCGACTGCGATTCATGTATGTCTTCCTCCTTTTGGTAAATCAGTGCGAGTAAGGAAATGCACCTGACATATAACAGCCCGCAAGGAGGAAACTCTCCCTTGCTGCAGTGTCACTCGTTCAGTGACAGCGCTGGCATATTGTAAAACTGATAAGAACTGATTGCTATCACGTACACGATCTAGTCTCTGCCTGCTGGTGCAGACGACCTCCCGTACGATAAGTCGATTAAGTGGCTGTGACGAAGCATTCGTATAGCGCGTCGGAGTGCACCGCCTCCCAACAACGATGCGTGTGCACCATATCTCAACGTACATATGTATCTGGCACACCGATGGCAGTTTCAAAGCGGCTTCTTGTTTGCCCGCCGACGTACCTACTCAAGCGGCTTCAGTACCACAATCATTCGCGCGCTTGACGACGCCTCATGCGTACAGAAATATTAAGATCTTTGCACATATGTCCTTAAGTGCGCGTCCACGTCCACGTACGTACAACCAAATTAGGCGCGGCCTGAGCTGTCATCGCGATTTGCAGGGCAGTCACGTCACGTACAGCGATCCGAGCATACCGTCGACGACTGTAAACCAATCAGCATGTGAGCACAAGGTACCTAGTTTAAAGCTGGCGGGCACCATCATGGTGGCCCGCCAGCATTCGGAGTTAAAGAAAGCATGATATGCTGGCACTCGTGTGTCAATAATTAATAATAATAGTGTTAATAATATTATAATGTCTACGTTGATGTCCAAGTTCACTTTCAAAATTGGAAGGCTTGAACGGCTGATGTCTGCTTTGCCGGCTGCTGTTCAGATTAGTCGAGCGACCCGGTGATAGCAGGCCGACCTATAGCTGATGTAGGTAAATGCAACTTCAAAAGGCAGCTAAATACCTAGTCAAGGCGGCAAACATTCAAATCTTCTAGCTTTAATAAGCTGAAGAGCCTCGCACCTATCGCCGCCACTCCTCAGGAAAACGCCTACTGCATATGCTAGCCTGTACGTACCAACCCAATGTGCTGCTCCACCCTTCTATATTGATGTTGCCCCGCAGCTCTTGGATTCAAGAGCAGCAGAGACCTTTCAACATTGTACAGTGTCCTTTTCATCTTCCCAGATTCTGTTGTCCTTCCTCTTCAGTACTGTGCTGTGCACATCTGGAAAGTACATCAAGCCTTTGCGCTTCTTTATAAGCTCCTCACAAATCTCCACTTCTTCTCGAAACCCCTCCTTCGCTTTTTCTTCGCTTAGACATTTCGGCACCCATGGATAGTTTTCAGTCGTCTTAGCCCACCAGAGCTCGAATGCCTTCTCCATGCAAGTCCTCCTTCGCTAACGCCAGAACCTTTCTTTTCCATGTCACGCGCGCCCTGCCAGTCCGCTGCAGAATTGTACTCCTCCTTAGGTTGCGCTCTTCCATGCTGGCCCAAATCAATGATATCTCTCAGTGTCCCATCTGTGACGCGGTTGCGGGGATCATTAGCACATCATTAGACTTTCACCGGCTAGACGAGCAGCCTGAGGAGTTGAGCTAGCCGAGCTGGAGGCTGGAGCAGCGCGCAGCATTCTTCTTTAGGAACAGCCGGTCATGTGTCTGATTACTGTCAATGGACTTCATCATGCCAGCAAGATGAAGGCTATGAATTTCATAGCTGCACGCGGCCGCCCTAGCCCTGCAGTGAGCTAGCCGGACGGCGGCCGGCATGCGCAACAGTGGGGTTTTGCCGAATCGTCGAATCCGAGTCCAGTCAATATCGACCGCGCACATCTCCCCATGCCAATCGCACGGTCATTCGCCAACAGACGTGGATTTTCCTCGGGAGAATGGTGAGAATTGGGCGAGTTGTCTAGAATTCACCACTGCAAGAAGTTAGAAGTCGTACTGTAGTATTGGATTCGAATTGGTGTCAATCATCCCGATGACACAGCTTTTGGAAGAGTGCACGGTACACAAAATATGGCGCGAACTGTTTCGCCACATCATCATGATGATCCACTGCAGGCTTCCAAGATGAGGCTTGAGCTAGGCAGCGAGGCCGACGTCTCTAGCTTCCCGTTCCGCTAGCCTTGAGTTTGTTTTCCATTCTGCTAGGACGGGGGCCCAGTTGTAAGGGCGCCCGTTCCTGAGGGCTCCTGATTTCAGACCCTGACGATAGAAGCACCAGAGGTCGATCTCTTTGGTCACAATGGGGCGGCCTGCAAGGAAAGCTGCAAAGAAGGGGAGGGCAGCAGGTGAGGGGTATGAAAGTCTTTCATTGCAAAGGATGCGCACATCAAATGGTAATGGAACTTCAGTTGTCGGAAGGCATCACCACCTTTTCCCAGGAGCTTCGATGCCTCGGTCACAATGGTTCATGTACGTACTAACGTAGCTTAATCGAAGATGCTCACAATAGACTGGCGCCAATCAATGTGCTGCCTGTGGCGGTTGTTTCTTACTTCATCAATTGCTTCATAAGCACAAATTTTCTCTTGCAGTGACGGGTCAGGTGGTGCCAGTAAGCGACAGTGATGCAGAGCCAATGGAGGTTGAAAAGGAGAGCGCATCAGGTGCAGATCAAAGCGCCTTGGTTTGATATGTCATGTGATTAGATGCTTATGAGTTTTGAAGTAGGTCTGCTTACTCTGATCTAGGGCCTGTTGCAATGCACCAGGCGTTCATCTCAAGCATGCACCTTCCTGGTCAATATGGAACGTGGTCATCATCAATTGACGAAGCTGTGCTCTACATGAAACCTGAGCATGGGGTCTGTAAATCGGTTGGTAGACTTGACAAATGGGTTTTGTGTTCTATGTTCTAGTTATCTTGCCATTACTGCTTGGTGGTTGTGGGGTTCACTCCTTTTGTTGGCTTAAAGGGCATAAGATGGCAGAATGTATGGCGTTTGACCATTGTCATCAGCAGAAGTCCTTTGGGCCATCTTACACTGAGAAGAGTCCAGATCATGAAGGTGGTCTTACTTTGCTTCCGTTGTCGCCGGTTTTTGAAACAAAGAGAACCCCTGGAGTTGAGAGCAACAAGACCTTCTCCGCAAAAGATTTCATTCTTAGCTCGCACGTATTGTGTGTTGTTATGAGGTTAGTCTTTCTTTCTTACCTTACATCTGGGGTTTTTCCAGATTCCTCCAGTGAGGACGAGGTGGTGGTTGCTAGCGCCAAACAGAAAGCAGCACCACGGAAACGGCCCACTGCAAGGAGAGCGGCTGCTGCAAACAAGAAACAGAAAGTGGTCGTTCAGAAAGATTCTGGCGGCTCTGAATCAGATGGCTCTGAGTACCGGGCCTCTGAAGACGAGGATGGAGGTTCTGAGAGTGAGGCGGTTGAGGAGTCTGATGAGGAAGGCTCGCCAGATGAGGAGCCCATTGCTCCTGCCAAGAAGGGCCGGAAGAAGAGCGCAAGCAAGAAGGGGGGAGGGAAGAAAGCTGCCAGGTGAAGATTTTTTGCTTTAAGCTTCCCAGTGGGTTGTCAGAGGTAGTAAATTTGAGCTGGCTTCTGGTTCCCACCTTGATACATCTGAATGCTGTGTCAGTATTCTGTACTAAGAATCATTACATTGCTGCGAAGTTTTGCCTGTATGAGTTCAGCGAGTCCCTGCTGGCGGAGTGACACCATTCTTCCTCTGTCTTTGTATCTTACAACGGTTTGCAATCATCTGTTTCAGAAAACCGGCCGCCAAGGGCAAGAAGAAGGCTGCTCCACTCAACCCCCACAACCTGGACGAAGATGGGGACTACAACGTGTGGGGCGGCAGCGACGAAGAAGGTGTTGATCCAGACCAAATGACGCGGCGATCAGGGCCGCAGCCAAAGCTGTGAGTTCTACCACCGCATTGGGTGGAACCCTAGGATGGTCATCTGAATAGATCTCAAGTCCTGGATAAATGAGGGGTTTCCGGGGTCTACCGCCTTATGAACTGCGCTGTGGGGTACTGATTCATATTCTCAGGCTGTTCACATGTGTCCAGAGTAGGCTGTGAGGTTGAATCTCAGGGATAAAGTACACGTTTTCAAGATACATGTGGGATCCTTTGTGGGGGTGCTGACTTGGGTTTGGCATGGCTTCTGACCCTCAACGTATGCTTCTTGCAGAGAACCCCCGTCTGAGATGCTCATGCCTCTGCTGCCTTTCCAGAAGGTAAGTCCTTCATCGTTGTCAGTCTAAACTTGGGCTGTCAAGTTCTCACAGCGCAAGACAGAGGTTGGTTGGGGTCCACCTTGGGTCTCAGTTGAGTGTTTTCTCTAGCATGAAAGCCAGCCATATCTGCAGTGCCCCTTAGGCGCCAAGCAAATCAATGGGGTGTGCGTGACAAGGGCGAAAATTTGAGCTGATGTATGCTGTGTCGAATGCAGGAGTGGTTAGCGTGGGCAATTGATCAAGAGCGGGGTAGTGTGAAGGGGGGTATCCTGGCAGATGAGATGGGCATGGGCAAAACGATTCAGGTGAGGGGTTGTCACAGCCAACGCTGTCATGCATTCTTTTCAAATCAGTGCCCTTGTCACTTGAGCGATGTGAGAAGCACTTCTAGAAAATCGATCCAGTTGATTGGATAAAAGAGCATTTCTTCTTTTTGTTGCTTTCGGTCGCCTCCTTCATCTCCCTCTAGGAGCTAAATGAAGCGGTAGTTTACCCACTATCTGCATCAAGCCTGCAATCAAGCGGTGAAACGAGTGCTTCACTGCCTGCAGGCCATCTCTCTCGTGGTGACCGCTCGCCACCTCCACAAGGACTCGCAGCCACCCCCTCTGAGTGCTGCCGCAGTCAGCAAGGCGGGTCAGGCCACCAAGCAAGCGTGTTCGGCGGCCGCCCACCAGCACGCGTCCACATCAGCAGGCCCGTCCACCAGGTAAGGGCAGGATTCTGCTTGTATGCTTCAAAAACTGGATGAGTTGTGTATCGCTCCAGCTGACGAGCTTGGTGCGCTAAGGGTTTACATGTCACAAATCAAAGAAAGCTGGAGGAAATGGCTGTCAAATGCACAGCTGAAAGCAGGGGGCACTTGTACCCTTGGCGCAGTGGCGTCATTGTCAACAGGTTTTATTTATCTTCCTGCAAGGTCGTCTGATGTATCAGTTGCAGTTAAGAACCTGTGGACCTGTGATTTTCATATGCTTCCACTTCCGTCTGTCCATAGTGTTGTGATGCAGGGAGTGGAGGAATGCACATCATCGTCCTGGTCAGGCCTCTTTCAACCAGGTACCAAAGCCCATCCAAACCCATCCGTGCAGCGCCCCGCCCCTCCCCAAGGTGAAGGCCACGCTGGTAGTGTGCCCCCTTGTCGCCGTCATCCAGTGGCGCAGCGAGATTGCACGCTTCACTGCCCCTGGGAGTTTAAAGGTGCTCGTCTACCACGGCCCCAAGAGGAACATCGATTTCGAGGTCCTCTCCCAGTACGACATTGTGAGTACCCGCTTTCCCCTTCTAGTGTCAAGCAAAGATTACCTGGGTGTCGCTGGTGACGATCTTACTGTTGTGCTGTGTATTGACTTGCCAGTGCTTTTCTGGAAATGGTCGTGTTGGAGCAGCTTAGGCGCTGGGAACGCTTGCGGCAGAAGATGTCAACAGAGTCTCCATGAACTCATTTACCGAGCTTAGCGTTTGGCTGGATCGTTGAAGAGGACATGGTTTCTGTGACACGCGTGGAAGCATCCCCTTCTTGCCTTCCAAATTAGACTGCTGCGCTGACCTCCTTCTTCTCTTTTCCTTTTCTTAGGTTGCCTTCCCCGCAAATGCATATCAGGTGCTTCAATCCTGTTGAATCATTTGCCTCGCAGGTGCTGACGACGTACAGCATCGTGGAGAGTGAGCACCGCAAGAACGTGATGCCAGACAAGGAAGAGTGCAAGTGGTGCGGCCGCAAGTTTTACCCGGACCGCCTCAAGGTCCACCTGCGCTTCTTCTGCGGGCCCACCGCGCGCAAGAGCGACAAGCTCGCGCTGCAGCAGAAGAAGCTGCCCCGCAACTACAAGGTACGCGCTTTTGTGGTGTCCGGTTCAGGTTTCAGGTTGGTTGGTAATAATAAGAGTTGGGTATGGTTTTCGAAGCGTTGTGGTAGGTTATGTCTTGTAGCCTTGGGCTCACTTCTGAGCTGGAGTTTTGCAGTCGCAGACATTGCTCCCGCTCTTTCAGAAGCGATCCTTCGGCTTTTCATGGGTTTAGTTTGAGTTGACACTTTGTTGAAGACGTTGCAGAAAGAGTCCTATGTTTTGACCGTTGTCGGATCTAACTATCTGCGTCAGCCTTTCCATGGTAGTCGCAGCTGAATGCATCCGCAGAGTGAGAGAGGTGTCTAAAAGCCCTTGGGTTGCTTGTCCACATCCAAGTGTTACGTACCATCACAACATTCGGCAGCTCCCATGGCAGCCCGACCGTTTTCTCACGGAATTGAGGTGTCCCTCATTGCAATGATTTTTTTCATCTCCGTTTGGGTCAAATCTGGTACACGAACAAAAAATGCAAGTCTCGTTAATTCAACAAGACGGGGTCCCCCTTCTGCAGAAGTCCGCCGCAGCTACCAAAGGCAAGTCCCCCCTTGAGGAGCCCTTTGAGTTCGAGGACGACCCTAAGGCGAAGCTCAAGGGCAAAGCTGCCGCTTCCAAACCCTCCAAAGCCTCCGGAAAGGGCAAGAAGGCCGCCTCAGACCCCTCCCCCGAGGACGAAGAACTTTCCACCAGCGGAAAGGGGATGCCGTTTGGTCGCGGCGGCAGGCGGGGCGTGCGGTTCGGGCGAGTGACGTCGACAAATTTGGCGACGGCGGTGGAGGCGGCGATCGATGCGGTGGACGAGGGGCCGGCGGCGAGCACGGAGAAGTCGGGCTTCTCGGCGCTGCACTCGGTGCAGTGGGCGCGGATCGTGCTCGACGAGGTGGGAAGTCTCTCGCCGTTTCTGATGGTTCTTGTCTTTTTGAGTTCCAACCTCTGATTGAGTCATTCGCAAGCTATCTTTGGTTTGCGAAACCTCTACTGTCTTCAGTTGTCGTTCTCGTATCTTGGCACTGCACCAGTTACGGTCAGGCGAGGCAGGGATGGTCGCTGGTTTTGATTCACTCTTCTGTTTGCCTTCTTTATCTTCTTTATTATTGGATGCAACAGAGTGACATTAAGTCCACTAATCCGTTTTAATGCTTTCTTTCTCGTTGTTCCTGTCTTTGGATGCAGCAGAGTGACACCAACCCACTACATCTTTCCATGAGAAGCTTCTTCGTGATCTTGTATACCTGGTCGTTGAGTCCGCCTTTCTTTGCTCGCAGGCACACAGCATCAAGGACCGTCGGTGCAGCACGGCCAAGGCGGTCTTTGCTATCCAGTCCGAGTTCAAGTGGGCGCTCAGCGGAACGCCCCTCCAGAACCGCGTTGGGGAGCTGTACTCGCTCGTGCGTTTCTTGCGCATGGATCCGTATGCGTACTACTTCTGCAAGAAGTGCGACTGCAAGTCGCTCGACTACCGCTTCGGCAAGGACTGGCGCAAGTGCGACGACTGCGGGCACTCGCCGCTGCACCACTTCTGCTGGTGGAACAAGGTGAGAAGTTTTTCTGTGGTGTTGGCCTTTCGGGTTTGTCGTGTGGCCTGGGGATTGAGGTCTTGAGGTGTTTCAGATGTCAGGAATTCAAGGGTCGCAGTTCTACTGAGTGAGGCATTTCTGCCAGGATGTCTTTGGGACCATTTTTGCGTGAATTACACATCACGGTTCGAATCTGATATGTTGATCGTGGATGTAGGAGCATGCCTGTGGCTCTTAAATCTGAGTGGGAGTTTTGGTCTCTGCTTGTTTCCATGCACATTTTTTACTAGCCTGATTGCGGGCCGTTTGATAAGGTCCGTCCCTTTGTATGTTCTCCGTAGCTGTACAAGTAGTAAGAGATGATGCGGGGTTTCTGTTTGGGCTCGTTCCTTGCATGAGGATTCGTCATTTATCTGTTGTGCAAGCGAATGCCAACTTTTCAGCCACGTTGCCTGCGACATCCAGTCCGGCTGGCTGTCCGGGCTTGTGTGCTTTCGTTTCTGCTTCACCAAGCTGTTGCTTGCTGAGTTTTTTGCTCAGACTTATATGTGCTTGGTTGCTCGATTAGTGCAGTGGAAGCGCAGTGCGTATGATGAAACACAAAGCAAATAAGAACAGCCAATCGATGCGACCCTTGCGGTTGCAACTGAGATTAGACATACACCCATTCTTTGATGCACACGCCGCCCCACTCCATCGAACCGCCTCGTCTTTGTCAGCCACCTTCTGCTCTTTATTCTTAATCTTGAATTCTGTTGTTATTTTCTCTTGTTTAAGAGTGTCTTTATCAGCAGGCAGTGGAAGCGCAGTGCGTATGATGAAACACACAGAAAATAAGAACAGCCAATCGATGCGATCCTTGCGATTGCAACTGAGATTAGCCATACACCCATGTTTGATGCACACGCCGCCCCATTCCACCAAACGCCTCATCTTTGTTAGATTGTCGCTTCCTTTGCCTTCTCAGTTGCGATCTGATCATGTTATATTTGAAACTTGAGAATGTGGTCATCAGCAGGCTCCGGCACAATTGATTACAAAAACAACATAAGAACAGCCAATCGACGGAGCCTTTCGAGGTTCCTATGAAATGAGCTTAACACACCCAAAGTCTGATGTGCCGACTGCCCTGCTGATCCGACTTTGGTGGTCATGTTAGATTCTGCCTCGCTTGTCTAAAACGACTTTTCTCTTAGCCCGCTCTTGGCCATCTTGGTATTGACGATCATGTGTCTGAAGCAAGCCCAGGCTTCAATGTGCTTCAATGGTTCCGGATGGCCAAAAAATGGACTTGTCTCCTACGGGCTGCTTGTCTTATTGTCAACCGTATCTGTGGTTCCAATCTTTGGAGCCTTTCCGTCTTCTAGGAGCTGGTCGTCCTTTCACTCTTTGGTTTCCCCCATAGTCTTTCCCTTGTTGCACTGTTCCGTTTGGTTTGAAATCCTATGACGTCTTCTTGCTGTTAGACGTATCCATTAGTGCTTGCTTTGACCTGCTCCGTGCCCTCTGGACCGCGTCTAAGTGGATTGCCTGTGCTTGAGTTGTCGTGAATCGTGGTTAATGTCGCTTGTAGGTCTCTGCGTTTGCGCTCAAAGTAGTCTTTTCGGGCCCGTTCTTCGGATCCGCTTGAACCAGCACCTTGCACCCCTCATCCCTTCGCTGTTCGACATTTGATTCACTCTAGCACCTCTGTCAGAAGCAAACGCTCTTTGTCGTCAGTCCGGTCTGTCTCTGCACGCATTTTGTCGAGCACTTTAACGCCGTCCTTTTTGTTGTTGGAGTCTGCATCGTGCTGCTCGTACTGGCGTACCTTTTGTTATAAGCCGTTTCGACGACTTCTCTGTCTCTAAGCTGTCCTCGTGCAGTACGACCAGTCAAGCTCTGCGGAATGAACGGCCTTCTTTCTTGCGTTTTTGCCGACATTGCGCCTCTGGACGTCAGTTCTTCTGTGCCTTGCCGGTTGTTTGTGCCAGTTGCTCCATGCAGATAAGGTCCTGCAGTGTCGTATCCATGCCACTGTTCTTCTCTTGACGTCGCTCCGTTCCTGCCTACATGCAGAACGGCCGGCCCCACCGAGTTGTTGTTGCAATGACGAACTCAACGCTACCTTTTGATCTGCTTAGTCAACGTGTCTCCCTTGCAAAGTCAGGGCTCGTTCAATCTGCTCTGTGTCGCTCAATCTCTTCCATGTTCCATGAAGCACATCAATCTCTCAATCTGCTCAGTCACTCCTCTTTTCCCTGCCTGCAGTACGTGGCCAACCCCATCAAGAAATTTGGCTACGTTGGCGAGGGCCGCAAGGCGATGCTGCGCCTGAAGGCCAAGGTCCTCGACTCGGCCCTCCTGCGCCGGACCAAGGTTGAGCGCGCCGCAGACCTCGCGCTGCCTCCGCGCTGCGTAAGCATCCATCTTTATGCTGATCGGCCTTGTTAGGTTGGAGGCAGACCTTCTGTATGCTTTTTGTACACTCTATAGAATGCGATCTTGAGACACCTCGGGCTGTCTCCATGCTGCGCGAGAGTCCGTCTCTTTGCGCTCCCGCCTGCCTCACGATGAGTGGAGGCAAAGCTGCGGTGTGGTTTGGGTGTGAGATTTTGGGAAGTTCAGTGCTGATGCGCGCTGTAAGTCAAGAAGTTGCTCCAAGTCGCTTTCGGAGAAGCTCGGTTGACGTCGTTTCGGGAGCATCTGTGTGATGGCGTTGCCCACTTGGCAGTGCTTAACATGGCCGGCCAGTCAAAGCCGACCAGGATATTGGCGCAAATGGCCCGAGGGTTCTCCCTGTACTTCGGCTTTGGACTCAGCTCAAGACACCGCCTAAAACGCAGTGTGGGTCAGGTATCTGGTCAGCTGATGATTCGAAAGGATGTCAAGGACAAACTCAGGAACTAACTCTCGCTCGCCTCTTCTTCAGACGCTGCTGCGCAAGGACGCGTTCGACCCGCGCGAGGCCGACTTCTACGAGGCGCTCTACACGCAGAGCCAGTCGCAGTTCGCCACGTACGTCGACTCGGGCACCGTGCTCAACAACTACGCGCACATCTTCGACCTCCTGATCCGCCTGCGCCAGGTGAGGGCCAGCTTTCTTGATCTCCTTGGTTCTTGTCTCGGCAGTCTCAGTCCCGTCTTGTGGGCGGAACGCGGTTTTTTAGGAGTCTGGTTTTGAGCAGGCCCTTGAGCCAACGTAGTACCCAAAAATCTGACAAGAGGGTTTTTAAATCCAGCTATCTTTTTGGGCTAGCTTTATCCATGTCAGATTAGATTAGATTCATGGTTCGCATCATGGTTCCTTCCTATCCTGAGCCTCGCATCAGCCGAATCCAGGCAAGTTCACGCCGCCGGAATAACCCATTGACTGAACTCCTGCCCGTCCACACCGCAAGCTCAAATAGAGCAACTGCTTGCCTGAAGTATCACTCGTTCATGATGCAAAACAAAGCATCTCTATGCTTGAACGGTGCCTATCTACACTGCAGGCCGTGGACCACCCGTACCTGGTGGTCCATTCCGCGACGGCCCCGCCTGCCTCGGCCGGCCAGGAGAAGGAGGAGCCCAACGACGTGTGCGGGATCTGCCACGACCCCGCAGAGGACGCAGTGGTGAGGAGACCGCTTTTTCCAACGCCTAGTTACAAAGCTTAGAGGTGGCTCGGAGATTGTCTGCTTTGCATTAGTCGCTTGAAAAGACAAGGGTCGTGAAGAGCGACGCAATGTTGTGGCAGTGGGTACCATTTGGTTCAAACGGTACCAAACCCTCCGGTGACAGCTGGTAGGAGAGCCTCGGTTGGCAGATGATTCCGTTGCTCTTATAAGGGAGAACTCCAGAGACGCAGTGTGCACGAAATGAACCCAACTCGGGGTCCGTCTCGTTCTGCTGGAGACTGTTCCGACGCTCACTATCGTGGTTTCTCCCTCTACGTCGTTCGCCCCTTTTTTTCGCAATTACTTCTAGAGCATACAGTCATTGATTATCAACCGGTGGACGGATCATCGAATATGCGTGTAGGTGACGGCCTGCAAGCACAGCTTCTGCCGAGCGTGCCTGAGCGAGTTCGTGGCAGGCGCCGGTGGGGATGCGGAGACCGCTCGAGGGGCGGGCTGCCCGACCTGCCAACGACCCCTCACCGTCGACCTCACAGGTGAAGCTCTCCCCACCCCTAGTTCCACGCCATCGGGGTTTTCGGGCGGAGCAGCCGGCGTGTTGCGTCCAAAAGTTCGGCACAGTTCTTCGGTCTTGTTGCACGACGTTTTCAAGTGTGACCCTGCAGAGAAGGAAGTTTGGCGGGCGGCACATCTGGTGAAAATTGGAACGCTTTTTGAACGTTCAGTGGAGGCTGAGCGTTAGCAACTTCTCTTTTCGACACACCTTTTCTTTTGGCGCTTCGGTCTGAGGTGCTTTCGCACTTTGTCGAGAGCTCTTTGAGCGTTGCAAAGGGCGTCATTACTCAGTGCTGTCTGCTTTCTGCGCCGCAGGATCGGCGCAAGCAGCAGCGGTAGCGACCGCTGCGAGCATGAGCAAGAAGCGCACGAGCATCCTGAACCGGATCAACCTGGGGGGGTTCCAGACGAGCACCAAGATCGAGGCGCTCGTGAGTGCAGGGCCCCGCACTTCCATTTTCTTTTATTCTTTTCCGGAGTCGCTTTGACATCGCCTTTACAACATGGTCACATCCGAAGTCTTTGGTGAGGAACCTACGGGTTTTGGGTGGATGTGGAAAACGGCGAAGCCAATCTCAAGTGGTTTGTCAACGGGCGTACTTAATCGACGTTCGACAACTGGACTGGCGTCATTTTATAGCCGATGAACGTACCCGATCGTCACCAACCTCCCGAGCTGCCGTCAAACTTCTTGGGTTGATCACCCAAATTCAATATTGGTTCTCGCTCCATCAAGAGGATTCGGCTTCCGTACTTCTACAACCGAGGCAGGTTCCCGACTCCGTTTGAACCCTTTCGTTCCGTTCCGGCTCAACGCGTCATTTGGAAAGCCAAGCCGACCCTTGAACCAATCTCGACCGAATCCTTTCTTCCATCTCCGCAGCGCGAGGAGATAGCGCTGATGACGGAGGACGACCCGTCCGCGAAGGGCCTGGTGTTCAGCCAGTTCACGAGCATGCTGGACCTGTGCCACTTCCGGCTGGAGAAGGCGGGCATCAAGTGCGTGAAGCTGGACGGCTCCATGTCCATGGAGCATCGCGACCGCATGATCCAGGACTTCACCAACGACCCCGACGTCAAGGTGGGTCTGCACTGTCGAAGTTATTTTTGAAACATCTGGGAAATCTCTGCACGAGGCTTACGTAGTTTTGGGAATCGGAGTTCGGGCTCAGTAACCTTGAGATTCTGATTCCTGGATTGAATAGCGCGACCGCATGTACCAGAACCACAATAACGACCCGGACGCCAAGGTGGGTTTGCACCCTCAGATAGATTCTGAATGCAAATCAAAGATTTAAGGCACGGGGGAGCTTAAGGCCAGGGGTATACTGGACGATATGCCGACGTGGTGTGTTTTCGAATTTTCTGCTATTCTGACTCCCGCGATTGAAGTTAGAATTGGTTCCCTTCATCTTTCCTTCCTGTGACGATCCCGCCTCCCGCTGTTATCTATTGTTTCTTTACCTTCAGCGCTTGCTCGACGGTCTGGCTTCTCACCAATCACGACTGACTGGGAAATATCTGCTGGCATGTCATTGTTTCCGGCCTTCAGACCGTGTCATTTTGTGGGTTCCGTTTTGCTACGCCTGATTTAGACTGGCCCACCGTTTCTCTGCAGGTGTTTCTGATGAGCCTCAAGGCTGGCGGCGTGGCCCTTAACTTGACGGTCGCCTCCCGCGTCTTCCTCATGGACCCTTGGTCAGTCACTCTCGCGGACACTGCTTCCTTGATGCAAGGGTTGCCAAAATGTGTTCTGACACGAGTCGTACTCCTCGCCAGTTGCAGAAGCAAGATTTCTGCCGATCAACGACTGCCCCTATAAAGCAACTTTCGACTAGATTCGCCCTCCTGAAACCACTCTGGTTTTGGCTTTTGCGGGTTGAGTTTGCAGCGCCTCTTGTGGCGACAGTCTCGACCTGCTTGGACCGTAAAGCCTGAATTGTACCCTTGGCACTTTCTTTGAGGGAGTTTTACTTAGGACGCATTGTGGACCCTTAGAACGGCACAATATGCATCTGAGCGGACACAAAACATCTGAAAAACGCAGTCACTGCTCTGTTTCTCCATCTCTGAGTCGAGTCCCGCTTCAAAGCGTCCTTTTGCTCGGTGACCTTCCCCGTGTGGCAATGGACGCGTTGGACGCGAAGAATAGCAGAGGCCCCTGTTTCTAGGCTGTGCTAATCTAGTCTAGGCAACTGAAGCAAGGGCATTTCGCCCTAAAAAGCCATGCCCCTGATGAGCCACGTGTCATTTTTTGACGGCTGCCATGCGTCACTTGTTGCGTCCAGGTGGAACCCCGCAGTCGAGCAGCAGGCGCAGGATCGCATCCACCGGCTTGGGCAATACAAACCCATCCAGTAAGCACATAGGAGGTCGAATCTGCTAATTCTCTGCAGCTTCAATCAAACTTGGCTGCCTGACCCAAGTTTATTTGAACGAATCGCACGAAGTTGGTTGCCAAGATGGTATTTGTAGAATACCACACGTTAACGCGTTGCATTTCTTTGCAGCTTGGAACCTGATTCTGTTGTGGCAGATTGATTGACGCTTAGTTTCGCAGTCAGGAGGTTTCAGAACTCGCCTTCCTACATAGGGCGTGTGCTTTTCCAGCCTTCAGCATCCTGCCTGTTGTCGTTGCAGTCGATACTGTTGCCAGATACCGTTTCTCCTTTCTGTATTCAGGGTCACCCGCTTCGTCATCGAGAACACTATTGAGGAACGCATCCTGAAGCTGCAGGAGAAGAAGCAGCTAGTGTTCGACGGGTGAGTGCCTAAAAGCTCAATCATTTCGTGGCTGTGCTCTAGGAGATTGGTTGGTCCGCCGCTGGACGGGTTGCGGATCTTGCAATGGCCAGCGCAATCAGAGCGCTGGGCAACCGGCAGCCGACTCGGCTTTAATGCCCCATCGAACCTCGCCTGCCCGGTAAATCTTCTTTGAGAATGCTTCATAGTCTGGGTCCGAGAGTCTAAGCTCGTCACGGAGGGGTCCCAAGCTCGAGGACGCTTGGAGTTCCGTACTTGAGTATAAGTGTGTTCTTCAGGGACGCACCTGATTGTGCAGGGCTGCTCAGGTGATCCTGAAACTTTTGTCGAGTTTTGATTGAGTACTGTTCCGCTTGTGATGCATTCACCCGAACGTTTGCTGCTAGCCATAATTAATCCTTCTGATTCCTTGTTTTATAGAACCGTTGGGGGGTCCGCAGAGGCTCTTGGGCGCCTGACTGCAGAGGACCTCGCATTTCTCTTCTCCAGTTGATGTGCTTAATTGCATCACGCGGTGTAAGTACGATAGGGTATGAAATATGTGTGGCCGATGGGCATGTAGCACCCGAAGATACAATTTAGATGGTCGGTTGCAAAGGCTGTATACTAAAAACATAGAGCACTCTACTGAAAACTTGTAGGAAAGGTGTGTTGGAAGCCCCAAATCCTCTGACATATGGTTCTCATGGTGCGTGGCTATTAGTTCAATCGTAAGATCGTTGTGTGCGTGTCCGGTCGCATTTCACAAGAATGGACCGGAAACTGAACCAGTTATGCACCATTGGTGACGGTCCCCAGCCTCGTATCAGGTTTGAGTGCCCAGTTTGTCGGATGCGCTAGGTACGAACGAAGTAGTAGCCGCTGAGTCGCTACTAGGAGTCCATAGATGAGAAACTTGGCCTTTAACTTATACACGATCATGCACCTTCTTTCTTACCAGATATCATGCAAAGTAATAATCTCGACTAATACAATCCCATGAAGAAGGTGAAGAACCTGGAACCTTGCGCAGATCGCTCCACAAGTCGACAAAGATCATAAAGTGAAACATAATACCGAGATTATTGGTGAATGCAATATAATCGGAAAACTCGAACACATAATGTTTCTATGAGGCTCATACGCGACCACTAGCATGAATAAAGTACTGCACTTACTTTGGGGATGTGAAGCAGGGATACTCGAACGAGTCTTACCTGGATGAGATTGACCATGCTACGTTCTTGTTTACGCTAGCCAGATTCAGAGTCGGGGCTCATCGTTTGGTTATAGAGACCGGAGCTTGGCAAGGGAAGCCTCGTGCAGAAAGATGTTGTACGCTGTGTGCGATCGGTCAGATAGAAGACGTGGTCCATTTCGTGTTCAATTGTCCCGTATATCTAGCGACCTTAGAAGACTGTCCGATCTCATCTTTGAGGATAGAGAAGGAAGCCTGAAGTCGTTCCTTAATTCGCAGAATACATATGCATTAGGGAGGTATTTGCACTTAAGCTTTGCAGTGAGGTCTAGCTTAGTGCAGAGTTCCAGTTGAATAGATAGAATCGTCGACTTAGCCGACCATGGCTCCAAACCGACGTTAAAGCATCTAAATCTAAATCTAATAAAACTTACATGACGGTTGGCAGTGTATCCTAGTAAATGCCGCCTATATGGTGATATGGAAGCCATCCGGCAAATTACTCGAGTTCGAATTTCGTTTAGCACCCACTGCTGGCCAATCATGATCCCACATTGCACTCATATGCATCACCGGTCTAGCACAAGTCCTGCACAGTTCGGCGACAGGAAAACCAGTTCCTCGCCGCGGAATGGCGGCGCACTCGGCAGTACAGTGATTGGTATTAAGTGCAGGCATAACATCATAACATAGGCGCTCCCCCCAACACATAGTTGAGGCGCTCTACAAGGCTCAAGCATTGTGCCTAGATACTCCGCTGTAGGAAAGTTGTGACTCACTCCGTTCTTCACTTGGGTGGTTACATGTACAATTCTACGCTTCTTCTTTGCTATTTTATGACACCTACTTTGCATCGCTTCAAGCTCTTCAACTCGTTGTTGCACGAGCTGTCGCTGACTTTTTGATATGACCAACCGCCGGGGCCACCTCAGAATGAGTACACCCTTTCCCTTTCTCTCAAGCATGCCTGCTTGAACTTATGCTTTACCATGCTTCTGCTTCCACAGATTTTGAGTATCATGGCATGATGCTTGCAGAGTGACGGGCCTCAGATGCTTTGTTGGGCCCGGGCTTTAGTACAACTGGCCCGAGAGGATGTAGGAGCATAGCTACTATGTGGCAGCATATCACCAAGTGCGCCCAAGGTCCAGCGATGCCGTGCGCTACTCGGCTATTGCCGGTCCTCATCGGGTCCGGTGGAACGCTCTCAACTCTGAGCCCGGAGACGCCAGTCTTACTGACCTCCGGTGCTCGCTCCGGTCTATTCTCTCCGCATCTAGCCATGCAGAAACTTATAGGCGTAACCCGGCTAGACCCGCGATTACCCACTCAC